GAGCTGCGTAGAGCTCGATGGTTGTTCAACCATAGCATAAGTCAGTAATTTGTCAGTCTGCTGCGCATGGAAAAGATGAACCCTCACCTTGGGACAGGAGAAAAAAGTCTACTTCTTTCCAATATGATAAATCCTGACCTTTGGATCTACCACACCAAGGCAACAGTTTGACCCATGATCCTATTTGTCTGTTAAGGTCAGCTATGCAGGTCAGCATATGGGAGCCCCCCATTAAGGGTAAGACTTTAGGTACTTATTGTCTTATTTTTCAAACAGCAAAAAACTAGACCCCTATTGTATATGCTAGACTAACCGTGCAAACTTTCCAATCGTTTGCTTCAAAAGGTTTGAATGACCTATTTGAAGCAAAAGGGGGGAGAGAAAAAGTTGAGAAGAGTTGCATATGTGAGGTTACACTCTAATATAAAAAAAGAGAGAAGACTTGTTTTATGTCCTAAGTTTTTGAGGATGAAGTGAGGCCAGAATTCTGGTGGTCAGTTTCTGGAGTTGGGGCAGAAGCATGTTCAGAAGCTAGAAGCTCAGCTCAGCACATCAGCAGTTATTCCTAACTTCTTTGCTTCAAAGAGTTCTGAACAACCCTTTGAAGCAAGAGGGGGAGAAGTTGAGGAATATCATATTTGATAAATGATAGAATAAAGCAACTAGTTAAAAATTTATATTTGATAAATGATAGAATAAAGCAACAAGTTGGAAAGCGAAGGGAAAGAAGAGTCATAAGTTGTAAATTGAACACAAAATGTTACAATTTTGACATTTTCGTTTCAAATTCCGTTTCAAAATGTTACAATTCTGAGATAATTAGCTCAAAGCTACACAAAAAAAAAAAAAACTTGTTCTACATCCTGAGTTTCTGAGGGGGGAATAAGGCCAGAGTTCTATTGGTCAGTTGCCGGTGCTGGGACAGAAGCAGGTTCAGAAGTTGGAAGCTCAGCAGAAGTGACGAGCAAATCAACAGAATTTGGAGAAGATCCAACGAGGGAAACTTCTGAATTTGGGGCCTCTGCTGAAGGTGGGAGAACTGAAGCCTCAGTGGCAAGGTCAACAGAGGAGGGAAGCTCGGCAGCAGGGACGTCTGAAGAGGTTGGGGGCTCACTTTCACCTTCTGCTTCAGCCACCTCTGTGTCTTCATCGTTGGGAACATCAAAGTCAAAATTCAGGCCAGGGTAGGTCTCCTCAGCTTTTCCTTGGAAAGTAAGCCACCCAGAGACCCATTTGGTTGCAACATCATCCTGCAGCTTGACAATGTCTTTGTCCTTTACAGATATAGCAGCATTTAGCTCTTCAAACTCGCTGCAAAGGGCGTCATTAGCATCAAATAGGGCAACAAAATCTTTGGTTAAACTTGCAAAAGAGCTCTGAGCAGCAGAAGCCTCCTGGCTAGCCTTGGCCCAGGCTTCCCTAGCCTTTTTCTCCCCTTCCTCAACTTTGGCCTTCGCGACTTCTAAGCCCTCAATGGTGGAAACCTGTTTCCCCACTTTGTCTTGTAGCTCTTGTAGCTAAGCTCGCAGATCATCATTTTCAAAAGTCAACTCGGCAACCTTAACTTCATAAGCCCTCACCATTTTGACAGAATTCTCCGTAGACAGGACCCTGTTTATCAAGCTCTTGGCATGGATAGCAGACTTGGGGCAAGAGGAAAACAGACAAAAGTTAGAAAAGTTCAAAAAAAAAAAAAAGAAGAAGAGGTCATAAATGTGAGCAAGAACTTACCGTAGTTAATCCGTGAAGAACAGAGCTTATTGAATCCTCAAGAGACAGTGAAAAGACCCTTTTTATATCAGCATTGGGAAGAATAGAGGAGAGGGCCCCTGCAGCGAGGTCGGGGTTATCAAGAAAGAAGCGCTCATTTTTGCTTACTTTAAGGAGCTCCTCCTTCACAGCCTTGGAACCCACAAGAAGGGGAGGATTGATTGGTGTAGCAGGCAGATTAAGAGAGGCTAAGATTCGAGAGGTCGTCTCCACAGCTCTCTCGACCTCAGAAGCAGAGGAGGATGTCTGTCCTGACGCAACAACACTTAGAGTAGCAGGAAAAACACTTTGGAAAGAGAAGTCTAGGATAGCTGGAGCAGAGGGAGTGAGTGACATGCCTGTTCTTGGCACCTTGGCAGGAGGAGTGGAGCTATCAGCAGAGCTGAGTCCTGACTTGCGTTTGGTGCTACTCTTGCTGCTGCTCTTGTTGCTGCCCTTGATATTCTTCATTTGGGAAAATTTAGCCCTGAGTTCAACAGTAGTGGGCTCCATTGAGGATGAACTTGAGGGACCTAAGAATAACTAAGCCTCGCCCTTAGGCAAAGAAAAGATGAGAGAGGGTACAAAGAAAAAGTGTTACCTGATATATCTTCGACGAAAAGCGGGATGGGGCCAGCAACGGAAAGTGAAAAGGGAGCTTCAACCCTCACCTCAGGAAGGCAGAACCCGTGTTCTACGAGAGCCCAAGGTTGGATGAGCTCAGAATATTTCTCTGGTTTACACTTTTTCAATTTTCGCAATACTCGCTCCTCTTCAGTGCTGAGCTCAGGTCGAATATTTAGAAAACCAAGAAAAATAAGAAATAAGTTAACAAAGCAGCCAGACTTGGATTAAATACGGTTTGGGCAGAAACATACCTAAATTATCAGGGGCAGCCCACTATGTAGGGATGAGGAGGGTATCAGTTTTATCCTCTGAGTTTAACTCCCACTATGTACCGCCTACAAAGAAAAATTATTTCTTCCAGCCCTTATGGGAGCTTGAGAGGTTAGAGTTGATCTGTTGGGCCTTAGTCCTCATGGAGATATACAGGAAATCATCAGAGGAAGTCTGCATAACATTAAACAGCTCCATAAGTAAGGAAATAGTAGGGACCCCAAGCTTATAGTCCTTAAAAAAGACTAGTAAACCCACAAGAACACCCCAGAAGTTGGGAGAGAGTTGGACATGACAGACATTGAAGTGTTGAAGGACACCTTTGATAAAGGGATAAATAGGGAAGCGAAGTCCGTTATCAAAAGTTGTCAGGAAGAAACAGACATTCTTATGGACATGGTGAACATATGTGGTGTACTTATCAGGACTCCAGGGCTGAACCCCTGGGGGAAAAGGAAAACGAGCACTGAGAAACCTCAGGTCAGAAGGGGTAAGGCCGCTGGGACCTACAAGTTCAGCGTTCCTAAAGGTAGTCCCTATGCCTGAAATGATGACTTCCACACCACTTACTTTGCCCTTGCCCTTATCAGGTCTATCAAGTATAGGAGAAGAGGTGAAGGGGGCCTCCTCGATTTTCACCTCTACCTCGATAGAATCTACACCAGGAAAGTTGTCAATCTCGTCACCTACATCCCCTAAATCAGAATCTCTTTCGGCAGATCTATCGCCTAGAGGGAAACATAGGAAGGAGTTACTCTAGAGGAGGCCGACATGATTGGCAAAGAAAAAGGCAAGTCGAAAGAATGATAAAAAGGAGGGATACTAACTAAACACCCCCTGATAATCCTAGGGTCAGCACTGTACCTCCTAACAATAAGAATTTGCACAATGGAGTTCCAATCCACAATGCGGGGAAGAGAAAATAGGCAACGATCGTGATTTCAAAAGAAAAAGAACCGAAAAATTCAGAAAAATAATGGCCACCTCGAAGTCAAGGGATCCAGAGTGAGGAAAGACAAGAGAAAGAGAAAAGGGCAGAAGGAAGCGTACCTAGACAGGGGAAGAGAGCCATAAACAGCAGCCAAAGAACAAAATTGGAGGAGAGGAACAAAGGAGGACTTCAAGTCGAACCCAGAAAGCACAGTCTAGAGCAGAGAATAAGGGAATTGCGTGGAGGAAAGCCTAGAAATCACAGAGAAAAAGAGCCGGAGACAAAGGTGAACAATGTATAAGATGAACGGTGGTCTTGTACGGTTTTTTTTAGTCGTTTGAGCATTTAAAGCTTGAAAGACATAGGATGATGCGTGCGCGGGAACCAAGGGAGCCATGATTGCTGCAACCGTCGAAAAGCCCATCCCACGTGCATCTCACATGCAAACTAAGGTCAGCTAGCGCGCAGGTCTGGTCCAAGGTAAAAACAGCTAAGCCCATGCCCAAGCTCGCTTGGGCCAAGGGCTGGGGGGGCAACTAATAATACCTCAAAATAAATCTCAAGTGCCAGCTCAGAAGGTCAGCTAAGCCCAAGAGGTCAGACTAGACAAACAGAACTCGAAAAAGTAGAGCTGGAGGTTCCTTCGAGATAAACAAGGGCAATAACAACCGAGACAACAACTGGATAATCACGAGAGGTTCCTAAAACGTTAAGAAACTAAAATCAAGGCACCTACTCTCAACCAGCCAAGATCTTCTTCTAGAATTAGGGAGAACCCCACAAAGTAATGACTAGAATCTCAGCCAGGATCCCACTTAGTGGGGAATGACACTATAAATGCAAGATAACACCTCCTAACAAGGGGGGGGGGAACCCTAGTGACAATAGGGAGCCATAACAACTTTGTAATCACGTGAATAAAACAAAGGGAACAAGAATCTCCATTGAAGAGTGGACTAGCCGAGCTCCAGAGCCGGTGAACTACTATATTTTCACTGTGTGCATCCCCTTAATCTCCTGAATATTTTATGGTAACATCATACACGAGTCTCGTAGCTCTGATCCACGCTCATCTCACATTACTCTCACCTTAAACTCACTCGCGCTGATATACGTCATCAGAAGCCATTGCCATGGCATGTTTAGTGAAAGACCATTTTTAAGGAAGAGCTTGAAAGCAATGATAAGATTAGTTTATTTTTTATTTGGGCAATAATATTTTAAAAAATATAATAGTATATAGAAATAAAAATTAATATACCAAAAACTAAAAAGGAATTGAAGAAGTATTAAAAATAAATAAATAAAGCCAAATAAGAGATATCTGTTTGAAGGATAGACTTAGCATGCACACGAGCGACGTATATATCAAGCTTTTATGCCGCAATCAACTCACGTGTATGCCAAACGCGTTCACAACAACCCGTTTACGGGTCAAAACTAACGTATGAATGCGTCGACCAACAAGCAACCTCGCATTCAATGCCCACTGCCACTATGTTGTGTTCCGTACAATCTGGGGTTGGACCGGCCATCGCCGGTCAATCTTTGTGGCCAACCTGAAAAACTCAAAACCTACAGTCTCCCCAAACCCAAATCTCTTCTTTGTGTTCATACCTCATCTTATATACACTCAAGTAAATTCACTTTTATCTCTCTCTCGTGCACTTTGTCACTCACTTTATCTATCTAACACGACATAAAAGTTTAGATGAAGAATCTGCACTTCTGATCGCTCATGGAGGAAAAGGCAGTAAAGGTTGAAAATCCGATCTGGTCTTCACCATTTTTGGATTGTTTTCCACCAAACAATCACAATACTGGCTTGTTTAATTTCTTGAATGATGGTGAAAAGAGCTCATTGGGATTCATGGAGTTACTGGGAAGTCAAGACTTTTGTCCGTCGTTGTTTGATATCTTGGAAGTTCCCATAGCATCTACAGAAGCCCCAGATCAGACTCAGACTTTTAAGTCATCTGAGGACTTGAAGCAGCCCACGACACCCAACTCTTCGTCTATGTCGTCGGCATCAAGCGGTGCACTGGTTGATGAACAGATCACTAAAGCAGTTGAAGAAGAAGGACAGCAGAAGACCAAAACACTGTATGTACTTCTTGTGATTTTCTTGCTTTTGATTTACTGCTTTTCAAGTACCTCGTGAAGGGAACACCACAAGAAAAGGCGGGTTTTGTGTTTTAGTTGATCTAATCTTGGAAAATTGCTGATTTAAGGTCTTTGTTATTTGGGTTGTGGGTTTAGGTTGAAAACCAAGAAAACGAGTCAGAAGCGTCAAAGAGAGCCAAGATTTGCATTCATAACAAAGAGCGAGGTTGATCATCTGGAGGACGGGTACAGATGGAGAAAGTACGGCCAAAAAGCAGTGAAAAACAGCTCTTTTCCTAGGTAATTTAGACTTGAAGTTAAACCATGTATTCGTTTTCAGGTATATTTGTTCAGTTTCTGGATCCAACTCAGTTTGGAATACGATTGGTTTGCATTCTCCCATGTATAATGTATGCTGCTTTCACTGACTTGGTCTAATACTCTAATCCTCTAATCCCCCCCTTTTTTTTCTCTCTCTGTTAAACAAAGGTCAAGCAGATCTTTGAAGGGTTTGCATAGGCCACATAGTGTTGACTCATTTAGTTCCATTTGTTTCATGGTAGCGGCTATTAATTTGTTTAAATATGGATTAAAGTCAAAGCTGATTTGTTAAGGGTTTCAGGAGTTACTATCGTTGCACTAGCGCTTCATGTATAGTGAAGAAGAGAGTGGAACGATCTTTGAGTGATCCAAGCATAGTTGTGACTACGTACGAAGGCCAACACAACCATCCCAGCCCGGTGATGGCTCGGCCAAGCCCCGCCGGTTCCGTAATATCTGCCGACGCAGCCGCGGCCTTTTCTCTGCCCGTGCAAATGACCTTGTCTTATCAACCACAGTTCAACAGCTTGGGACCCATGAATTGTGGCTATATGAATATGAATATGACTATGACTTCCACAATTCCTTCAGCATATCTGAAGGAGAGGGGTTTGTACACTCCATCTTCTGCTTTGCTAAGAGACCATGGACTTCTTCAAGATGTTGTGACCTCAAACATGAAAAAGGAAGAGTAGATGGAGCCCTAACTACAGGTAATGCACTTAGTTGTACTTAGGAGAAAAAGGGTGGTTTGGTTGTTGAAACTTGAAAACCCCATTACGGCTATGTAATCCTACTTCTGAAATCTGACTGGTGTTGATGCCCCTTGCTCAACCGCTCTTTTTTTTTTTTCTAATTATGCCAACCCTAATATTGCCACTTTCACTTGGGCTTTTGATCCCTTTTGGAGTCAAACCATCGTAGGCGTTTTGAATCTGTGGTACAGTTTTTGATTTTTTTTTGCCCTTTTAATTCTGCACAGTCTCATTTATCCTTTTTTTTTTTTTTTTTTAAATTGTTTTGTTGCAGTAGGAATGAGCGTTAATATCACTGCTTTCACAAATGTGAGCGAGCAGGACTCCACATGATGGACAACTAGATAAATATTTATTTTGTATATTATTTTTTAGTTGAACGGTCAGGGTGTCTCAAAACGTATTTCGATCAATTTTCTCTTTAATTCGATCAAAGACATGTCATTCATGTTAGAATTACGGTTATGAGTTATGACCTAACTCTAAAAAATTATTAAGAATCGAATTCGGTGTCTGATTTTGCACTTTGTCTATATTTTATCACTTTAGTATTTCTTGAGATTTATTTTATAATTTTTCCTAATACCTTAATCTTGGTTCAACATGGAGCAATTTGGATATAGCCACTCCACCTTTTTCTCTTCCTCTGAATAAAGAAACCCAAGTTGTTCATCCAGTACAGAGAGATAAGCATTGTTACGTAAACTTAAAATGCAAACTTATTATATAAATTTTGATTAATTACTATCATTGATTTTATTATGAGTTTCAATATTTATCAAATTTACTATATATGTAATGACAATTCTACATTTTAAGTTCAAATAACCTTTCTGAAGCGAAATCAATGTTGCGTAAATGTTTGAGGATAGTAAATGTGAGATGTTGAAGTAATGCATGGAGGTGCAACAGAAAACAAGAATGGCTTTTTAACGACTACTGACCTACTTTTATCCTCTTGAATTATTGCTGCTCCCATTATTCTTCTTCAATTGCGTGCGATGCGGTAGTGGGCTTTTGGATTCATTGAATGGTAACATGTAAAATACTAATAAAGACAAAACCGCACGTGGGAAAAAATAAAAATAAAAATAAAGTACGTATCTGTAACTTACACGACTTGTTTTTGATGTGGAGTGAAAGCTGGTACACTATTTATTGCGTGAATTCAGCACATTAGTATATATATTATCCAGACTAAGATTCCATTTTTTTCAATAATAGATCATCTCTAATGTATATTAAGAAAAAGGTTAACGTACTACCGGTGATTTTTTTAAGTTAAGTTCTAATTTTTTAAAACAGTAAGTTATTATATTTAAAAGACATAATTGATTATTAAAGGTTAAGAATCAATGCCGAAATTATAATTTTTTAAGATTATGTTATAACTTTCAAATAAACTTATAACTCATAAAAGAGAAGTTAAAATATTCTATTGGAAGCCTACGATCAATTATAGGTGTACTTGATTAACCATGATCTTCCCTTTAACAATTATAACTTCTCCATTCAAATATGTAACCTTACTCTAAAAAATTATAATAAAAAATACAAGACCAAATTTTTTTCCCGGTACCATAGAATTTCCCGTATGTTAATAAAATACTGATTTATATATGATGTATTGGCTCGACATCTGATATAATTGAGAGAAATTAAAACCTCATACTCTCAATCTTATACAATGCACCGTGTGAATAATTGGTCATTCATACTTCTTCTTCATGCTATAAGAAGGAAGTTCAGCTGAAAAAGGATAAAAACCTCGATCCATTCATTAGCTCCTATCATACAAGAGTGCAATTTCAACACAGCATCGCCCCCAGTAATTCCTTAAATATGAATCACTCCCAGGAAAGTCGCTGTAAGTTTCAATGATCACTTATGGTATAACCAAACTAAACAATCACGTAGCAGGAACCTCCTCAGGGGGGATGAAGGGAGTAATGTACCATTTCTGTAGCTTCTTAACCAGCGATCCAGCAAGGGTATGAAGACAAAATGCACTTCTCCCAGCTCTCCTTTTTTAGTGCAAGAGCTGTCAAGAAAAATAGCTCAGGCAAGTAACCCATTCATTATGCATTTCTCGGCAAAATAAGTCATGAAACAACAGTAAGCACTTTCACTTCTAATATTCCCAGTTTTCTCACTTTCTTTAAGTTGAAATATATAGGAATTATTGCTAATAAAAAGTACAATTTCATTAGCTTTTCATGGCTGGTCCACATGTGAGGAAAAGGAGGCTTTGACTGGCATCACTGCAACGTATCTCAGATCCATGTTGATCAAACCTAGTACCTGAGCACAGATTGATGAGGATAAAAAGTTCATAGGCAGAAGAACGGATGCGCAGAACATTTACCTGCTTCAAAATAGCCCTAATGATCAGCCAAACCCCTCTGGTTGTTTGCCGTCAATTGTAAACTGAACAAAAAAGCTTTAAAACCAGTACCTCTCAGACACAAGCTGGAGGAATCACTGAGCTTGTGGTTGCCTGTAAATGCATGCGATCATGTTCCTGAAAAAAACCATATCAACGACATGGTAAACTGAAATAAATAGAAAATGACGCCCGATATATTGTTCCCTGATAGAAAGATGCAACACTAGCATGCTTAACATACCATCTGATTGAAACAAAAGAATATCAAATCCAATATACTGATTCCCCTGCTGAACTAAACAGCACTCTGCCTACTAGGTACGTATCATCAAATAATATATACTTCATTTGCTTAGTTTAAATTGCCAGATCCATCACTTGCTTAACATATCATCCATGTATGCTACTGGAAGCTCGCAATGTCCTTCGAGTTTGTGAACCATGGGAAAGGGGAAAGTAACCAAATGCCACTGGGAGAATCATATGGCAAGCTTTGTTTGTGAAAATATTGTCTCTTCTCTTAAATTCTTTAGATCAAGGGATAAGGCACCACTTGAATTACAGAACCAAATACTAGACATTAACATGGTCAAACAACAGGGCTTTGCCTCAACTTTGATATTAAATTCACGCTCCCAACCTAACAAAATATATAGATCATTACAAACAGGATACCAGGCTATGCCAGGTCCAAGGAATGCTGAACCAAGAGAAATGTGAAGTAAAAGGTAATGCCAGTCTTGAGAGGAAGTTACGAGTTCTAATAGCAGATCTCAAAAACTAAAGCTACCCAATTATCCTGCAATTACACTACAATTCATCCATGTTTCAAATCTGAACTAGGAGAACCCGAAAATCGAAACTGCAAATCTGTAGGCCGAAGCATACATACACCATTTTATTGGAATTGTAGTAAACCCAAACACTCTATGAACAGATGAAATTTTATACAAACAACAATCACAAACTGTAATAGCAGTGACAGACATGGTGCTTGGTTATCTTGAACTCTACCTCTTAAGGAACAATATATAGAAATTTCTAATTTATATCCATCATAGTTGTCAAATTGTGTATCGGAAGGTGTATCAATTTTAAAAAATAGTGTATTGTGTCGTATCATATCGTATCGTGTATCATAAGATATGTGCAATTTTAAATAATTATTAATAAAATCTATACATACCTTTATAAAAAAATCATAAACTCGTAATAACATAACATTTTATTAATTTTCCACCAGCTATTCAAGTTCTCAACATAGTTCAATAATATCAAAATATAAATACCTCTAATTCAAACTTACTTGAACAACCTTAATATTAATAAAAAAATTTGAATTCAATTGAACAATATTAACAACAGACTTTATTTTTTTTTAAACCATAACTATTGAAACGACGTCATTTGACTGACTAGTGATTTAAAAATAAGTCCGGGGTGAAAAGATATTATTTTAGCCATAAAAAAACAAAAATAAAATAAAAAAATAAAATTTTCATGTATCATACGTATCGGACGTATCGTATTGTATATAGCACGTATCGTGTAGCATACCATACAGTCAAAAAACGATATAGAGACACGATACGTATCGTTTTTCAGGTGTATCGTGACGTATCGTACAATACGTATCGTGTATCATATGATACTAATAACTATGATTTACATCCATAAATGTAAGTTTAGCTGAATGCAAATTGATAGATGCTTTTATCCAAAGTCTAAAGCAGGATCCGAATACTTGAGCAATAAGACCAGCTTGTGTTTTCTTTTGGGTAGGCATATATTAGTTGCAAGTTACCTGAGTGGTGCAGGACTCAAGTCACTCTCCTGAAACACTAGCTCTTGATGGCATTCATATAAATAATAAAGCCACATATATTCTATCTAACTATATCACACACGCCATATGAGTACACCATTCATTAATTATGCACCTCGTTCATGACCCTCACCAGAACCCTGATACACTATAAAACAACATTTCAAAAAATATAAGAATCCCGTTTAAAAGATAACTCACTGGTGTAGAATAGGAGTGTTGTTGGAGTTGCTGATGGGACAGGTGTGCTTGACTTTGCACCGGTTGCATTTCAGAAACATGTGGGGTAGGAAGATCCTGTTGGTGTGGTAGGGAGTGAAGGTGTTGACAAGGATGTTGCTGCTGCTGCTTTTGTAGTAGTTGTTCATGAAGGGCATACTCCTCAGGCTTTTCCCACTATTTGTCATATTTCCAGATACTTATAACCTTTTTAGTGGGTAAAACACTAAAGATGAGTTTAAAACATTCTATTGAAAACAAAAACCTTACCCTGCTCTCACATGTTACACAATTATAGTAGTAATTATATCCATCGGGACAAATATGTTCACTCCAATCGCAGTCCGGAAGATCTGCTGTCTGAGCACTTATGGCCACTGGAGGACCAGAAGGCAAAACTTGCTCCGATGCAGTAAAATTGCTTGAAACTATATGAGGTTTGCTTCTGATGCGTGGAGACTGCAGGATAACATAAACATTGAAAATAACTAAAAATTTCAGAAGGTGCCAGCTCGCTCTAGATCAAGAAGAAAATGCAAATTGTGTATGTCACAAGTTGCCAATACCATACACTAAATAATGAGACAATTTTTTTGTTGTTTTCTGTTTGTGCTTTTGAGATACTTGAGAGATATCCCTCTTTGCAAGAGTTGAGAAATTACCGGATGAACTACTCCAATCATTGAAGATGCATGCGCATCTTATTAGAGAAGAGGGAAAGTGTAAATAACATCACCCTAACGTTCACTGGCAAGGAAGCTCAAAACATCATCGTTCTGTCTATGCATGTGAATCAACCTCATAAATACTTGAGCTAATTGTTATCCTTCCTGGGAAGTGGGTGCCCAGGATTCCATACTAAAATGCTAAAAAGAAGTAAAACCAGCCACCAAGGCACCTGCTTTTGTGCAGCCTCGGAACCTAGCTCCTCCTTGTAAGTCTGAATAAGTAAATGAATATAATTGACTACTTCTAAAGCTTAGGAACTGTGTATGACGACTTGGTTCTTCTCCTATGAATTCCATTCCTGTTAATACGGCATCTGACTAGACAACTGTGGAAATAAATGCCTCAGTGGCAGAAGCCATTTTCTAGTGACACTATCACCAAGACATCAGCAGTTGGTTTGTGATTGGAAGAACAGCTTTTGGTTTGTGGCTTTTGGAGATTGGCTGAAGCCATGAAGCTCAGAAACAGAAAAGTAACTTGCAATTGTTCTTCTTCCCTACTATGTCTATGTCACTTTCCTATTGTTCTACTTTCCTATTATGTTCTACTTTCCTAATATTGTAATTGTCTTCAATATCAATTTAATATAAATAGGTGATGGGGTGTTGGCAACACATGACCCTACATACAATATTGTTTCATACTCTTTTTCTTTCTTTCTTCTGCTTCTCTTTCTTTTCCTTTACCCTAACATACAATTATTCAGGTTTCAACGAGTATAATGATGCACAAGCTTGGCTAAAGAGGAGCTGGCCACAACACCCTTCCACACAAACCCCACAATGCCGCCCCCATAAAAAAAATAGGCAGCAAGAATTAGTTGTGCTGCAGATGCCTGGGAAATATGTCAGCAACTATGATTAATGAGTTGGGCAGTAGAGAAATTGCAGTGAATGTTGCAAGTGCAGGAATTAAATTATGAAATTGTTGCAGAGAAAGATTGGAATTGTGAAGTGGATAAGTACCGAATGAATAAATAAAAGAACACTGTCAAGCAAAGTAATTGGGTTAGCATTGATCCTGCTGTAATGCAGATGGAAAATCATGTTTCAGAAGAGAAATGCTTCAGTGGCACCGGTAACTTGCATAGCCCACCATGAACATGGTTGAATTAAGCTAGTAAGGTATATTGCTAACTTAAACCCCGATGGGGAAACATATACCTTAGTTTTCTACACTTTAAGTACATTGTTTGAATATATATCAGGAGAAAAAAAAAATTACGGTTTCTCCCTTAACTATGTCACGAGTCAATTTAACTGGATTATGACAGAAAACAAAATCTGGGAATTTCCACCATATTAAGCAATTATGGTGTGAGTTGTGAATCAATAAGTATATTTACCGATGGCTTGCAAGATATTAGCTAAAAGTCTGGCATGAGGACCAAGTTGCCATATATGTGTGTACATGATGCATCAAGTTGAAACATGGGTAGTGTATTCACATACTGCTCTGAAGTTGTACACAGAGTTGTGTACTATATCCTAATACTGTTTAAGTTCAAAAGAAATGGGTATCAAGTCTATCCAGAGATAAGATTACTAACTTGGGAAAAGGATACTACCTGCTTTGGACTTGGTGGATGCAAATCATTATGCAGTGTCTGCCCAGCCTCGGGGTCACTGTGAGATGCTGCTGACCTGAAACATGTAAACCCCAGAAGAACAACTTAGAAAAAGAGAAAATAATATAAGAGAATTAAAAGGGGAAAGAGGGGTGGAGCCACAATTTCAGACCTAACAATTGAGTCTTGAAGACAGGGACCAAATCCTGGAGCGCCAAATTTTGAATGGCCCCTATAGAGAGAGAGAGAACTGATAATTTTGTCTAACATCTAACTGATGTAAAAAGCCAATGAAAAAGCATGAAGGGCGGAAGAACTAAAACTTGAGAGCTCCTAAGTCATTCTTGAAAAATTATGTCAACAATCAATGCAGGAAACCAGTATTTAAGTTCATGTTTTATTTTTTTATCCATTTTTTTTCCATATGATTAACAAACATAAGCTGAAAAGACAGTGTGGGGTGGGCTCAATAGAAGAGTGGGCCCCTCCACCCTGCGAAGGTAATATATAGTGCTGCATTACACATAGAATTACAATTCTCACAACAGTCATAAATATAATAAACTAAGAATTCTCAATGGGATTGCAAACCTTGACTCTCCTGCCCTGGGCTTCTTGGGATCCGCAAAGCGAACAATCAATGGCTGATCACAACCCTAAATGACATGCAATATAATAAGGAAGTGAATATTCTTCAAAGTGACATCAGAAAAACTCGTGTGTGTGTGTATACAAATACTCATAAGTATATATATCCAACTACTAACAATTGTTACTAAAAAAGGTGGTAACAACAAAGTTGCGTTTACATATAGAGACATATATGTCTACATATATCAGAGTATAAGATCTTACTTCCATCATGAAAGTTCCATGTAGTGCATTGATTGCAGCAACGGCCATATCTCTATGAGAGAATTGAACAAATGCACACCCTGGAAAGCAGTATGGATGTTCATATAAGATAAATATCAATTAACAAGGTAATCTGGAACTAAAGAATCACAATGAGTGTAACAAGAACCCCTAAATTTACTTTTACACTACAGAAGGGTGCTGGCATCATCAAGCTAGATGACAATAGATGCAATCCCCAAAACGAGAGAAAACAATGGCATGTACTATGTTATCAGATTAAACATTGATGATTCATAGGCGTATAATAGAAAAGAAATGATATTAATGTTAAAAAAACCTGCTGTACATTGCAATAGAATAGATAATGGAAATTCATAGGATCTTAATTGAGCAAACAATAATGGAAATTGTTTTATTATGTAGTTATTCCAATGAGCAACTCATATAATGTATCAAATATATATGAAATTGTAATGAGGTATTAAAATTGGTCTCTTGCTTTTACTTGGATAAAATCTTTAATGTGAGACTAACGACATGATATAAGAGGGTTTGGTTCAACAAATAAAATACCGAATAGGACAACTATTTTGAGATCAAAATTATATCTTCTCTTGAATTGACTCCCATATTTTTGTTTTGCAAAGCATTTATTGTCTTTAGTTCAATTATTCACTTCAATAGCCTATTTTAAAGAAAAAAAGTGATATATTTAGCCCTGAAGTATCTCAGTGTATCTTGAACATATAGGCCGCATATTGAAGAGTACCCTTGTTGTCTCCTGAAAGTATAGGCCGCGTATGCTCGGTGTACCCCAAACGTATCCAAAATTAAAAAATAAGTATTCAACACGTGTCTGGCCGAAGCTGAGGCACATCCATATCCAATACTAATTGGATATGAATACTTTATCCTTGTTGAAGTATCCATGCTTCATAGGCTAAAACCATGTTCTAAATTAATATTCTTAATTTTCTCAATAAACCTTGAAGCATCCCTGACCAGAAAGAACAATTACCCAGTAGAAGAATGAATAGAGTTGATCTGAAAACTGAAGATCTCTACAGTGAAATCCACATAATGTGGTCAAAATGCAGGGCAACGAGAGGTTGTTTTCTATTATTTTCTTCAATAAAAGAATAACTATAGAGTAATGGACTCACCACGGTTTTGCTTCCATTCATCACGCACAATGTAGACATCTTCAACAAGACCATAAGGGGAAAACATCTGACAGCAGGCTCAAAAAGTAAGATAACAGAACAAATGAATCACCACATAAAAAAATACTTAAAACAGGCATTTGTCTTATGACCATTTGAATAACATAAACAAGCAAAGAGCTCCAACATTTGGGAGGAAGAGATGACATTATCCAGCAATCACTCCATACAATGTGCCATTTACTGACATGCAGCAGGTCTCACGTCCATCATTCAAAAAATATTCGACCTCACATATGACTAAGTCATACAACCAAAAGTAACAGTAGTTTTTCACCACCAATCACAATGATACAAAAAAATTTGTAATCCTACACTTTTATTTATAGCATCTGTCCTGTTACTCATTGCCGCGCCGATCTGAATGGGGCAATAATCCTTTTCAGTAAGTAAAAGCCTCTAACGTAAAAGTGCATTAAAGAAAGCAGTCTCATGTTTAAGCAGCACCAAGCCTGTCCACACCACATCTATGTTACTCTTTGGTTCACATAATCATAACACAAGGAACAATAGTGTGTTTAAATTGTGATAAGTTGAAGTATTTGAAAGGGAACAGTGTGCACCATACTTCTTCAACTTCTCTTCTCGAAGCTTGTTTGTTCAGGCAACCAACATATAGTTTGTATACATGTGCGCCGATGTTCCCTGTCACAAATAAAAAGGACAAATAATAAGTCAGAAAAAAGAGCATCAGCAATGAACAGGGATGAGAACAAAGTCTGCTAGCTTATTGAAAATTAATACGCCATGTTATATCAACAAATCAAGTGAGCAATGTTTCAGAAACATTTCGCAGGAACATAGCCAGCAAATGCAAAACTCTATGTTTTTCCCTTGAAGCATGCAACTAAAATTTCAGAAGACCATTGTTAATGTAGAAAAAAAAAAGAAAAGAAAATCAGTACATCAGAGGGAATTCAATCTTTCCATCTATAAATCATAGATAATCTGGAGGGACAAACAGCGTGATTAATAAATTTCTCATCACAATTTGGAGTTCATTTTAAGATTAGATAATCACCAATTATCCATATTGTCTTTGTAGTTTGTATAGCTGTAAGAATTTTCCCCTTCATAGATCAATATGTTCTTAAAAACTCAATTCCTTAAATTATTTCTCAAATGTTACCAGTGAGATTGTGCTGTAGCTGTACGTCTATAACCACAATGAACCTTAAACATTTGATTCTTTTTCCATTTTCATATCTATACGGGATTTTGGACCACGGAATTGAATCCAGCAATAGCTTTATTTTGGCATACATGGCAGCCACTGTGTTAAATTTTTCTTCATTTTCAAGATTAAAATAAGAATATTTTAAACAAACTGATTTCTTGCTGTGATGATATTGATGGTGGTCCAAAAGGATACTAGCAATAAGTGCCTTCAACTGTGACTTAAAGCACAACTACCATGAGAATTACTGTGCATTCTCTAATTCTAATTACTTTCCCTTAAAGCCACCAGAACTCTACCTAAGTAATAGAACCAAGGGCACCATAAAAACAATTTTGGATAGTTTGCACATTTCATAATGGTATACTTCACCCTACAACTTTTCACAACAAATCAAAAAGGCAACTAGCAGCTTTCACCTAGATTTATACAGGCAAAGTCTACTAATATATTTTCTGATGAAATTATGCCTGTGGCACTCAATGCAAACCTAACATACTAATTAAACCAGACCTGTGCCACTACTGCTTTGGCAAATACCAAGGCGTTCTCGCTCCCCGTCGGCATATTTAACTTTGATGGGCATCATTCCCTGAAAGAAAAATACACAACACAACACAACAGTTATCACATATTCTTCTTCTTCTTTTAGGGGGTGCTGTTTTTAAGTTTCTACCATGAGGAAACTAACCCAAGGAAAAGTATATTGAGAGTTTAATGCTCCAATAGCTCGATCAGCGGCATCTAACGTCGCATATTTTACAAAACAACATTCTGCAAATACGAAATATTTAGAATTCAAATTCCGCTGGATTATCTTTTCATAGTTTTCAGATTGGCAGAAATCAATGTGTGCATACTATATATATGTTGCATGATGACATACGAAGTGTTGCATAGCATGTTTGGGTAGAAAATACTACAGGAAGACAGGATGAGACTACCTCAAAGGACCATTGGCCATGTAAATTATATCATTGCTTAGTTCATGATTAATTTTACACATTCATCTATGTATATAAAAAGTCATGGGTATCAATAAGATAGTCATGAACTACTTAGCAATAGGATAAGTCATGTCAAAAAAGGTACTGATCAGCAAAGACACTTAGAAACTCTTCCAGTTATTTAACGATTAAATTTTGAACATGGACATTAAAAACATTAAATTATAAAAAAAGTTCCCCACTTAAACCAAATGAGAACGAAGAAATACTAGAAAGTCGCAACATTATCCAGAGAATGGTGGTCTACGATCTCTTTAGAGCATAATTTTATGCGCCATCTACAGAAATTGCAAATGCATAAACAATTGGATGGAGAGTGACAGTTATAAGACAATGGACTCCACCATGTCAAAGAAGAGACCAGCGCTGCAGTATGTAGTACAATACATGACCTATTTCTTTCGAAGTCTCCAAATAGTAAATCAGTTTTCAAGTACATATCTCTGATGCCAGTATGCAGTACAATGTATGACCTATTTCTTTCGAAGTCTCAAAATAGTAAATCAGTTTTCAAGTACATATCTCTGATGCAACCTTCTTCAGTTTACAAATAGATGACCAAATACAATACATGAGGAGGCTGGTGTTCCCAGCAGCACCCAGCAAAGACTTGAGAAAATATGCTGGTAACTCAAATTAATTTGTAGTGACGCCATTTCTACATACCTTGCTGTTGACCAGTTCTTTTATCCTTGAGAAGGATAACCTCAATGATATCTCCATGTTCTCCAAACACAGAGCGAATCTAGCATCAAAGCAATTATTTTATTTCTAATACAAGGTTAAAACATAGATACCAGGAAGAATACTAGATATGCCAAATTTTAAAGCTCATCTTATAAATCAGTGTTCACAAGTTCCAGAGGCCAAAATTCAAACGAACGTGGGACAATATTATAGACAACTTCCTCACATCTCCGATATAAGGAAAATTATGATTGACAAACACTATTAAGTGTGTTAGGATATGAAAATTTTGTCATTTGCATGTCAAAATGAATATATTCTTAGATATGTATCATCGTGGACTTTTAGGCTCACTGATTCTAGATGTTAATCAATTGACCTGCATAAAAAATATTATTTGGATGACCACTATATCTCACCCCCACTCAAAAAAGAAGGAAATTGAAAAAATCCCCAGAACAAATGGCTGGAAGGGACACTCAAGCAAATACATTTTGGAAATTGAGATGCACATTGTGAGTCTCAATGGTAGAACTTACATCTTCCTCTGTAACTGTCCTTGGGACCGCCCCGACATAAAGTTTCACAAAACCGCCACGATCAATAAAATCTAATGAAACAATAATATCTAAAAACTTCAATGAGATATTCAGATAAAAAAACTAAAACGAAGAATTCATCGAAGCTACAGAACAATCAATGGATAAATATATGTATGTACGTATATATAGTGTAGAGACAGAGAGAGATACATAAAGAATCCAACGAGGAAAAAATATCGTTTACCAGGAGATGTTCCTAGGCCGGTGTGAGAAAACTGTCTCTTCCGCCCAGAAAGAGGAAAAGAATGACTGGTACCACACTCTCCGCCGCCTCCAATTGAGTCATTCGGTGTGTTGTTGGAACTGTGATGGTGGGGGTCGCTCGAGTGATGGTGGGGGTCGTTCGAATGATGATGGTGGTTATGGCGGTGATGATGGTTGTTGCCATCGCCGGGGAAATTGCTTCTGTGATCCTCGAAGTTTCGGTCGTAATGTGTCGGACGGTCTTCCGACCAACACGACGTCGCTGAATGCGAGTTGTTATGGGACTCCGCATAATCACCATATCGGTCTCTGGGTCTATCCATCTAACTAAAGCCCAAAACCTAGTTATTGAGGTGGTGATTAGGTGAGTGAGACGAGAGAGCTCAGCATAAGGTCGCAAGGAAGTACTCAGAAGCTCGATTGATCTCTTTTTGCGATTCTCTTTTTCCGTTTGTCAATCTCTCCATTCTCCACACGATTTTTAACGGAATTAGGGAGAGGAGAAGCCCTGAACCAGGCGAGGTAGCCAAAAAAAATTGCTAATGCTGATCCTTTTAATTTGATAAATTACGATGAGCACCCATTTTAAATGTTTATTCCTTGACCACGGCGTGAGATTTCTTGAAGATCAATAAAACACCAAGCGGAAAATGAGTGGGGGGCGTTAACACTTTAAACAAAATATATAATAAATAGTTTATGGTTTCATAAAAAAAAATTATCATACGTTAGTTTATGGTAATTCCCTTAAAAGTTTTTCTCTCTATTTATATTTTGTAGGGTTTAGTCAAAATCAAAAAATATTAATAAAAATAAAAATAGACAAATCATCCATGTCAATATTCTCCTTCCTATCCTTGGCCCAAGGTATATTGTCGTCACACTTTGCAACAAACCTTTCCCCACCCCTTCTGTCATCGTCATCCCCTTTCTTACAATGTATAACTTTTTTTTATTATTATTAATTCTGACATTGATTTAAACATTTCTCCTATCAGTTATCAGACCACTTGACTACAAGTATTTTTTTTAAAAAAGAAAGCATATATTTGTTTTGACACAAAGAAAATAATTTATAGGTTAAATATTTTTGCAATTATTAATTTATAAAATTTTGTTCAGAATTCTATATTTGGGTGTTGATAAAACTTTTTTGTATAGGTTTTGAAAAAAAAAAATACTCATACATGTTAAAATTTATTACCAATCCTTAACCATTTAAACCAAAAAGTACACAATAGAGTCACATGTGTTTTCCCCTCAATTTAGGCCCAAGGCTTCAAAGCTCGCACTGTTTCAAATTCATCCATAAAATGTACAATAATAAAGAAAGGGACTATTAATCGGAACACAATAATTTTGGTGCTTTCTTTTAGTGTAAATAGGAATGATTTCTTTATTATATAATTGATTATTGTCCATCAAGTGTAGTTATCTATTTTCTTTATCTTGACAACACAAGTCAACCAAAAAATACCAATTTATTAGTTTAGCATATGAAACGTGAAATAAACTTAGACGACTTAAATTTAAATTTTGATAATCTCTTAAAATCAGGTCATGAAAAATTTATCTCTTATTAATATCTTAGTCTCGACATAAATAATTGCCTAAGCTTTTAATCAAAAAAGAGATATTAGTTGAGATACACGCAAATTAAACTTGACCGTTGAAAAAAAAAGGGTGGGGAAGATGAGAATATAGAAATAATAGGGGGTGATATTCCGGATTTTAGACATAGTGAGGCATGTCGATATTTTACAAGTAAGAAGACAAAACGAAAACCGAAATCCAAAAGGGCAACCGAGCCCTAGCCGCCCGTCATAGTTCAACTTTCCCCACTCTGTGTCCGCCGCTCCCTCTCTCCTCTTCTGGTGAATTCCTTTATTTCTTCTTCTTCTTGTTCAACTATCTCGTATTGGCTAGTGTTTGAGTCAGTCATGAATGCTGTTAATGTGATTTAAACTGGTTTGCCATCAAGGGATGAAATAAATTTTGTTACGACTGGACTAACTTTTTTGTTTGGAATCGAATCTGTCATTTTATTTCCCTGTTAATGTCAAGAGCCAGCTTTTACCAAAACCCTAGGCATGTATGTATATACGGCAGCCTTCCCTGTATCGGGACCTTTTAGAAATCGGCATACACGGGCGCACATACGCACATGCTTAATTGTAGCTGCTACGAGAGTTTTAAATTGAGTGTATAGTTGGATTGAATTTATGTTTACTATTGAATATGATTTATTTTAGATTCTGGTTCCACTACATTAGTAGTTGCAAGAACATGACATTCAAAGGCCGTAGGATTATATTTTGGTAGCATAACACTAGTTAGATGCCTCTTTCAGAGCTTGTATTTTTGGCTCAGATTTATTGTTTTGTTGGTTTCTTTATCCAGATCTAATGGTTGTGTGCTGATTCTTGGATAATGCATGCATTGAAGGACATATTCAAAAATAACAGTTGCATAATGAGCTTGTCAGAGATTATTTTCATGCATTGAGTGCAAAGAAACAAATATTGATGACTTTTAGTACGGTGGTTTAGAAATGTCTGTAAGGATCATAGAATTAATTGCACAAGTGAAATCTTTTCATTTTGTATATAACATCATACAATTGCATGCTACATTGTTTAGTGAAATTATGAATTTTTCGATTTTGTAAGTATTACCATTGATAATATTAACCTTCAATTAGACAGATTATTTTCAATGGCAATTGTTGTTGTGTTTTGCAATGGGGTTTTGGTCGTGTGCACTTGCTAATTTCCCATGCATTATAGGAAGTCATGATTTGGCAGGTATTTTTAAGGTTTCTGTTGCTCTGGTAAAGTAATGACCATGACACGATACTTCGTCAGTATTGACAAGCATCGGAGGTGTTGGAGATGGAGGGGGGAGGGGGGAGGAAAGAATGAAGGAAGAAACCGAACTGAATTAGGCTAGGGCTCATTTTAAAAGGCATAAACAGATGCTAGACCAATCATACTTGTTTTGAATGCCATGAAAGACAAATAATAATCCATTTGGTTGTCATGCGCAACCTCTTTTGGGATGTTGGTTATTATTTGAATGATGTCAATATGATCTATATATATTTTATTTTGTTCATGGTAATGCTTCTTTTCCCAGTAAGTTCGTCGTTCACATTGACTTTTAGTTGTATCTATTGAAGTACTCTCCTGAAGGTTTTGATTACTATTTGTAGTAGTGAAGTATGTCCAATGTGGCCTTAGGATTCTAGTAATTGCTTTTTCATACTTCTGTAACTCTTAAATATGGATCTAAGATTAGTTATAAGATAAAGAATTCATGCAACATAAAGACATAGATTTTGTTTTTACTGATAATACAACCTTTTAGATTATATTTTTCGTGGTTTTTTTATTTATTTCCCTTCTGTTTATGTTTTGCTTCCCTTTAATGAGGGTGATTGTGCATCGGTTATCTTTCATAGGGCAGGAGTTCAATCTAGTTGACTGTTTTGAGATGGCAAATGAACAAGATTCAGATATTGATGACGACTTTAGAGATTTGTACAAAGAGTACACTGGCCCTCCCAGATCTAATGCCAGCAATGTACAGGACACAGTCAAAACAAACAAAAGATCCCATGCAGGTTCTGACGAGGAAGAGGAACCTCGTGACCCTAATGCTGTCCCAACTGATTTTACCAGTCGAGAAGCTAAAGTTTGGGAGGCTAAATCTAAAGCTACTGAGAGGAACTGGAAGAAAAGAAAAGAAGAAGAAATGATCTGTAAAATATGTGGGGAATCAGGCCATTTTACTCAGGTATTTTTGTTTCTCTCTGAACATTTCTCAATTGGTCTCAGAATATCATATGTTCATTTTTTCTGCATAAGTGCTTGAAAAGGTGAACACAAAGTTTGTTCGTATAAGTTGTGATATTCAGAAGCTCTTCAGTATCTACTTGGAGGCGAGAAGGGATACATCCGCATTTTGTTGCCAAGCAAGGAGTTGAGTGTTACTACTTGGCTTCATGCCTGCCTTAAAATTTCACTAGGGGTTTATGTGGTTTGTAGGGTCTGGCCTGGATCCTTGTTCAGATTGTTTTTTGATAGCTTATTTGGACTTGGTTTAGGAGTTATTGTCGTTGGTGAGGTGAATATCATCAAGCCTATGTGTATTTGTGTAATTTTTATTGTTGAACAATTAACATTTTTGTATATTGAGAGTAGGTAAGATAAGAAAATAGGGTTGAAGTTGCATCTTTACTTACTGTCTGCCATCCATTTTTCACGTATATTGCCTAATCTTGGGTTTGGGGGTATGACCTTTCAATATGTATCCCTATAATGATGGTATTTTTTTGGGTATGTAAGGAATTGACATACATAAGCTGTTCTCCAAAATTTACCTCGGATATTGAAAAATTACGGAAAATAGTTGGCAACAACTTGAAACTCATTAATATTGTTTTTTTTTATGTGGTAAAAGGTTGCTACTAAAATGGGTTGTTATTTTTCAGTGAATGTCACTTTGAAGAAAGTTATACTCTCATGCGTTTGTTTTTTGTGTAGGGGATTTGGTCTGCTGTGCACCTTTTGGCTCTATTCTTGTTTTTATGAGGCATTGCTTGTATTATCTAGGTGCTTCCTTCAGATCTCCTTTGGATCTTTGGATTCAGGTTCTGATGGCTGAAAGGGAGAATTTTTTAGAAGGTCTCTGCATGGCTGAGAGGATGACCTCCACTTCCCCTCTCCCTCTTTTCTGTTCTTATTTTTTTTGAGTGTCGTGTCTATTTGGAAAGTATGACTAGTAGTCATCCAAAGTTGTTATAGTGAAAGTGCCCCTTTTTGTAGAATGTAGAGATAGTAAGTAATTTGCTTCCGGGTAATCGAGAGTCCGGGGAGAAGTAAAGTAGGTAGGTGCCTAACCTTTGCTTTATCTTCAGAAGGTGGTTGTCCTCAATTTCGAACCTGCAACCTCGTGATTGTTAGTCCATCACTTCAACCTTACAATTGAAGTTCTCTTCCATTGATTTAAAAACACTCGATGCTTCAGTGAAATCTTATGCTTTCATGTGCCAGTAAAAAGATTAATTGATAAATTTAATGTTTCAGATGTTGATTTTTGTAGTTATAGAGGGCTTATCTAACATATTCTGCAAAATAAGTTCTTGTATTTTTGTATTAGCGTTGCAGAATCTTCTTTCCCTCCTCCCACCCTTAGGTTTTCCCTAGTAAAGAAAGAAATCTAATGTAGTTATTCTTTGGACTTGTTTATGTTAGCACCTAAAAAGATCTTGTCTTGAGTTTTAAGTGTCTTCATTTTTTGAGTATTGTGTTCTAAGTGTATTAATACGTTTCCACCCATCTTTTGTTTTACTTCTGGAATGCTTTGTGTTATACACTGTTTTTTGGTATTCATGGTGTGGGTACTAGTGTGTGTAGTGAGGAACAGCAATGTGGTTGAGGTGGTGGTAGAGAATGGTTGTATCATTTTTTTAGGTTTGGGTTGGGGTGGGAGAGGTTTTGCAGGGAGAGGAGGGGTTTTTAATTGGGTTGATTTTGACAACGTTTGGACGGGATTCTTGTTTGCTATTCTATGTTACTTTCTCAGCAAGTATAGCAAATCTTGTTTAGGGTTGTCAACTGTCAATCGATACCTACGTTCTTCGAAAATTGTTGAATTTGTTGAATATATCGCTCGTACAATTCCAGTTACATTATTGATTGTTTTCAGTGACAATAATTGTTATAAATATCTTTCTATCAGCATGAACAGGATATGCATGCTGAAGGAATTTTGGTTATAGCATACATCCATACAAATTTGTTGTTTATATCCTCTTCTGTTTTGTCTTTTGACAACCCATGCCCCCTGGAGCTGACCAGGTTTTTCTAGTCTATCTAGCAAATTATATTTTGCGTTCTATAATATGCTGTTTGGTACAATCATAGGGTTGTCCGTCTACTCTTGGAGCAAGTCGCAAGTCTCAAGATTTCTTTGAGAGAGTACCTGCAAGAGATAAACATGTCAAAGCACTTTTTACGGAGAAAGTGATAAACAAGATTGAAAAGGATATTGGCTGCAAAATAAAAATAGAGGAGAAATTTATAATTGTTAGTGGCAAGGATAGGTTGATTTTGGCAAAAGGCGTGGATGCTGTTCATAAAATCAAAGAGGAGGGTGAAAAGAAGGGTCCGTCTAGTTCTCACATGTCCAGATCCAGGTCACCTGAGCGAAGAAGCCCTGCTGGCTCTCGGTTGGCACGCTCTGATTCCCAGAGATATGATTCCACTCCTTATAATGCATCTCAGTTCCAACAAAAAGTTTCCAGACAAGAGAAAATTGTGGAAGACCGTGTTCGTGAGGATTTACAAAAACTATCAAGGAGTTCCCCACAAGGTAGGGACAGCTTAGGATATGTTAACGGCATCTATAGGTTTGTAGTTTTTGAGGCTTCTACAAACTTTACCCATATGTTGTTTTAATTCTTTTGGTTTAGTTTCATTTGTGTTTTGTATATATTTTTAATAATGTTGGCTGTTGCTTATAATTTTGTTTGCAGCAAGAGGTAAGTTCTTATGTTCAAGCATTATCTTGAATCGAAGTGCTTAACACACACTTCCTTTGGTGAAGCTTATGGTAATGATGGAGCTAGAGGTCGTTCAAGCCATTCAAAGTCTCCAGCACGTCCCCCTTACAGGGGCAACTCATACAATTCATATGATGGTCATAGTCAGAATGCGGGAGTATACAGGACTGATGGATGGGATGCTGAGAGACGAGGATCTGGCATTCAATCTGGCCGTAAGTTTGACCATTCTGCCTTCCCACAAACTTTAGAGGAGTTAGAGTTGGAGTATAAGAGGGAGGCAATGGATCTTGGAAGAATACGAGACAAGGAAGAAGATGAAGAGAATTACAAACATCGCGAGGTTAGTAAATCGGTGTCAGTCTTTCGTTATATTTTTGTTCAGATGGTTGATGACTTGATGGCAAATTCGAAATGCCCTGGCATTTTGAGAAATGTAACTGCCAGATGATTCATGACAATTGAAGATTTGTTCTCTGATTTTTCTGTGTTTTCCCGTTCCGATCATATCTGGCTTCTAAGCACCTTCTATGCACCAGAATTGTTTTAAGCTTCCTTGGGTGCTTAACCCAGTGCAGCCATTTCCATTGCCCTATTTGTTAAGATAGAACATAATTTAATTTGTACATCAGTGCATTTAACTCTTGGTTGTGTTGAGAAGGAATTTTTATGGTTTTATGACTTCCAAGGTTGTGAGAGAGTTAAGGGAGAATCACATGAAGAAACTGGCTATTCTAAGGGGAATGCACGCAAAACAATGGGAAGAGTTTCTTCAACTCAATACCCAAAGGAGGCAACAACGGGTGCGCCAGGAAATGTCTACTGCAGTGTTTGGTGGTTATAAACAGCCCAGTTTTCCCGAGTTTGATAACTCTGTGGGCAATCCTCACTATGCCGGATCCAGTTTACCAATGGACTCTAGGGAAAGATATCCAAATCCCATGGAAAATTATCCTTCTTCAAGGCCTCAGGATACTTATGGCGACTTCCAGCGTCAGAGACATGAAGATTTTGGGAAAGCTTATAATCGATACTAAGTTAGAACATTGGAGTTAAGTTTGGTGAGTTGTCTTACTCATCACGCAAGCTATTAAATCTAAATTTTGTCTTTTATTTAGGAATTGAATTTCCCGTAATCTCTTCATCCAAGTTATCGGGTAAGTTTCAGGCTTCATTAGATTGGCTCTTGAAGGGGGCCTTGCTCGGGATACAATCCCAAAATGAATTTGGGAAATTTAGATGTGCTTTATGCATTTTTCAGCAAAACACACCACGATGTTTCTCCCAGATGCAGAAGTTGTATTTACGGGTTTTGCAGGTTTTCTTTTCCTTGTACTGCATGAGCCTAAATTACCACTCCGGAAATTTTCAGGGTGCAATTCTTGGTTTGGTACAAGCATGCACAGGGGAGCCCCATTCTAGGTATGTATGTTACTTGTGCTTTTGGCCCGTGCAGAAGGACACATTTGCATAAACCTTATAGTTGGGTGAGGTTGTTCCTTTTAAGTTTGGTGGTTATGTTTCGGAACATCATCATTGTAGACAAGTGAGACATGGTTTTCACTTCTTAACTAAGCTGTTTAGTGTTTGAAAGTGACAAGTAAAATGATTTGAGCTCTTTCCTGAAGTTCTGAACCAACTTTGATCGAGTTTTTGTTTGATATCAAGGTAGGAATCGATGTGCATCATTTTTTGCATCCGTTCTTGTCCCGACAAAAAATTAAACAGGTTTAGTACGGAGGGTAAGCCAGAAGTTTATAATCTCTTTATCGATTCTGAAAAAAGGGTAGACACTCTTTTTTCTATAGTCATTATGATTGAGTCTGCAATGTCATTTTATGTGCCGAGAGAGTAGTGTGGGCAAGATTGGTACAATTTTTCCCTTTTTTTTTATGTAGTTGGTTGAATGATGGTGGTGCATATCTGATTCAGATTTGAGAAGATGTCCAAATGAAATTTTTCTTGGGCAAGGTTTGTAAACAGGATATTATGGCTGATTGGGCATCATTTCTTATGCTGCTTATTAACAGGTATATTTGAAAAAATTGTCAGTAAGTACGGCGTTTCAGTTGGTAAATTCAAGGATTAAAATTTTATTTTAGTGTACTGTTTCAGACACTTAGGAAACGCAAATGTTTTTTGGAAATATTTTAAAATATTCTGAAATATTGGTTAAAATATGCGAGAATATTTTTAAATACCTCGAATCATTTTAAAACAATGGTGTAAACAAAGCTGAAACACTAGGAAGCATTTTAAAACAATGGTGTAAACAAAGCTAAAACATTAGGAAACATTTTAAAATATTGAAATTTTAATTTTATTATTGATATGTTTTGGTCTTCATGAAAATGGAAATGGTTTGACAATTTTGAAATAAAATTTTGGTCCTTGGATAAATTATAATTTATATCTTTAAAGTATGAAACTAAATTTTATTTGGTCACTCAATTGTAACAATCAAACCTTTAAGAGTCTTAATTTAAGCACTTACATTAAAATTTACTAATTTATTATGATGAAATGACCTTTCGTGACAAACACATTACTTGGGTGAAGAGTTATACTTATTTGGTGAAATATCTTGTGTATGGTCTAAACTTTATTCATTTGATATTGAGAAAAAGAAGGTAACAAATTCAAAAAAAGAAAAGATATAGAGTAAGAAATGGAGAGATATTGTGAGATAGATAGATAAATATTGATATATGTGAGATATATATATTTTTTTGATAAATATACATTTGTGGGTAAGTATTGTGACGTTTTTTCTGTCGGAACAAATTAATAGATTTGCATGTAAGGATAGAATTGCTTCAATTAAAATTTTAGGGATCAAATAAAAATTATGTGCATACCTTAGGGTTATAAATTGTAAATTACCCTTTCAGATAAGAGAGGACTAGTTTTGGAATAAGCTAAAATCCTCTTCTAGATTACGTGGAGAAAGAGTATGTGCAATGTTAAATGTACTTTATTATTGGTGATTTTATCATTTTTTGGGATCTACCATATTATAAGACAAGATCACTAAATTAGATAAAAAAAAAAAAAAAAAAAATTCCTATAAGACAAATTCGTGGAATTGGTGGTAGTTATTTTATTTTTTTTTGGGGGGGGGGGGGGGGGGGGTTGTTTGGTGTGCCAGCGGTGGGGTGTGAAGACTCCATTTCTGCTACCTTATTCCGAAGTAGACAAATTCGAAATTTGGTTATCCTTGGAAATCGTAATATAAGTAGACGGATGCAACCTTCCAGGTTCCAAACAAATTCATTTGAATTCGTATTTGTAGAAGACTTCTTCATGAAGTCTATTTTCCAACTATAGCATCGGTAATTAACACAGGCTGGACTACTCGAGTTGAGGTCCTCCTGTATAAACATAGCATTCAACTCTTATTTCTATTTGCATTTGTAAGTAGTGTATTGCTTACATTTTTTTTTTTGAGGAGGAGAGTTTGAATCCTTGATCTCAAGAAAATAAAACCTTTCCAAATATAATAGAATTTACATTTGCAGCGGAATTGGGGCCGTGGTCTGTCAAGGTCAGAGACATGCTTCTTGTGTATGGCGTAGATAATTTTCAGAAAGTTAAGAGTATTGATTGTAACGATTGGGTGAGGCGTCCTTTTTTAAAAAAATATTAGGTGTAACTACATCATTATTATTATTATGTAATGATACCATCTAATAAAAACGTAACAAATAAATATATGTATATATTATAGTAACCACTCATGTCATTTATTAACCACTCAAATGAGATTTAATTTTTCTCATTTGTAGATTTATTATTAAATTGTGATACCACGTGTTATTAACGATGTAGTTTTGCCATTATATCCAATATTTATTCCTTTTGCAAAGCATATATGCCGGAACAATAATTCTACGCTGATCAAATTTTAGGACTAAATTAAGAGCCAAAATAACATGACAACATATTATTTAGAATTTTTATTGGAGCTCAAATAACATGATACCAAATAAAGAAGTTCAAGTTAGCTGTCATATCATTTGAACTTTTAATTTGATCACAAAATTTGATCGGCGTAGTATTACTGATGCCGGAATAGTTAGGAGTATGGCAAATTATGAATTGTCTCCTTGTGGTTTGTCCCTTTTCATGTGATTTACTTGTCGTTTTAAACTATCATCAACAGACAGAGGATTTTACCTTTCTGCCTAATCTCATTGAATGCGAGGCTGAAGTGCTAGCAAGTCAGTTTTGAGAGTGGCTCGGGTGTGCTTTGGTTGCCTTCGCGTTGAGATTTAGTGAGTGGTGTTCTTTTCGTTTTAGTTCATATAAATATTTCGGATGTGACGATAACTTCACATAGGTTTCACTAGGAGCCGTACACTTCTACGGGTGATTATACAGCTTTGAATTTTGGAAGAGGTTGTGCAGCTGTGAGTGGTGGTAGAGGTGCAATCCTTGGTGGTGGCGGAGGGAGAAGGCCATTAGAGGGCTTTGATATCTCTGCTTTTTGGTTGCTGCAATGTTTGATATTAATTTCTAGTTGTAATGTCCACTGTTTAAAAGTGGAATCTTGAACTCGATAGGAAGTTGAATTCTGAAATCTTCGTTGAATCAAAAAATTAAAGTGCCTCTCCAAGATACAAATCCCTTATGAGGCATTTCATCGAATAGGTAGCAAGCATGCATGGCCAAGTCCGTAGACAAAGTTACAAATGACACAGAATCTGGGTTTTCGAAAGGGTGCTGAGAGCTGAACCAAAAAATGGGTGCTGAGAGAGATGTATAAGCCCTTTCCGCTTTCCCCCTTCTTCATAGCAGGACTGTGCCATAAATGTGGGGTTGTTTGAAAGAAAGACGAAAATGGATTTTTATTATCCATTAAGTGGCATTTTAGGCATTAAATTGTTCACTTTTGGAGGGAACCATCACATTTATTCCTATATAATCGTGAACTTTAATTAATTGCATGCATGTATGTTCTAAAACCTGAACGAAACGTCACTTTTATGATTCATTCACACCAATAGCTCATACGTCTTCCAGTTCTGGTGAATGCATCTCCTTCATCTTTCAAGGATGAATACCTCCATTCCATGTCTATGTGTGTATCAGTGTATGTCAGAGAGAGAGAGAGAGAGAGAGAGAGATGACCACCACTCACTTGGTTCAGTTCTGCGACAGAATCATAGAAACAACAATCACATACCACAGTTCCATAGCCGATGATTGGGTGCGGAGCATTCGATCCAAGCACAATGGACAAAAGATAATAGTAGGCTTGGACTGTAAGTTTAGATCTCACCCCATCAGATCAATGAGTAACAAGATTGCAACCTTACAGCTATGTGTTGAGACCAACTGTCTTATAGTCCAACTGTTCTACCTGGACTACATTCCCATTTCCCTTGGGAATTTGTTAGTCGACCCTGACATTACGTTTCTTGGAATTGAGGTTTATTACAATGTGTTGAAGCTACAGAAAGAATATGGGATAAATTGTCGCAACAAGGTTGATATTCGTTCATTAGCAAAAATATGGTTTCCGATAAGCTGTCATCGAAACCCTGCAGGTTTAAAAGCTCTTGCATATGGAGTGGCAGGGCTTTCCACGCGGAAACGCAAGAACAGCTCTGAGTGTGATTGGGAATGTAGGGATCTTGGTGATGAGCTGATTGAGTATGCCTGTGTTGATGCTTATGCTTTGTATAGAATTGGGCACGAGCTGCTTAAGATGTAGTGGCTTCATAGTTTCAGGATTTTGGTATTATATAATTTGCCCATTAATTTGTTTCCTTATTCACATATTTTGGGCATTTTAATGAATCTTGAAACAAATGCTAATGTATTTTACTGATCTTTCTGGTTCCTTTTCTCAATTGTCCAATGTATGTAGGATTGGTTTTTTGTTTTTGTTTAATTTGCATTTGTTTAGTTGTTAAAACATTTAAGATAGAAATGTTTTACTTACCAAATTTGTATCTTAAATCAACAAGGATGGTTGGATCAGTGGATCCCGTTAAAAAAAGTTATTATGACCCATTGTTCCAATCACTCTTATTGATTTGAGATGCAAATTTGAGTTGTGTAGCATTATTGTAAAAAATGCGAGCCGGTACAATCAACCCTTAAAATATACAGATGAAGTCCATTGCATACTTAACATCATCTTCACAGAGAAAGACAGGGAACCGAGGATCACACTTAATTGTCTGGCATAAAAAATAAAAAATCTATTTTTTTCAATTTATGTTGGGGGCATTTTTATTCTGATCCGTTTGAAGCAAAAATAATTTTTATCAGCACTAAAAAAAATTGAAAAATGAGACTTATCTAAGAGTTTTCAAGGAAAAACTGATTTTTTGGAAATACTTCAAACAGTTTTAAAAGTTTTTTTAACTCTCATTTTTTTATTTCACTTTTTAAACTTTTATTTTGCCCTAAAGAAACTAGCTCTAAACGGGCCTATTATATAACAAGATCACATCAAATGACAGATTCTGAATCATATTTCTTTAAAATTGTGTTCGTGATATCAAAGTTTGCCATGCTCACAGAATGGCTATCATCGTTCAAATGTTTTTGTATATTCATCTTTGCTACTAAAAAATCTGTTCTTATAAACTTTGGATTCTCGTCCGTAAGAATCACTGATTAGAGTGATGAGTTGAGCACAGACTTCCCTCCGTCAAGCACAAACCCTGCTCTTAAGAGGACCAACTGACCAGGTTCAGATGTCCATTCCGACTCCTTGACCTTAATTGAGTCCAGGATTCTTGTAAATCGACTATTATTCCCCAGATATATACTAATTCCAAAAAAAAAAAATCGTAGTTTTGTTGAATAAATTGAACAAAATGGCTACAATTTTTGTTGTTTAGCAGACAAATATTTATTATTGCTTGTTTCTAGTGGTTAAAAGCAATGTAAATTCCCAAAAAAGGTCAAGGCAACAGCCGTATGCTCTCCAAAGTGATTGCACCGTTTGGGCTTCCATGGGTGGATTCTTGTATATAAAGCCTGAAGGTCATGGCTGAGGGAGCCAAAGATCTAAAGAGATGGCTACCAAATATATGGTTCAATTCTATGACTCTACCATAGAAGCAACAGCCACTGACAAGGCTTCTGTGGTGCAAGATTGGGTTCACCAAATACGTTCTTACCATGGACGGCAAATCATTGCAGGCCTTGACTGTGAATGGAAGCCTCCTATTGTGCAATCTATGAGCAACAGAAGTGCCACCTTACAGTTATGCGTTGACGCCAAGTGTCTCATACTCCAAATGTTTTACATTGACTACATTCCCCAGTCCCTCAAAAGTTTTCTGAGTGACCCTAATGTTACTTTCGTTGAAGTTGAGGTTGGGGATGATGTTTTGAAGCTAAGAGATGAATACGGACTACATTGCACGAGAACATCAGACATTCAAGCATTGGCCATGGCAAGTTGGCCTTGGATGTTTTTTGGAAAACCTGGTCTGAAATATCTTGCTAATGAGGTTGTCGGGCTCTATATTCAGAAGCCTATACATATTTGCCAGAGTAATTGGGAGGCTAGAGTTCTTGATGCCGAGCAGGTTGAGTATGCTTGCATTGATGCTTATGCTTCATATAGAATTAGGCACAAGTTATTCACGCGGATGTAAGTGGGGTTCATTGCTGTGTGTTTTGTCCCCAGTTTTTGTCAGATAGAAAATGGTCTCCAGTGTTGTGTCGCATTTTGGCTTCTAGTTTTGTCAGATGGGTGGTTCTATATAGTATCCTATCGTAGCGCTAGCTTTTCTGCTTATTTTGGTAATCAGGGTTTGACCTGAGCATTGTTTAGCTGCCTCTTTCAGCATTAGCGCTCATCTTTTGCTTTGAATATTTTGCACTTCATGATGAGGTGGTCCAAATTGCTGTCTATATGCATTTTGCACGGTTTTATCTGAGGTTTTACCCTAACCCATAGGGTTTTTGAACCTTATACTCAAAAGAGGGTAGTTTTTAAACTATTTTCTCAAACCCATGCCCTTTTAAAATGTCCTTTTAAAATGTCATTCTAATTTTCAGTTGACCTTTTTAATTATCAGACGTCACTTGAATTGATATTTTTCACTGAAAGACATTGACAATGACGTTTTTAAGTGAAGATAAAAAGCTATTTATTAATGTAGAACACTAATGGAATCGACATCTTCTTAAAAACGTCATTTGGACCAACGTTTTTAATGCTATCGTCTACCCCCCATTTCCCCCTTTCTTCTTTCTCGTCCATTCTCTGAGAATTAGAAGCCCTAACCTAACCTGAAATTGCCACCACCTACCACCACCCACTCCACCCCCACCATCGGAAATCACTCCACCCACTTCTTTATCTTATTCCATTCTCTTTCCTTTTCCACATTTTATGAGATTGGAGCCCTAACCCGATATCCCCACCACCCCCATCGACCCCCACCATCGGAAATCACCACCTCCATCACAGAACCCTCCTATCATCCACACAGCAACCACTATTCCTCCACCGCCGGTCTGAGAAGGCCTCCACCACAGTCACCCCCCACTTTTAGAAATCATCACCACCACCCCCACCTTCTGAAATCTCCACCATCCCCCCACCTTTGAAAATCCCCACAATTCCCCCACCTTCACAAATCATCACCATCACCCCCACGTTCGCAAACCAAGACACACACAAACATCATTCGGAACAACGTCACAATGCAACAACCACTCCTCCACCGCTACTTTGACAACGCCTCCACCATAGTCACCTCCACAATAGGTAACTCTCCTCTCGTTTGAATGAAATAGGTTTTTATAGGGTGTTGATTTAGAGTAAGATTTGTGTGTTAATTGAAATAGATTGTGTGATAATTTCAGCCAATAAGATTTTTTAGGGATTTTAGGTGTTAGGGTTTTTGTTAATCGCATGGAATACATGCTGAGTTGATTATTATTGGGTGTTTATTTTGTGAAAATTGTAGGCTTATTTGTTTTTTAATTGGGTTTTCAATTTGAGTGTTGAACAGAGTTTGTGAAATTTCAACTTGATTTTTCTTTTCTTGTGAAATAGGTTTATAGTGTCTTCATTTGATGAATGTTAGGGTTATTTATATAATATTATATGTTAATTTATTTTACTTCCATTATTTTGGAGATTTTGTGTCAATTAGTACGAAATAGATTGTGTTAATGAAATTGAAATCAATTTTTTTGATCAAGTGTTTGTATATACATATTGATTTTTACTATCAACCGATTGATATTGAAGTAGATCTACAAATATTTATGATTTATTGATTTAGTCAATTTGAGTTATATGTTTCTTGAGGACTAGTTTATTGGAGTAGTTTGTGTCTTTTATTGTAGGTGTGTATAAGTATTGTGTATATGAGAGTTAGGTAATTCTAATTTAATTATTACTTAAGGTTTGGTTAATTTGATGAGTTTTGTGTAGATAAATCTATATTTTTTCTTATGTTTATAATGTTTTGGATTGGGCACGTCTCTTGAATATATTAGACTTGAATTTTTTGGATATAATAGAAAGGTTCACATATCTCGAAAAAAATGAAAATAACATATAGCTCCCCATAAAAGCCTATCAAAAAGAGGAAAACCACATTTTTAGTAAAGTCTAAGCTTTCCTTCCGTTCTGCGATAGTAGTTTTAAGACGACCTAAACCTCTGCTCACGATGTAATAACATTGTAGTTATGTCTCTTAGTCAGCAAGTACCACCAATGTCACTGTTTGTATCAAAGTTCATGGTATTGGTTTGATCTCCTAGTTTGTTTGTTTGCTTGCTCAACATTTCTAACTCTAAGGATTTCATATTTTATCAATTCTTGTATGTCGAATGCGTTAAATTCCATGGGACTTTGATTAATTATGGATATATTCTTTGTCAAGTATTAACCTTTTATATCAATTCCCAAGTTCTTGTGAATTCAGAACTTATTCCACAATTAAAATGGTGGGAAAACACGTAACTGTTTTGTTATATTGGGGTGGACAAATGGAATATGGATCGGAGGGTTTATCATATAATTATCCTCCTAGAGGTGAAATTTTTATTAATAGTGGCACACAACTACCGGAGTTGTTGAGTAAAATTTATATTGTAATGAGATTGGACAGGGCGCATAACAAGTTGAAGTTGACATGTAGATATCAATTTACACTTGGAATATGACCAAACATGAATACATATGTCGGTTTGGAAATTATGAACGATGAACTTGTGACTTCTATGGTTAATGTGGTACTTAACAACCCCAACATTACTAGTGTTGCTTTGTACGTGGAGACGGAGGACATCAATGCTGGCATAGGCAGTAGTTAGACCGGAAGGTGTCTAACAACCACTATCATATCTTACACTGAGTTACTTAGGTGAGAGATGGGTACCTCGACATTTCTAACTTTCGGATTGACAGGTGAATGTTCAACTTCCGTGGGGATGCATGTAATGGATGAGTCTGGACAGTACTCATACATCCACCAAAGAACTGGCTCTGCAACATACGGTGGGTACTCAGCCAATAATTCATTGAATCAAAATTTTCAAATGGGTGAGGTGAGAATTGAGTTGAGTGAACAAGATGATGTCCATCAACCAATATTGTAACAAAGTCCAATCCGAAAATATGAAGAAATGTGTACAAATGATCGTATAAATGTCTTTGATGATGAAGAAGAAGAGTTTGAGAAAGTAATGATTACTGAGCTGGATAACAAAGATGGGAATGGTGAAGACATTGAGGCTAGCACGAAAGTTCGGATGCATAAACCTTACTCCACCTCCTTCATAATTACTGAATTTGGTCAGCATTCTGAAACAGATAACTTAGTATTATCTTCTGAAATAAATTTGTGGGATCTGGTGAAGATGGAGTTGGCGAAGGGCATGATTTTTTAGAATAAAACTTCATTGATTAGGGTAGTTAAATGGTATTTCATCAAGTTGGATCAGGATTATGTCATGGTTGAGACGAACGTAACGGTGTGGACTATGCAGTGCAACATGTACATGCAGCCTAATTGCATGTGGAGACTACGTGCTTGTTTCAAGAAAAAACTCAATATGTTTTAGATTATAAAATATGATGGACCTCATACGTGCTTCTACCCTCGAATGAGTCGTGACCATCGACAATTAGACTCTAATTTTATATGTCATAATATACTAGGACTTGTTGGTGATATACCACAAATAAAAATGTCAACAATTCAAAAGAATATAAAGGAAAAGTTTAAGTATGATATTTTCTACAAGAAAACATGAATTGCGTGGAAAAAAATCATTGCTAAGATTTTCGGTGATTAAGACTCGTTGTATGACATGTTGCCTAAGTTTTTGGGTGTTATCAAGAAGTATGACCCTGACTCAATTGTGAAGTGGCGATACAATTATGAATCTCCTGAATACAATATTTTTTACGAGTATTTTGAACATTCAAGACTAGCATTAAAGAGTTTAAATATTGTCGATCTGTTATCAGTATTGATGGGACATTTTTGCGCAGGAAGGACAAGGGAAAGTTGTTAGTGACAATTGATTTTGATGGTAATAAGCAGTTGTTTTCCATTACATTTTTACAATGTGTAGTCACAATGAATGACAATGATGCAATTGTCATGTTGTACTTGTTTCTTGTTCATCAGCTCATGTTGATGAAGACTTTGCATTGCACTTCAATGCACTGGCGTGTAGTCACAATCAAAATCATGTGACTACACACTAGTTCAATGCCAAAAAATTCTCATACTGTTGAATGTATCATCGGCGTGAATCGATGTCAATAAGGGTCTAGTAACTTTAATGTATTAGTCTTCTTAGTGTGTAATCACATTGACATTTACCAGTGTGTGGTTACGCTGACAGATAATAGTGTGTAGTCACATTGACTGCACACCTTTTTTAATGTTTGACGGTCAACTCAAATATAAAGGTGACTACACACTACTGCAAAGTTGACAAATAGGCTTATACGACAAAATAAGTGATTGCACACTACTACATTTAAGACAATGAAACTACCATAAAAACACAATACAGGGGTGATTCATATAATGTGTATTGCACCATATGTCTACATCAAGACCACGAGCCGGTGATAACAGTCGTAGTCATCAACCAGTTTGATGATTACAAGAGCGAGATGATGATTACAAGAGTAAGAGATTTTCTGATCCAAAAGAGTATTATGCCAGACTCCGACGAGAGTGGATTTTTTCGTGCTAATGAATCACACTTGTTATGCACGTATCTAAGAGAACTTGGTATACCAGTGCCACATTGACTTTCACTTACCATGCCACGAAGGAATATAGTGAACTATGAAGCAGCAGTTAAACGTGTACGAAAGGAGAATAATAGAATGATGTTATGTAAGTATCGATATTATATGCTCCAAATAACAACTGACATGGTGGCAACTGCATTTGACAGGGAGTTGACAGATACTGAGCGATCTACTATATTGTCTAATGAACAATACCTATTAGATGAGTATATGTCTAATGAAAATTAACAAATGTAATTAGTGTGCAACTTATTAAGCATATAACGTTTATGTCTACATCTTATTTAGTGTTAATCGATATCATAGTTTTATCAGTCTATTCAGTGTTTTGTCATATCAACTATGTCAATGTCACATTTTGTCATTGTCAAATCAGTTCCGAACTTTGCAACGTGATGTCCGTTCGCTATTATTTTAAATTGTTAAACTGAGCATATAAATACTAGCATTCACAATTCTCTAAATTCATCACCACTAAACAAAATGTATTGTTGCACATCACATACACAATATATCCAAATATGTAAAATTCGGGTAAATTTAAATTTTTTATGAAAAAGAAAAAAACGATAATTTACTGTTACAGTACGGGTTAAAAATTCAATTTTTTCTAGTACTCAAATGACAAAATGGACCTCACCGATGAATTCATCTCGCGAAATCTAGTTATCCTGTTAATTTTGTCGAATTTTGAGACAGTCAGATTTTTCACGTTTTATGAAATAATTAGATGTCAGGTGACCTCATAAACGAACTTAGAAATAAAATTTTAAAAATTAGATAACGATTTAAATCTAGTTGAAATAAAAATATTTTAAACTTGAATCGGGACGAAATTTAATTATTTCGGGATGAAATTGGACCTGGGAATGGAGGACGTATGGCACGAATGGAGAAAATAGGAGAGAAAATTTGATTTAAAGGGTATAAATAGGGGAGAAAATTTGATTTCTCCCCATTTTCAGCTGGGTCTTCATGTTGGAGAAGGAAGAGAGGGAAAAAGAGAGATCTATAAATTTCTCTCTACGATCTATGCCTTCCCGTTGTTTGAATCAACATGAGCCAAGAACAAAAGTCGATCTCCTTGTCGTGGGCTACGTGACCATACAAAAAAGGACGGATTTCACCGAAGTTTAAAAAATGTGAATTTAGAAAAAGTTTGGATTAGAGTTTGTTTCGGGTTTTTGAAGCTTCCTACGGTTATTTTACGCTTTAAGAGGTAGAGTTTTTATCCTAACTGAATTTATTTCCAACCTAGGATAATTATATTAAATGGGTAGGTTGTTAGATGTATTTAACACTTGCCTATTATTGTAAATTGATGAAATGAGTATTAAAAATGGGTAGAATAAATTCTATCTTGAATTGGGTATGTAGAAATTACTTAATGTGATTTCTTGAGTTATGTGATGAAATTGGACATTTTATGTGATTACATGATTTGGTGTCTAGAACGTGTTTGATTTAATGCCTATGTGAAGTTAAGTGTGTTTTGCATAGATAATGTATAACATGCCTGGGAAATTGTCGTTGAATGTAGATGTTGATATATGTTAGATGATTTATTGATATTATGAGGATTTATAAAAATTACAGTCTTATAATATAATTAACCATGATGTATGTTGAAATGTGATTGAGATTGTTCATATGACATACATACATATTGGACATGATATTGATATCACAATTGTACATTGCATTGCATATGCATGGAGGCATTGTATTATGTGGGTGTGTGTGCATAGTTGTCATCAAACACCACACTTGGTGGATGATGGATGGGTTTGGAAAAGTTGGATCAAAGATCCAGTTGAGTCGTATTGTTTGCATTGAAAATTAGGTCGGGGTTAGTAAGAAGGGCTAGACAATCCTTCGGGTGTGAGATCTGGTTACTATAGATACGCACTCCATTGGTATCGAGCCCATAAAGTGTGTCGGCATATGCGGGGTCGTTGGTAGAAGTCCAGTGGAAGGCTCTCATTCGGGGCCTCGTGGTTAAAGAAAAGGCAAGATGTGGCTTTTGAAACATATTTTTTAAAAACTATTATTTTATTTAGTTTTGAACATGCAATATTGGAAATAATTGTAATATGAACTTATATGAACTCATTTTGCTTAAACTTGATGTTATATGAGTTTGATATGATGTTGTATAAGTTTGGGATGGATTGAAATTGAAAAAGGAAGGAATCATAAGAAAATTGATAAAACCTACGGGTAGAACGTCGAGTACTTTTACTGGTAGAACTTTTCCAGTAGGCAAAACCTACCGGTAGGACGATGACAAACCTACCGGTAGGTTTTCCAAAAATCTCAAATTTGAAGAATGCTTTGCCAAGTTTTCGGGCTTTGTGTCCTTTTATTCTAGAGATGTAAATGAGCAATAATGGAGTATAAATTGTTGTATATTGGACATTGAATGAGTCATGTGGTTGAATGGTATATAAGCTATATGTTAGGAGTGCCCGGTTTAAGGGGGACTCTATCCAAACTTTGAGTAGTCGTGATCCCAGTAATGAGGATGTTATGACGTGGTGTCGGGTTATGAGGTATTCACGGGTATTTTTGTGGATTGATGATTGATCAACAGTCGACAAAGGACCCCCAATTTTAGGGGTGCCACACAACCAATGAAGGTTCTTCTTCACGCAATGACCAAAATAGTTCATTTTCGGCTAACAAATGTGAACGCTCAACTAACAGATCAACATCGCTGAACAAAGTTCCTTCTATTGGATCATATACTAATTTCAGTGGTGTACCGTGGTATGAACGAAAGCGTGCATTTTGTAATGAGCTCATCAATTCTTATCACCCATTCGATCAAGCTAGACATGTAATTGTTGGGCTTGCAATTGACTATCCGTCTCCAAGTGCTCATATTGAACCCACGCTAAGATGACGACAATTATATGACAAACGTTGTGACCTTGAAGTATTTTATTGTTGGCATGGACTTGGGGTACCAAAGACACGTTCGGCTGATATCTACGATCCATAAAATTCAAACAATCATGACGAGATCATATCAAGGTTTGAACATGAAAATTATCAAATGCAGCGTTGTCTTGATTGGTTCTATGCCATCAATTATGCAAAAACAAAGTATTTAGATCTTGAATATGCCGAAATATAAATTTTAGAGGATTCGTTACTTGTTTCCGATCTTGAACTTTCTGATTTCTCTAATCTTGACGGTGATGTGTCTGACACTTTTATTCACAATGTTTATATGTATTCGATAATCTTTTCTGTTGTTTTGAACATCAAGCATGTTATTAACAACCTTTTTTACTCCATCAAATTCACTGCAACGTGTTATGAAATAAATGCTCAATTTTTTGGTTATGAATAACTTCTATTTTTACATCGCTTAATAACATTATTGTCGACATGATCAAAATTAAAAATGAAACTTTATTTTTTTTATATGTATACATTTAAAATTATATGATAAAATTAAAATTAATTATATGTATACATTTTTTATTTTTTTATTTTGATATAATCAAAATGTATGTGTTTTGAAATTATCATCAAAATTTATTTATTTTTAATATAAATAATTTTTTCAATAAATAAAATTAAATATTTACTCATAAAAAAGAGAGGGAGAAAAACTCTAAAAACGTTAGCTGGACACTCATAAAAATTTGAGGGAGCTTTAAAAGCGTCAGTCTAACTGACGTTTTCAGTGAAAACGCTAGTTGGACCAACGTTTTTAGAAAAAGTCAATTCAACTACCATTTTCATTAAAATTGTCAGTTGACATTTGAGCCATTTTACATGCTTGTATACTACAAGAGAAAACGTCACTTGTTCTGACATTTTTATGCTAAAAACGTTACTCCAACTGATGTTTTAAGTCTGAAAACATCATTCCAACTAGCTTTTTTAAAAGGACATGGGTTTGAGAAATAGTTTGAAAACTACTCTCTTTTGGGTATAACATTCAAAACCCCCATAGATGAGGGTAAAATCTCGTTTTATCTTCCATCTTCCCCGGGTTTATTGCTAACTAGTTTATCTAATAAAGTTCAGCTGAGACATTTTACACTTACATGTGAGCACAAACAAAAAAAAAACAAACCTTTGGTTGTGCCGTGGTGTTGATCATACTAATTTGGTCTCTTCTGGAGTTGTTATTGGTTAACTTACAATAACACTTTATGTAGTTTTTAATCATTTGGGGTATTGTTATAAGTTCAAAATTACATTATATTTTTCACATAGGATTTGCATTTTGGAAGACACTCCTCTGTTAGTAAGCCATTACTTACTACTGTACAAGTGGTGTCACATCTCATGTTTTTGATAATGTGATGCAATTGTTACATTAAATTTTTTTTCACTTAACTATAAGAAAATATTTAATGCAACAGTGATACGAAAACACTGCTGCTTATTGGTTTTCGACCGGTGATCTTTACTCCATCAACTCTAGGATTGTATAATTCCTCAAAAAAAGGTATTTGAATTGGAAAATTTACTGATTTTTGAATGTTAATATGATTCTTTGTCAATGAAATACTTGAGTGATTGACATTCTTGCATTTTCCTTCTCAATTTCTTCAATCTTTCTCTTTTTTCCTTTGGTTTCTCTATATTTTTTTGTCATTCTTTTAATTTGAAGATGATCTTTGTGCTAATATTGGTCTTTAAAGCTGCATTGACACCTGAACGAACTTTTATGGCAATTGAAACAACATCTCAATTGTTTCTTGTGTATATGCGCGCTTATACAAATTTATAACTCTTGCTTCGGAACATAATTTTTTTCGAGGGAAAACGTAATTTTTTATTATCTAATATAAATTTCTTACTTTCTTGTACTTTGAATTGTAGAATTATAGTTATTGTTTCAAGTTCTGAACCTGTTTCTGTGATCAAAAGTCTAAACTCTGGGTTTTTATTTTCAGTGAATTGGAGGTACTTGATATGGGGAGGGAATATGGAAACAAGTTGTGTTTATTTATCAGTGAACATTTTTATAGAGGTTTTTGGTTGTTTCCATGTGAGATGTTTGTACTTTGTAATCCCATAAATTAAGATACCGCACTTGAACACTGTTTTCACCTATTCACTTTTGCGTAGAATTAGGAAAATAATTTTTTTGCCAATTAACGTTCCTGGTGTGGATATCAGTTTTAATAATCTTATATTTTAGGGTTAGTTATTGAATATTTTGAGAGCAAAGATCGATCGTTATGATCCATAGAGATAAGGGTAAAACAAGGGTAGATTTTTGTTGGATGGACTCTAACACTTCAAAATAAAGGGACTTTCTAGTCGATCTTGAGAGTGGTGTGATAAGTTGTGAAGAGGAGACGCACAATGATCCTGTTTCAAACAATAGGCCAGCAAATAATTTGTCGACTAAGCTTTTTAGTGGAGTTTTGGGTTTTAATGGATCCAACATGGGCGAATGTGGTGTGAGCTCGCATAGTGATTTGGGAAAGGCTAATGGGATTCCATATGAGAACATCGATTTGATAATAGACAAGAGTTCAAGAGGAGGTTAGAATGGCAAGCATGTAGCTCTTGAGAAGAAAAAACTGATAGAGAAATGTAAAGCAACAAACTCTAAAAAGGCTCCCAAGCCATCGCGACCTTCGACAAGGCCGTTGTTGGATGCCACTAACATGAAGTTGGTCAAAGAGATATCTAAGTTTGCCATGAAAAAGCGTGCAAGGATTGACCACATGAAATTGATAAAGAAGATGAAAGCAACCAAACCATTGTTATCCTCTAACAACGCCCTATTTGCCATGGTTGTCACATTTGTCTTTTGCCTCATAACAATCTTCCAAGGTATAGGGGAACCTTCCTTTTTTTTTTCTTCCCCCTTTTATTACTTATTTCTGCAATTTATCGGTGTTATATGATTGTAATGAAAATTTTTATTAGTTCTTTGACCCTTTAACATGTTAAGAAGCATAGGATAGGACCATACAGATATTTCTTATCGAAGAAGCAGACAATTTCCCTAAATATATGTTCATAAGAACCAAAAACTATCGTGTATTGTAGTCTTGGATGCAAATTCACTCCTCTGGTTAGAGCCTAAACCGTCTTATCAATGATGCGTCCATTGTGGGGGAAGGGGTGCTTGGTTTTAGAATGCTGCATTCCAAATACTGAAGTAAGCTTAAGTGCTTTGATGTTGTTGTTCCACATAGTCATCTTAAGTCATTTCTTTTTGTTGTCTAGATAAGTACTTGGATAGTGTTTTGGCTCTGTTTCAAGAGATAATAGGGTATCATCTCTTGTTTTGGACGGGTTATTGTTATATATTTGAATAGGGTGGTTATATCGAATGCTCACAAGGCTGCAAAAAAAGGCAGTGCAAGTGGGTGCTCTGGTAAAGTATGTTAACTCTTGTCTAGGTAACTCCCTAATCTGTTGAGATGTAGTTTGTTATGGTTGTGTTCCTTTGCATTTATATACAAAATAGATTAGTTGGCCACCAAAAAGCAGAAAAATGGAGCAAGATGTTTATTTTGAAGATGACATGCTAATTTTCTGTCTAACACACAAAAATGGAAAAAAAATTACAAACCCTTACGTTATTGAGATTCAAACTACAAGAATTTGGCCTAGAAATAGTTGCATTGAGAAATTATAGGGGTCTCCTGAATTATCTACAGCTACAAATGGCTTGATATCAGTTTAGTTTTACAATGACCTTTTTGGCAAGCAATGGCATTGGACCAAGTTCCAAGTCTACCATGTTTGTATTCCTTGCTTGCCCTATTTAGAATCGTCTTGATCTCTTTCTTTTTCTTCAGAAGGTGATCTAAGGTTATTTTAGTGCCATCTTATATGTTTGTTGTTTTTATGATTCTTTGTGATGCACTTCGGTAGAACAGAATTCAGACCGCCTAAATGAGTTACTAGATAATGTGGTTCATTGAAGGCACTCAGCTGCAGTAACAACAATGGTCATGTGATTTTTACGTATTTGGCATCAGGGCAGTGAGTGGCTTATTAGTAACCACAATAATTATTTTTGTATATGTGTATAAATTACTGGAGCATTAGATGACAGTTTGTAGAACTTTTCTTTTTTAATTTATTAAATTCATTGTAAATACTGCAATATGAATCCCATTTTTCACCATAGCTAAAAGTTGATGTTATTACTCTGGAATTGCATATAGAATAAGCTCTTGATCTGAAATTCAAATGGGAAGATATGAACCAAATTCAATCAAATAAAATGTTTCTTCAATTGTTGCCTTTGCCAACACTTCGGTAATTGGGTCATTCGTGAATCCTCAACCTTATAAACTTTGGGAAAAGTCTACGTGTTGGGTTTTTTGTAGAGTTTAGTTGTGCATTGATCCAGATGATGACCCGATCTAAAATAATGTTGCGTGATTTTTTAATGAAAATTTTTCTGAGGCTTAGTCCATGGATCCTGTACGATGGCCGCACTTTGTTATTTTGGTGATTAGGGTTTTGGATCTTGTACGGCGGCCACACTCTGTATTCTTTCTTGATAATAGTGAAATTCTTACAGTTTCGTGGATGTAGGCAAATTGTCAAACCACGTAAATTATGTGTTGTGTGATTGTTTAGATTGCATTGTTATCGTTCTTTTCATTAACTTCACTTTATTGTCATTGTTTGGTTTCACAACAATTGGTATCAAAGCTAAGGTTTGATTCTGAAATAAACAATGACTAGAGAAGAAGTGAAGACATCTGGGATTGAGAAGTTTGATGACACAAATTACAGGTACTAGAGGATGCAGATAGAGGACTACTTCTATGGGAAGAAACTTCATCTTCCACCATTGGGGACAAAGCCAGAGAGCATGAAGGATGAAGACTGGAAACTGTTAGATCGACAAGTTCTGGGGGTTATTCGGCTGACCCTTTCAAGATCAGTTGCACACAGCGTTACCAAGGAGAAGACCATTGCAGATCTCATGACGGCTTTGTCAAGTATGCATGAAAAGCCGTCTGCGAATAATAAGGTGCATCTAATGAAAAAGTTATTCAATCTGAGGATGACGGATGGTATGTCTGTTACCCAACACCTGAATGAGTTCAATACCATCACCAATTAATTATCATCTGTTGAAATTGAATTTGATGATGAGATTCGGGCTCTGATATTGCTGGCATCACTGCCAAATAATTGGGAAGCCATGAGGATGCCTGTTAGTAATTCTGCTGATAAGATGAAACTTAAATACGATGATATTTGTGATTTAATTTTGGCTGAGGAGGTGCGCAGGAGAGATTCTGGTGAAACCTCGGGATCGAGTTCCGCTCTGAATATTGATACTCATGGAAGGTCAAATGATGGGAACTCAAATAGAAGAAGATCTCAAAGAATTAGGGAAAGAGCAAGTCAAGGTCTAGACTACAAACGACTTGTGGACAGTAGGCGACTTGCTAGAATTGTGACAAAACTAGCCACATAAAGAAGAACTGCAAAAATTCGAAGAAGACGGAAGGTGATGGCGTGAATACAGTGGTTGAAAAAGTACAAGACGTGCTACTACTTGTAATTTACAGTCCATTTGATGACTAGACATTGGATTCAGGGGCACCTTTTCATACCTCCTCTCACCAAGAAATCATGCAGAATTATGTTGCCAGTGATTTCGAAAAAGTGTGCTTGGCTAACGGACAGACACTAAATCTAATGGGGACAAGAGATGTTGATATTACACTTTCTAATAGGAACGTGTGGACCTTGCAGAAGGTTAGATACATTCCCGAGTTGAAGAAGAATCTTATCTCTGTAGGACAGCTCAACGATTGTGGCCATTCAGTAGTGTTCTCAAATAGCACCTGAAAAGTTTCTAAAAGAGCAATGTTGCTAGCCCGGGGCAACAAGACTGGTACTTTGTACATGATAGACAATTCCAGTGATACTATTGCCACCACCACTATAGAGAGTACTGCAGAGTTATGACATTGTAGACTTGGTCATATGAGTTAAAAAGGCATGAAGGAACTCGTGTCAAAAGGTAAGCTACCAGAACTAGAAATAGTTGATTTGGGCATATGTGAGAGTTGTATACTTGGGAAGAAAAAAAAAGGTCAGTTTCTTGAAGAATGGCAGAGCTCTGAAATTAGGAAAGTTGGATCTTGTACACATAGATGTATGAGGACTCTCCCCAGTGACTTCCCTTGGAGGTTCCCGATAGTATGTCACATTCATTGACAACCATAGTAGAAAGGTATGAGTCTATTTTTTGAAACATAAATCTAATGTGTTTAATGTGTCCAAAAAGTGGAAGGCCCTAGTTAAGACGGAGACAAACCTAAAGCTAAAATGCTAAAGGTTTGACAATGGTGGAGAGTACATTGATGGAGGATTCAAGGAGTACTGCGCAGCTCAAGGTATTAGAATGAAAAATACCATTCCTAGGACACCACAACAAAATGACGTTGTTGAGCGCATGAACAGAACCATCAATGAGCATGCTAGGAGCATGAGGTTGCACGTAAGGCTACGACCTACATTTTGGACAAAAGCAATGCACACTGCAGTGTACCTGATCAATCGTGGACCATCGATCCCAATGGAGTGCGGACTACCTGAGGAGGCTTGAAGTGGGAAAGAGGTTAAACTTTCTCATCTTAGAACCTTTGGTTGTGTTTTTTATGTTCTTGTTGATGCTAATGCTCGTTGTAAGCTTGAGAAGAAATCAATAAAATGTTATTTTCTTAGTTACAAAGATGAGGCATTTTGTTATTGATTCTAGGATTAACAGAGTTGAAAGATCATCAGGAGCAAAAATGTGTTGTTCAATGAGAAAGTTCTGTACAAGGACAAGTCCAGTACAGTTGCTGATACAACTCCTTAACAGTCCAAGTTTGTCGACCTACTAGAGGTCACAATGTAGTGCAGGGATGACAGTGATGGTGAAAGTGGGTCCAGTGCGCCAATTCCCATTATTCCGCAATTAGATCCTAAACCATCCACACTTGCAGCAGCGACTCGGAAGTCTTTCAATACTATCCAACCCCCACAACGATTTTCACCTATACTGAGTTACATTATGTTGATAGATGATGGAGAACATCAGAGTTATGAAAAAACTTTTCAAGATGAGAATTCGAGCAAGTGGGAGTTAGCCATGAAAGTGGAGATGGATTCCCTGCTAAGGAATCAGACATGGGAATTGACAGAACTTCCATCTGGGAAGAAAGCTCTACATAACAAGTGGGTGTATCGTGTGAAGATTGAGCACGATGGCAGTAAGAGGTACAAGGCAAGGCTAGTTATAAAAGGCTTTCAACAGAAGAAGGGTATTGATTACTCTGAGATTTTTTCTCCTGTAGTGAAGATGACAACCATCAGCCTAGTGCTGGCAATAGTTGCTATTGAAGATTTGCATCTTGAGTAGTTAGATATGAAAATCGTGTTTCTTCATATGGATCTTGAAGAAGACATCTACATTCACCATGCACCAACCTATAGGGTTCACAGTGCAAGGCAAGGAGAATTTGGTTTGCAAACTGACGAACAGCTTGTATGGTCTGAAATAAGCTCCTAGATAGTGGTACAAGAAATTTGACAGCTTTATGTGCAATTCAGGGTACATCAGGTGTCAGGAAGATCATTGTTGCTATGTCAGGCAATTTGACAACTCTTACATTATCCTGTTGCTATATGTGGATGATATGCTCATTGCAGGGTCTAGCATTGAGGAGATTAACAATCTAAAGAAGTAGTTGTCAAAATAGTTTGTAATGAAGGATTTGAGAGCTGCAAAACTAATCCTTGGTATGAGAATCATCAAAGACAGAGTCAAGGGCACGTTGAAGCTGTCGCAGGCTGAGTATGTAAAAAAGATACTCAGTAGATTTAACATGGACCAAGCCAAACCAGTTGGCACACTACTAAGTATTCACTTCAGACTCAACAAAGATTAATCACCCAAGACAGAGGAGGAACATGAGTACATGAGTAAGGTTCCTTACGCTTCAGTTATTGGTTCACTCATGTATGCTATGGTCTGCACAAGACCGGACATTGTCCATGCAGTGAGAGTTGTGAGTATATACATGAGCAACCCAGGAAGACAATATTGGGAGACTGTGAAGTGGATTCTGAAGTACCTGAAAGGTTCCTCAGAAGCATGTTTGTGTTTCATCGGAGATAGTTTGGAGTTATAGGGTTTTGTTGATGTCAACTTGGCCGGAGACATTGATAGTAAGAAGAGCACCACCAGTTTTGTTTACACCTTGGGTGGTACTGTCATGTCTTGGGGTTCCAACCTGTAGAAGTCAATATCTTTTTCTACTACAGAGGCTGAGTATGTTGCAGTGTCATAGGCATCCAAGGAGATGATTTGGTTACAGAGTTTCTTGGAGGAACTGGGTAAAAAGAAACATAAGGGTACTCTTTAGAGTGACAGTCAGAATGTCATATTCCTCGCCAAGAATCCGACATTTCATTCCAGGACGAAGCACATTCAGATCAGGTATCATTTCATACGGTCCTTACTTGATGATGGTTAGTTGATACTTGAGAAGATATGTAGAACTAAGAACTCGACATACATGTTGACTAAGGGTGTCATTATTGAGAAGCTGAAGTTATGTGCAACTTCAGTTGGCCTTCTAGCTTGAGGAAAGAAGGATGAGTTGCAGGGATGAGAGATTGTTTATGGAGGATTGCGGTTGATGTTAGTGATTGAACTAGTCTCCAAGTGGGAGATTTATTGGATTTTTTGTGGAGTCTAGTTGTGTGTTAATTTGGATGATGACCCGATCTGAAATAATGTTGCGTGATTTTTTAATGAAATATTTTCTTAGGCTTAGTTCATGGAGCAGAGGCTTGGGTCGATGTGCTTGAGCCCATTTTTGTAGCCCTATGCACAAGACATATAAAAATTGTTATTTTGGTGATTTGGGTTTTAGATCTTGTATAGCGGCCGCACTTTGTATTCTTTCTAGATAATAGTGAAATCTCTGTAGCTTCGTAGATGTAGGTAAATTTCCGAACCACGTAACATAAATTATGTGTTATGTGATTGTTTAGATTGCATTCTTATCGTTCTTTTCATTAGTTTCACTTTATTGTCATCGATTGATTTCACAACACAACATATCAACGACATTATTAAAAAAATTATAATTTTTCAAGGTTAAGTTATAATTTTTTGATGTGTAAGTTATAACTTATAAATGTATGATCGATCTTAAAACAATACAATCAATCATGAAAGTTACAACTTTCAAATGTTGAGTTACAACTTGTAAAAGAGAAGTTACAATTGCTCAAGGAAATTTCATGATTTCTCTCAAATAGTTGTCATTTTATATTTCAAAGATGTAACCTTGTCATGAAAAATAGTGACTTTCGATACGGTACCAAAATTTCTTTTCCCAGTATTGTAGACTTTCCCTAAATTTAGAGCTAGACCGTACCATCACAGCAGTCCATTCCTCAGTGAACGACTTGCACCCACCTCCTTTTACTGAGAATGAGATGTGCTTGAGCAGAAAGCATTGATTCAAAAAATATTTGCTTGTATCATATACTGATCAGTGGTGGTGGTATGGATGAAAGCGTGTATTCTGCAATGAGCTTATCGACCCTTATCACTTATTTGGTCAAGCTAGACATGTAATTGTTGGGTCTGCAACTGACTATCCATCTCCAGGTGCTTATATCGAACCCACACTAAGATGACGACAGTTATATTACAAATGTTGTGACCTTGAAGTATTTTGTTGTTGGCATGGACTTGCGGTACCAAAGGTACGTTCGGCTGATATTTACGATCCACAGAATTCAAATAATCATAACGAGATCATATCAAAACTTGAACGTGAAAATGATCAAATGTAGCGTTGTCTTGATCGGTTCCATGCCATCGATTATAAAAAAATAAAGCATTTTGATCTTGAATATGCCGAAATATAAATTTTAGAGGATCTGTTACTTGTGTTCGATCCTAAACTTTTTGATTTCTCTGATTTGAACGATGATGTGTCTGACACTTTTATCTCATCATGTTTATGTGCACTCGATAATCATTTATGTTATTTTGAACATCAAACACATTATTAACAACATTTTTTACCCCATCAGATTCATTGCAGCTTGTTATGAAATAAATGCTCAATTTTTTTGGTTATGACTAACTTCTATTTTTACATCGCTTAGTAACATTATTGTCGATATGATCAAAATTAAAAAAAAAATTATTTTTATTATATGTATACGTTTAAAATTATATTATAAAATTAAAATTAATTATATGTATACGTTTTCAATTTTTTAATTTTGATATGATCATTAAAATTTATTTATTTTCAATATAATTAATTTTTTCAATAAATAAAATTAAACATTTACTCATAAAAGAGAGAGAGAGAAAGAGTGAGAGAGAGAGAGAGAGAAAACTCTAAAAACATTAGTCTAATTGACATTTTCAGTAACAATGTTAGTTGGACACTCATAAAAATTTGAGGGAGCTCTAAAAACGTCAGTCTAACTGACGTTTTTAGTGAAAACGCTAGTTGGACCAACGTTTTTAGAAAAATTCAGTTAAACTAATGTTTTCATTAAAAACGTCAGGTGACATTTTGAGCCATTTTACATGCTTGTGTACTACAGCAGAAAACGTCACTTGGTCTAACGTTTTTACGCTAACAACATTATTCTAACTGACGTTTTAAGTCTGAAAATGTCATTCCAACTAGCATTTTTAAAAGGGTATGAGTTTGGAAAATAGTTTTAAAACTACCCTCTTTTGGGTTTAAAAACCCCATAGATTAGGGTAAAACCTCATTTTATCTTCCATCTTCCCCGAGTTTATAGCTGACCAGTTGATTACTTCCCAGAAAAATGTATCTGAAAATTAGAAGCAACCAAAAATTGACAAGTGGTTAATATATCTAATAAAGTTAAGCTAAGACATTTTACACTTACATGTGAGCACAAACAAAAAAAACAACAAACCTTTGATTGTGTCGTGGTGTTAATCATACTAATTTGGTCTCTTCTGGAGTTATTATTGGTTAACTTACAATAGCACCTTATGTAGTTTTTAATCATTTGGGGTATTGTTATAACTTCAAAATTACATTATGTTTTTCACTTAGGATTTGCATTTTGGAAGATACTCCTCTGTTAGTAAGCAATTACTTACTAATGTACAAGTGGTGTCATACCTCGTGTTTTTGATAATGTGAGGCAATTGTTATATTAAATATTTTTTTCACTTAACTATAAGAAAATATTTAATGCAGCAATGATACCAAAACATTGATGCTTCTTGGTTTTTGACCGGTGATCTTTACGCCGTCAACTTTAGAATTGTATAATTCCTTGAAAAAAGGTATTTGAATTGAAAATTTTACTTGCTTGATTTTTGAATGCTAATATGATTCTGTCAATGAAATACTTAAGTGATTGACATTCTTGCATTTTCCTTCTCAATTTCTTCAATCTTTCTCTTTTTTCCTTTGGTTTCTCTAGTTTTTTTTTGTCATTCTTTAAATTTGAAGATGATCGTTGCGCTAATATTGGTCTTTAAAGTTGCATTGACACCTAAACGAACTTTTAGGGCAATTGAAACAACATCTCAATTGTTTCTTGTGTATATGCGCGCTTATACAAATTTGTAACTTTTGCTTCGGAACATAATTTTTTTCGAGGGAAAACGTACTTCTTTATTATCTAATATAATTTTCTTACTTTCTTGTGCTTTTAATTGCAGAATTATAATTTTTGTTTCAAGTTTTGAGTTTGTTTCTGTGATCAGAAGTCTAAACTTTGGGTCTTTTATTTTCAGTGAATTGGAGGTATTTGATATGGGGAGGGAATATGGAAACAAGTTGTGTTTATTTATCAATGAACATTTTTATAGAGGTTTTTGGTTGTCTCCATGTGAGATGTTTGTACTTTGTAATCCCATAAATTAAGATACTGCGCTTGAACACTGTTTTCACTTGTTCGCTTTTGCGTGGAATTATGAAAATAATTTTTTTGCCAATTAAGGTTCCTGGTGTGGATATCAGTTTGAATGATCTTATGTTTTAGGGGTAGTTATTGAATATTTTGAGAGCAAAGATCTGTTGTTATGATATGATCCATAGAGATAGGGGTAAAACAAGGGTAGATTTATGTTGGATGGACTCCACACTTCAAAAGAAAGAGACTTTCTAGTCGATCTTGAGAGGTGTGATAAGTTGTGAAGAGGAGATGCACAATGATCTTGTTTTGAACAACAGGCCAGCAAATAATTTGTCGACTAAGCTTTTTAGTGGAGTTTTGGTTTTTAAGGAATCCAGCAAGGACGAATGTGGTGTGAGCTCATACAATGATTTGGGAAAGGCTAATGAGATTCCACATGAGAATGTCGATTTGATAATAGACAAGAGCTCAAGAGGAGGTCAAAATGGCAACCATGTGGCTCTTGAGAAGAAAAAATCGAAAGAGAAATGTAAAGCAACAAATTCTAAAAAAGCTCCCAAGCCACCGCGACCTCCGACAGGGTTGTTGTTGGATGCCACTGACATGAAGTTGGTCAAAGAGATATCTGAGCTTGCCATGAAAAAGCGTGCAAGGATTGAACACATGAAATTGATAAAGAAGATGAAAGCAACCAAACCATTGTTATCCTCAAACAGCACCCTATCTGCCATGGTTGACACACTTGTCGTCCATCTCATAATAACCTTCCAAGGTATAGGGAAACCTTCCTTTTTTTTTTCCTTATTTCTGCAATTTATCTGTGTTATATGATTGTAATGAAGATTTTTATTAGTTCTTTGGACCTTTAACATGTTAAGAAGCATAGGATAGAACCATACAAAGATTTCTTATTGAAGAGGCAGGCAATTTCCCTAAATATACGTTCATATGAACCAAAAACTATCGTGTATTGCAGTCTTGGATGCAAATTCACTCCTCTGGTTAGAGCCTAGACCGTCTTATCAATGACGCGTCCATTGTGGGGGTGGGGGTGGGGGTGGGGGTGGGGGTGCTTGGTTTTAGAATGCTGCATTCCAAATACTGAAGTAAGCTTAAGTGCTTTGATGTTGTTGTTCCACATAGTCATCTTAAGTCATTTCTTTTTGTTGTCTAGATAAGTACTTGGATAGTGTTTTGGCTCTGTTTCAAGAGATAATAGGGTATCATCTCTTGTTTTGGACGGGTTATTGTTATATATTTGAATAGGGTGGTTATATCGAATGCTCACAAGGCTGCAAAAAAAGGCAGTGCAAGTGGGTGCTCTGGTAAAGTATGTTAACTCTTGTCTAGGTAACTCCCTAATCTGTTGAGATGTAGTTTGTTTTGGTTGTGTTCCTTTGCATTTATATACAAAATAGATTAGTTGGCCACCAAAAAGTAGAAAAATGGAGCAGGATGTTTATTTTGAAGATGACATGCTAATTTTCTGTCTAACCCACAAAAAATGATAAAAAATGGATGTCAAAATTACAAACCCTTACGTTATTGAGATTCAGACTGTAGGATTTGGCCTAGAAACAGTTCCAGTGAGAAATTCCATGGGTTTCCTAGGTCATCTGCTGCTACAAATGGCTTGATATCAGTTCAGTTTTACAATGACCTTTTTGGAACCGATAGCATTAGACTGAGTTCCAAGTCTACCCAGTTTGTATTCTTTTCTTGGCGATGTCGTTCTGTAGAACAGAATTTAGACCGCCTGAATGAGTTACTGGATAATGTGGTTCGCTGAAGGCACTCAGCTGCAGTAACAACAATGGTCGTGTAATTTTTCCGTATCTGGCATCAAAAAAAAAAGTGGCTTATTAGTAACCACGATAATTGTTTCTGTATATGTGTATAAATTATTGGAGCATTGGATGACAGTTTGTAGAACTTCTCTTTTTTAATTTATTAAATTCATTGTAAATACTGCAACATGAAGCCCATTTTTCACCATAGCTAAAAGTTGATGTTGTTACTCTAGGATCGCATATAGAATAAGCAGTTGATCTGAAATTCAAATGGGAAGATATGAACCAAATTCAACCAAATAAAATGTTTCTTCAATTGTTGCCTTTGCCAACACTTTGGTAATTGGGTCGTTCGTGAATCCTCAACCTTATAAACTTTGGGAAAAGTCTATGTATCAACGGTATTACTAAAAAATTATAATTTTTTAAAGTTAAATTATAATATTTTGATGTGTAAGTTATAACTTATAAAGGTATGATTGATCTTAAAACATTGCAATCGATCAAATAAATTACAATTTTTAAATGTTGAGTTACAACTTATAAAAGATAAGTTACAATTGTTCGAGAAAATTCAATAATTTCTCTCAAATAATAATAATTTTACATTTCAAAGATGTAACCTTATCATGACAAATAGTAACTTTTAATATTGTACCAATTTTTTTTTCCTGGTATTGTAGGCTTTCCCTGCACTTATATCTTGACCGTACCATCACAGCAGTCCATACCCCAGTGAACAGCTTGCACCCACGTCCTTTTGCTGAGAATGAGCAGAGAGCATTGATTAAAAAAATTTCTGCTTGTATCCTCCTTCAATGCCAGGTTGAATCCTAGATAAGTAACTTCAACTTCCTCCATAATAGGTGTGGGATTTTCCAGCTAATCATGGATGGAAATTTGACCCGACTAGATCAAAGAAAAACGAATTTCAAAATTACAAAAGTGGATTTTATTATTCATTTTTTGTCCTCTTTTATTTATCAAATGCGATGAGATCTCAAAACATTATAATTCTGTTTTCAAAGTCGAGTTATTGGTTAATGCACAATAACATTCGTTTCAATAAAAAAAGAAAATCTTGGGGTTTATTTTTTTATTTTTTATCTTTCATCTCAATAGCAATCTCTTTTTTTCTATTTATAGGTGTGCAATCTAGGACTTCCTAGGTATCTTCTCGCAAATCAATGCTATGAAATTTTAGTGGCAGCACGACAATGTGCTTAATCTGGATGACCAACCTACAAAGACGTAGCCATTAGTGGGATAAGGTGACGTGAAGCCCAAAGTTTAAAAAAAAATAAAAATTTATTAGTAGGATATATGTATTATATATTTATATAATATATTATGTGTACTCACCCTCATTTATATTAAGTTTACATTATTTATCCAAAAAAATTAAAAAATTTAACCCATTTAAAACAAAAAAATTTGAGCCTAATATTATCTACCCAAATTTATTAAAATCAACTCAAACCTATTACAAAAACTTTTGACCCAATATTAAAAAATTAAAATTTTTGGGCCAACATTAAAAACTAAATTTTTGGACCATTAATGGTTATGTTTATGAGTTTACATTTGAATTTTGTTAGTTGTATAAATGTTTAGCTTAACCCGGAATAAACAAAAATTTTAATTCCGTCCTGACCGACCTATCTATTTTTTAAAAGGGAGATTAGGGGTTCAAGTCACGTTAAAGACACAAGCAAAGTCAACAACCAACTCTAACAAAGTCTATGGCTAGGCTTGATAGTCTCAGTCACTTAGCGGCTCCCATTCTTTTTCTTTTGTGAATTAGTTAAATCCGTTGTAATACGTAATAAAAACTATTCGAAAAGACAAAGTAATATAGGCCATTCTTTTCTTTAAAACGTTGTTCAAGGGGGAGGCATCTTATCTGTCAATGAAAAAACTACACTAGTTCTATGGACCATAAGGAACTTCCCCTCTGCAAATACAATAACAGATGGTTCCATGACCAATGAATGCCTTAAGAATCTGAGGCTAATCTGATAAATTCCATGAACCATCATTCTCAAGTTCCAACTTTTTTGGCATAACCAATTTTTTTGGGAGTTCTGATTATAAATCAAGTCTTGATAGGGTACGCGGAATTTTGATTCACATGTATCAACCGATGAACATCAAATGGGCCATTCTGCATTCAAATTCGCAGCTACAATCCCATGATGTACCCTTAACATGCCCATCCTGTTAAGTTATATTATTGTACGTGGAGGTTTTGGTTCATGTAGGAACTCCCCCCCTACCCCAATTGTTAGAACAGCAAATATGGGAATTGGGTCATCTATTACATTTTTCTTAAATCTTGGCCGGTTAGCCAATCACAAGTCATGGATTGGTTTCCCCGATCTCCATGTTGACTTAAAAGAGTATATTTCATGTTGACTTAAAAGAGTTATAAATATACGACAAACATGGATAGAAGTGACATAGTAAGGAAAATAGTACACAACTCACATCAAATTTAAAAATTATAATTCAAATGCATATCATTTTTTGGATGAGTATTAGATGAGTGAATCTCACAAAAAAGTTAACGGTACCTAATCATCTAAGAGATAATATGTATTTAAGTTACAATTTTTGAATTTTATTCGAATTGTGTAACATTACTCTTCCAAGAAATCACACGATTATCTTTGTGAAATATATATTAAAGCACCGCCCGGCTCAAGTTCGTCTTTAATTAAATTGATGGTATTGGCGAGGGGAAAAAAATCCTCTAGACACATTTTTTAAGAGTAAACTCATCAAAATGAGAACAATCGAGGAGGAGGTGGTTATGGTTGTAAGAATCATTTAGGTCAAGACATTTATGAAACCTTCTGGGTGCGTTTTTACCAGTGCAAACCATCGTCCTCGGATCGGCATGGGTTTTTTTGACACAACTGTTGATTAGTGAACTAAAAACCTGATTCGAAAATTCATCTCATTTTTGAAACAGCTTTTCTTGATTTCGTGTCTGCATGAGTTAGTGTCCTAAACACCATCAATTTCTATTGATGACACGCTGTTTTGGTTACGCAATTCCCCATACCTTCTTCGCCTGTAATTTCTTACGCCATGATTCTTCAACTTAAATTCAGTTTCCGCGGATGGGGTGTGCAAAGGGAAGCTGGAACACGAAGATGAGAGGTAGGATCCCCCTCGCGTTCTGTCACTTTTATGAAAGTCAACTAATGCCCACACGTTTCGGTGCCGTTGTTTGAAATCAAACCTTTCATTACACAACTGCATACTTTTGTCTTCCCCCACCCCACCCCACAAAAAAAAGTAAATATTACTCGTTATTGATATGTACTAACACTATTTAATAATAAATTTATAAATACACAATGTAAACTCTATTTGTGCGATTATTAAATGACATGACATGATGATTACTATAATATATAAAATTCACCTACTTATTTGTTATCTTTTTATGAATAACAATATCACGTAACGATAATTACATTATGTGATTCTTACACCCGATTTTTTTTTTCCAGCCCCAAGGGAGTAATGACTAATGACATAAACACTAATGCTACGGGCATTGAAGTGGCCCATTATGCTTCTTGGCATTGTAAAGAATAAATAAATGAGTTAATATTTGAGTGAAGATTGAAATATATGCAAAACATTAATACGACATGGGTGTTTTGTAGACTAAAAGAGAAAAGCATCAACTATTTGTTTTTTTAAAGAGATAATAGGATATGAATACATTTTTAAAAATTTATTTGGCTTTAATTATCATCTCTAAACTTATCATCATTTGAGTCTTTTTTTTCATCAAATAGTTGTCAATAATTACACATTTTAAAATATTTTTATAATTTAAACATTTTTATAAAATATTTTAAAATATCATCTCTATATTTCATAATTACTCTTATCATAAATAGTGCATACCTAATTGACAGATTTTATATTTTCAATATCTAAATATTAGAATGTGAGACTTTCAAGATTTCTTTTGATATTTCTGTATCATTTGAATGTTAAAATTCCATATATGTACACACACACGTATCTATATATATATATATATACACACACACACACACACATATAGTAATATCAAACAGTAACACGCTCAACAAAAAAATAGTAACATTAAACAGTAACACACTTAACAAAAAATTTGAGCGTTTTACTATATTTTTATTGAGCGTGTTACTGTTTAATATTATTATATATACACACACACACACACACATATATGTGTGTGTGTGTGTGTGTGTGTATATATATATATATATATAAATGTTACTATTTGATGTAACTATTATTTTGTTGAATGTGTTACCGTTTCATGTTACTATTTTTTTGTTGAGCATGTTACTGTTTGATGTTATTATTTTTTTTTGAGTGTGCTACTGTTTAATATTATTATATATATGTGTGTGTGTCTATATATATGAAATTTTAAAATTCAAACGATACACAATTATCAAAAGGAATATTGAAAATCTCACATTCAATTAGATATACACTATTTATGGTAGGGGTAAAAAGGTTTTTATAATTTTTTTTTAACAGATGTACTTCTATCTCAATAATTTTAAAAAATGTACTTTTATCTTATTAAGTTTTTAGAGAGGTACCAACCTCTTTGAGCCCCTTTTTTTAAATGCCTTTTCACTGGTGAAATATGGAACAAGGTGCTTAGTCATTCTATGACCTCTTGGCTCCACCTATGTTGGTTACCAGCTATCCACTTAACCTCCAACCAGTGGAAGGGGAAATCCCTCAAATCTACTGTGCTCAAACTTAGCATTTCCAATTATATCTATACAATTTTGAGAGAAAGAAATGCCAGAGTTTTCAAGAATGACTTCAGGGATGCAACTACCGTTTTGAAGTCTATTCTTCATGTTATTTGCAGTAAACTTCTCACTGCCAACTCCAAACAATCCACCCGAAATATTCCTTTTCTCCAGCATTGGAACAATTCTGTGTCTAATGCATGATCCTCTAATCTTCCATCATAAATGCTCTGAACTGCCCTAAGTTCTGTCACAAGGCAGAACTTCTAATTGATAAACCGATAGATTCTTTACATGTACATATAATTTTGCAATGATGAATATATTATACTTTCCAAAAAAAAATACATGTAAAGAACAACTGCATAGGTGTATGTTTCAATTCAAAGGGCTAAGTTCAAGTAGCTAGTCCTAGTCCTAAATCTTATATTATACTCGGGAATTGGTTATCTTTTATTTTTTTTTTTTTTTGGTACGATGAAAAATAGAAGAATGAAAAATAGAAGGGATACATAAAATATTATATTTAGTAAAGAAGAAAAATATGAATAATGAAAAAGTGGATGTATTAGTTTTCTTTCAAATTTACCAAAATTAATTCTTCTAAAATTGAGAAAAAAAGTAGACGAAAAATTAATTATGTGTATTAAAATATATGATATTTACCAATATATCCTTTAATGTATGCATATATCATATTTATATATTATATATTATGTATACATTAAATTTATATATTGATAAATATATATAATGATAAAATATGTACTTATATTTTTTTTCATCATTCCACTTTTTTATTCAACTAAATACAAAAAAAAAAAAAATCAAATCTTCTTACTTTCTATCTCTCCTACCAAATTCAAAAGAGGGAAAGAATGAAAGATTTCTCTCTTAGAAAATGTGAAGTATATGACTCCCAATTTTCATCATTCTATTTTTTTATCCACTTAACCAAACACACTATTAATACTAGATGAGCTTGATTAGGGTTTGGTTCTTAGAACTTGGAAGCCTTGGTTAATTAATTAAGGAAACCGGCCTACAAGGACTTTCGTCTTTTTTTCCCCTGGTCTGGTACAGCCAATAATTTGGTTACTCTTTTTTATATGGTAAGTTGAGCTGAGATTGAGAGCCTAGGTCGGTCAAAACCCTGATAAGTGATAACGGCAATTCCATCGTAACAGTTGGTCTCAGATAAGGACTTGGTGCTGCGATGGTCGTGGTATTAGCTGCTGATTGAGGGCTAGGTGTTATGGGGGTGCTGCTGATTGAGGATGTGCCTGAGTGAGTTAGGGCTCAAAAGCAGTCGGGAAAGAGAAGAGAAGAGAAAATAAGGAAAAGAAAAAAAAGCATGCACAAACGTTTCTAATTAAACATGTCAAATGGTTTGACATCTTTAAGTCATAGACCAAACTTAAAAACGTTGGCTTGTTTTCAAACCAACTGTTAGTTGAAATTTTTTCTTCAAAAAGCCTTAGAACGAGTCAAAACTCTTTATATTCTATTGTTTCTTTGACCCTGCTAGCTAGCTAGCTACCAGTCTCATGAAGCACGTTCCAGCTCATGAAGCACGTTCCTTGGTTCTTCGCGAACAAATTGCCATTTTCGTGAATATAGTCGATAGCAAGGGTAGCTCCATAGCGGAATACGATAAATAGCATCTGATTGTTGAGACTTTCCCAACATGCCTAATTGAGAGTAAATATGATTTCTACGATTTTCTCTTTCAGGAGACTTGTCTTCTTCTTCTCTCGTGTCCTCCTAAAACGCTCTAAAAGTGTACACAGAAACTGCAGCAATGCTCATGCGTCCCAGTTAAAAGTTCAAAGTTACAGTTCTCTGATTCAAAGATTAGAGCTATCAAATCACACTTTGATCTTTGACGTTGAAGGAGCTTTGTTAAACTCTTCATCCCTCTTTCCTTATTTCATGGTAGTGGCTTTTGAAGCTGGAAGCCTCATAAGGGCTCTCATTCTCTTCGTTTTATACCCTGCTATTTGTTTGGTTTCCGAAGAGACGGCCTTAAAGATTATGGTCATGGTTTGCTTTTGTGGGATAAAGAAGAAAAGTTTTAGAGTAGGAAAATCTGTGTTGCCAAAGTTTTTCATGGAAGATGTTGGGATGGAAGGATTTGAGGTGTTGAGGAGAGGTGGGAAGAAAGTTGGAATGAGTGATTTGCCCCAGGTGATGGTCGAGAGTTTCTTGAGGGATTATTTGGAGATTGAATTTGTAGTTGGAAGAGACCTAAAAGTGTTTTGTGGTTATTTTGTCGGACTAATGGAACACAAGAAGAAAACTGCTTTGGAAGATATATGCCATTGTCAAGATGGGAAGATGGCATTCCCTTCTATCGGAATCAGTAGCCTCCACAAATCTGTTGATCATCACACATTCTCCCTTTGCAAGGTGAGTTTCTGATATCTACCAGTGATAGTGTTGCAACTCTCTCTCTCTGTCTCACTGACTCATATGCTAAATTGCTAATAATCCTGCTCATGATTGTGGAACAGGAGATTTACTTGGTCAGTGAAGGAGACAAGAGGAAGTGGCATCAGCTACCCAGGGACAGATATCCAAAGCCACTAATCTTCCATGATGGTAGATTGGCTTTCAGGCCAACCCCATTAGCAACTCTAGCCTTGTTCATATGGCTCCCATTTGGGTTCGCACTTGCCATCGTGAGGGCCTTTATTGCCTTATCATTGCCCTACAACGTGGCGATCCCCCTTTTAGCCTTCACTGGGATGCAACTCAAGCTTTCAAAACACAACAGTCTCCACTCGGATTCAAAACCAAAGGAAAACAAACCACCTAAAGGCCTTCTATATGTATGTAACCACAGAACGTTACTGGACCCTCTATTTCTTTCTTATGGTCTGAAGAGACCTTTCACTGCAGTTACGTACAGCCTAAGCAGATTATCAGAGCTCTTGGCTCCAATCAGGACCGTCCGACTAACGAGGGACAGAGATCAAGATGGTAAAATGATGGAGAACTTGTTGAATCAAGGGGACCTGGTTGTTTGCCCTGAAGGGACCACTTGTAGGGAACCATATTTGTTGAGGTTTAGCCCTTTGTTCTCAGAGTTGAGTGATGGTGTAGTCCCTGTGGCCATGGACGCTAGTGTTAGCATGTTCTATGGTACAACCGCAGGTGGGTTCAAGTGTCTGGACCCATTTTTCTTCCTCATGAACCCATGCCCAAGTTACACCGTTCAAATTCTTGATCAAGTATGTTGTGTATCATCATATGGTGATGGTGCCAAATCAAGGATTGATGTTGCTAATTTCGTACAAAGTGAGCTGGGGAAGGCACTGGGCTTTGAATGCACTCGGTTTACGAGGAAGGATAAGTACTTGATATTGGCTGGCAATGAAGGGATAGTTTCTGCTGGTGACAGACCCTATAATTATTAGACACTGCATGTAAAATCGCTCTCGTTTTGATTTCTTTTTAGAACAATTAAGATCTCTTTTAATATATTTTTCTTTTATTTTTTAACAGCTCATCATATATAAACGAATCTCTTACTAAGACATGGTGCATGATTTACTAATAAAAGAAATAGAGAAAAAAAAAATCTAAATCCAATTTAAAACGTATGGTGTGCCATGATGAAGGGGCAGTGGGGTACTTATTATTATAAGTTGTTTATATTAATTATTCGCATTCAAGTGTTGAAATCTTTTGGAAAAGAAAAGATAATATGCCTTTGGTTAAGCAATTTGTATTAAGAGAAGATTGATAGTAACGACCGACCAACCATGCCTTGATATTTTGATGATAGAACAATTAAGAAACACTTAAAACTTTAATCTTAAAAATTGTCCAACTATATATTCCACTTATTTTGTCAAAGAGAAGTAGTGTATATTTTTATTCATTCAAAATATTCGAAAGATTACTAAATTGGTTAGCCTCAGCCAATTTTCATAAATTCTAACTGTCCAGGCCACTGATCTAAATTGGGCGGAGTCAGAAAGCCAAAAATTTCCTAGATGGGTTAACTCTTTGTTGTGGGCCTTTACAGGCCTGAGCAAATGCTATTCTGTCTGTCTCTGTAAAACGCGAGCGCTATGTGACCTTTGTCGTCTGCGCCACATTTTTTGGAACCAGTATGATCCATGAGAGAGTGTTTGATAAAATTGAAAGTTAGAAGTCCGAAAATTGAATGTTCGATATCCACTTAAATTTAAAAATTGAATTAAATTAAACTGTTTGATAATTATACGGAGTTGACGTTTGAAAATAAATTAATTTATAAAATATATTTTTATCTAATAAAAAATGACAATAACATCTGACCAAAAAAATAACATCTTAATAATATAATAAGTGAACAATAATATTTGATAAAAAAATAATAATAATAACTAATAAATAATTGAATAACAATAAGTGAACAATCACAATAAGTTAACAATAATAAATTGAATAACATAATAATTGAATAATAATATTTGATCAAAAAAAAAAAAGAACAACAACAAATAAACAATCGAATTACAATAAGTGAATAATAATACATTAAATTACATAATAAGTGAACAATAACATCTGATCAAAAAAAGAACAATAATTAATAAATAATCGGATTACAATAAATGAACAATAATAAATTGAATAACACAATAATTGAACAATAACATCTTATCAAAATAAATAAATAAATAAATAATTGAATTAAAAAAATAGAATAAATTAAATCTCATTAATAATATGTGTGTCTGTGTGTGCAATTTGTGCTTGTGTGTGGATTGGTGGGTGATCAAAAAATAAATAAATAATAAATAATCAAATTAAATAAATTAAATTTCATTAATAATATATGTGCGTCTTTGTGTGCAATTTGTGCTTGTGGGTGGGTGGGAGTGTGTGCAGTGAATGTGTGTGTGTGTTTTAGCAGATGAGCAAAGAAAAATAGAAAAGAGAAGAAGAAGAAAACCTATGGTTGAAGAAGACAATTGAAGATGAGGATAAATAGGTTAGAAGTTTTGCAGATAACATTAATTAGAATTTTAATAAGATTGTAAAATATTTTTGAGTATAATTATCATATTATAAATATTATTAAAAATGATTTTACTAGCGTTTTCAGTTTTCAGAATTAAATAAGGGATCTCATACTTAATACTATAGTCTATTTTAAAGGAGCACTTAACATATTAAGAGAGTTAAAATTTTAATTATCAAATGAGTTTAATTAATAAGTGTCAAATACATTTAATTTAAGTATTGAATTTATAATAACAAACATCGCAAGTTATCAATTGAAACATTCTAATTCTCAAACTACAAGATGTGTTTCACTCAAGTTTTATTGCCCACATTCAACAGTAATATTCACAAACAACCTTCAAAATTGTAATCTCCAATTTACATCAGATAGCTTTTGGATGTGTGTAGGTTATATGACGGCTATGACATTTCTATTTTTAAGTAAAAACGTAACGTTTTATCTCTAATAAAAAAAAAACTTAATCCTAAAAACCACAATTCTCAATTGGTGTCAGATATACGATACTGAAAATCCTTGCCCACCAGATTATAGCTCCGTGGAGAACAGTGTCCATGCAATCGTGGCGCAGAAGAAAATTCAAGGATTAAGGATTCAAATAAAAAGTTGTTGAAATCTCCGCCACCTTTGTTGTTCTCCCACGTTCGTCTCCAAGTAAAATCCTTTTCTTAGTTAAATTAGCTACAGGTCGACAATACTGGTGAGTTATGAGGACCAATTTAAGAAGATACAGTTTGAGCTTTTCTTTCGTGGACTAGAGTTCTGAGGCCCGAAAAATTTTAACGCTCTTACTTTCATAACTCGTGCTTAATACAATAATCGTAACAAAAGTAACTGGTTCAAGAGTAAAGTATTTTGTGCCCACATGTTTGAATTTGAAGGTAAAGAACTTTTTTCAAACTTGAGGTCTAGGAAAGAGAGGGATGAGTCTTCTCATCTAGTCTTCCAATAATGAACTCACTATCTCAATCAAACTCTTTTATTTTATTCGAAGTATGTTTAGTCCTCTTATCTATTAACAGGCTGACGTTATTTTCATCGATCAGGCAACGGAAGCTTAACATTAGGGTATAGGGTCAAGATCTGCAACATCATAGTTGCCCCTACTAAACTTATTAATTGTTCGTTCAAGGTGACTTATCTTCTCCATCAAAGGATCGGATGATTGTGGTGGGATGTATGACACTAACTGATTCATGGGAGTGGTAGCCAAGGAGACGGTCGATATTGTAGGAGACTTTCTTCGAATCTCTTCCTTGTAGTGATCTACATGTTCAGGAAATACGGGCGGATTTTGTCGCCAGTAGTTTTATTACTCCTTATGCTCTAGATTCCATTATTTGACATCTAACCCTAAGCATAGCTCTAATTTCACCCCAAATTCCACTTTGATTTCGTCGACATTGGTGGTTGTAGGTTGATGGTTGAAGAAGGTCACACTGATAGAGAGGTTTGGTTGCCCGGTAAGGAGGGGCTAGTCTACTAGACGAATGGTGTTTAGGGTTGCTGGTTTGGGAGAGATGTGGATGGGTTATGCTTGCTGAAGGGTTCCTGCCTTGTTGGGGTTGTTATTTCCATCGTGGGCAGCATCTGTAAGTTGAAGAGGGCTAGGTGTGGACTTGGACGTCTGTTTGTCAGCAAGGTGAACAAGGCTAACGATTGTCGGAATTGCTATTTATGGATGAGGATAGGTGGGGTGTGTTGGTTGAGAGGTGGTTGGGCATGAGTGCAAGTGGTGGGGGTTTAGATAGGTTTTTAGATTTATGTTTTTTTTAAAAACATTTAGAGATTGAAGGATATATCTGTCTTTTAATTTTATTGACGTTGACTTCTATTAATTTAGATGGTGAAGGATAACTGCAATGTGAAGATTGAGAAATGTTAAAATATGAAGAGGACAAATTGTTATTGAAACATGACCCAAATTTAGCTGGAGCATTTTGTAATTAACCTTAAATAATATACCCTTGAATGAATTATAATGATGCCTGTTATTGTTTCCTAACATTTTCACTAGTCTCCCCCTTATTTCTAAAATTACAATGAAACCTTGAGTATGAAATACTTTATAACAGCTTCTGTATTTACTCAATTTTAATCAAATGTCATGACTTGAGCTACAAATATTCCCCTCAAGGGGGAAAACCAATTTTTGACCGTTGAACTTTAACTTTGTTGGGAAAAAAATTTAGCTACTTAATTTGGTGGACAAATTTATTGATAGATTTTGGAAAAACTTTCAGATAATTTTTGACAATTTTTATGGACTGAATAAAGAAGTAAATTTGGTATTGAAAAAATTTAATTTTTATTAGAGTTGCTAGAGCATATATATCCTATTTTCTCTGCAAGGGCAAATTAGGCAAATTTAATGACTACTTTTTTATCTTTAATATTGACAAATTTGACTGTCCATTTCTTCGGCTATGGGAAAATTCTATGGTCTATCTTCAGTGAGTATAGACGAACTTATATCGCTCAGCCTCGTGACTCTGAGTAGAACAAAAGACAAAGTCTGAGTGTATGAACCAGTTTCTCAACTCATACATCATTTAAATCAGGACTTGCATTTCGTCAGAACTCAAGAACTATATCAGAGACTTGAATACGGTTCACTGTCCATTTCTAAATTGAGGGTAAAACGGATAGTTGAGTCATTGAAAATATAAGAAACTAGAGGGGGCATCTTTATAATTAGTTCATGTATACCTTAATAAAAAGAGAGAATTACAAACTATTGTTCCTTAATTAGTCAGATCCCTAATATTTAAAATATTACACACAAACTCTCTAAAGTTTATACCCGCGTAACACTTAAATTCCTACTATAAATATATCTTTTAATAATTATACTAAGACCTCTTAAAATTTATAAACATTTATTACTTACAGTCCTTAAGTTTAAAATGTTATACATAGACCAAAAATACTTCAATTAAAGATAAAATATCAAATATTTTAAATTTTACAATTAAAATTTATATTTTATTATATCTTTTATTGAAATAAAATCAAAAATAAAAATTCAATTTTTTCTTACAATTTGACGCCTTATTTAATTTTTTTAGTTTTTATTATAATAGATAGTATAATTATATACTAACTATAATTTTTTTAAAAAAACTAAATTTTTATTTTTGATTTTATTTCAATAAATAACATAATAGAACATGAATTTTGGATGTAAAATTTATATTATATTATGAATGACTTAGACTCCTTGTTTGATTTTTTAATTTTATTTCAATAGATAATATAATTGTATATTAATTACGATTTTTAAGAAAAAAAATTTAAATTTTATTTTAAATTTTATTTCAATAAATGATACAATAGAACATGAATTTTAGTTATAAAATTTAAAATATTTGATGTTCTATCTTTAATTGAAATATTTTTTGTCTAAATATAATATTTTAAACTTAAAAGATTTAAGTGTTATATACCTACAAACTTTAAGAGGTCTAAGTATAATTTATTAACGGATATATTTACGACAGGGGTATAAGTGTTATGCGCATACAAATATCAGGTGATTTGTGTGTAATATTTCAAATATCAGAGAATTTAAATAATTAAGTGATAAACTTTGGGAGGTGAATATAATTCTCCCTAATAGAAAGCCATGACCGACAAGTGATTCTCGAAAGTTCTTACCTCTCCTTATAGTTGTTGACAAGAGTGTTCAAATTTTTGATTGGTTGTAATTTTCTACTTTATCCTACCCTATTGAACGATTAGCCGAAAAAATTGGGTACGAATGCAGAAGAGTTTTTGGTCTTTCGATTAAATCGAGTAGGAATGCGAAATACCAATAAATTTCTGTATTCCTATCCTACTCTACCCGCAAAAAAATATATTTAATTTTTTAATATTTTTTTAGTAATTATAAGAGTATTTGTGTGGTATAATTTATGTTATAACATTATCATTATTGTGGATGTTTGAATTGCTAAAATATGGATTTGTTTTTTGTGTAGGTTATATTATTTGTGGTGAACTAATGATCTATTAGAACAATTATGATTTTAATGTGTTTCATATAGTTTAGATTGATGTTCATGATTTCTTGTGTTTTATTATAATTATTGTTGTAGTTATTTTAGGTTTTAGTGTTATTGGTTTATTGTGTTGTTAAATTGGTGTATGTTATTTAATTGAATTATTAAAATGATTCAAAAATTAATAACTACAAAAGTGTTTACCCGTCCTATCCGATTTTTTACCCGATTAATCGGGTAGGAAGTCAGGTAGGAATACTACACCTAATCGGATAGGATAAGATAAAAAAAAAAAATTCTATAAAATATTGGGCGAAAATATAAAAAATTATATTTCCTACCCATAGAGTAGTTGGGTAAAAAATCGATTAAAATTACCACATCTAATCGTATATGGTAAGATAAGAAAAAATTTCTTCCCTAAAATATCGGACAAGAATATGAAAAATTATATTTTCTACCGGGGTAGGGTGAACAACCATAGTGGTTGTTCTTTGTTGATGGACTATACATACACATCTCACACGACACCGCCGACCTCGTTTCCTCTGAAGGAACTCGTTTTAGGGTTTGGACCCGGACGAGAACCTAACCCCACCCAAAAACTTTCCAAATAGCCTTCGATTTCGATTTGTATTCGGAATCGAAATATTGGGGCTGTTTAATAGTGTTTTTGTGGCAAATTAGGTCTTACAGATTATATGGGTACGGAGAGGAAGAGGAAGGTGAGCTTGTTCGATGTGGTGGATGACACCTCTGCATCGGCGAAGCTCGCAAAATCTAATGGAGGCTTAGGTAACGGCAACAACAGCAACGTGCCATCGTTAATCAATAGGTGGAATGGAAGACCTTACTCGCAGAGGTATTATGAGATATTGGAGAAGAGGAAAACTCTGCCCGTCTGGCACCAGAAAGATGAGTTCTTGCAGGTCTTAAAAGCTAATCAAACCATAATCCTGGTCGGTGAAACTGGCAGTGGTAAAACCACGCAGGTCAGTAGTCTTTAAATGATGCTAGTTATATATCAGTATCTGAAAAATTACTTGATTTTCTTGTTTGCCCGTGGAAGAGAATCAACTTTGGAACATTTGTTTATCAGGACTGTACTGTTTGGACCCTATATGGTTAGCTTATTTGCTTTTGTTGTCGGGAGATTCTGCGCTTTCGTTGTTCATCTTCTGTTATCTTGAAAATAGATGGGCTATTTGATTTCTCTTTGTTGCGGTGTTTGATTTGTTTCACCACATATTTGGTTCAATGCATTGTTGTTGGAAATTTTTGATAGTGACATAATTGTGGGTCTATATCATCGGTTTTCCTGGATTTGGTTGAATTTGAAGGCCTCTGTTTTCTGGAAAGCTGTGATTCGATCGTCTATTTTAGGGAAAAGAAGCCCTAACCCTCTGGACCAAAATCCGCTCGAATACACATGTTCTCCATGACCCACTTACATACAATGGAACCGAATTGAATTTATCATAGGTGATTCTCACTCTTCTCCTTCTTTCCTCTCACTTTTTTGAGGGGAGGAATTCGGTAGGCCTGGAGTAAGCTCTTCCCTCGACTCCTCCTTTGTTTCCCATTAATTTTCCAAGTGAACTATTGAAAACTCTATTTATCCGCCCTATCTTCCTTTCCCATTCCCTCTCTTTGCTTTTCCTCTTTCCTGTTTCATTCCTTCCACTCTTTTATCCAACCAACCAGGACATAAGAGTCACTGCAACTTTGCCTGCAGATTTACGTGATATCAAGTTTGCAGATATCTCGAGTATTCTGTGTTTGTTGTTCATCATAATATGGGTTTCCTATGCATTATATTTCTAGTCCTTGGGTTATTTATTTGATTATTATCTTTTAGCAAGTTTGGACAATGCACAATTTATTCAGTGCAAATGTGGTAGCAGGAATTTCTTGCCTGTGGAGTGGAGATTTTTGACTTCGTTCATTTATGTTCTACAGATCCCCCAGTTTGTTCTGGAAGCCACCGAGGTAGAGGGACCAGATAAACGTAGGAAGTTCATGATTGCCTGTACCCAGCCTCGGAGGGTTGCTGCAATGTCTGTTTCTCGTCGAGTAGCTGAAGAAATGGATGTGACTATAGGGGAGGAAGTGGGTTATAGCATTCGTTTTGAGGATTGCAGTAGTGCAAGGACAGTTTTGAAGTAAGCCCATATCTTTGTGCACAATTATTTCTCACTGTCACTTTTAAACTAGTAGATGTGACTTGGAATTTGTCACAATCTGCGTATTGTTTTTCCTTGGTTTCTTTTGTGGTCTGTACTCACTTGTCTTTCGGCATTGTAGGTATTTGACAGATGGTATGCTTTTAAGAGAGGCAATGACAGATCCACTTTTGGAACGGTATAAAGTGATCATTCTTGATGAGGCTCATGAAAGGACTTTGGCAACAGATGTTTTATTTGGTCTTATTAAGGAAGTGCTGAAAAATAGACCTGATCTGAAGCTAGTTGTAATGAGTGCTACACTTGAGGCAGAAAAGTTTCAGGGTTACTTCAATGGTGCGCCTCTTATGAAAGTTCCTGGAAGGCTTCACCCTGTTGAGATTTTTTACACTCAGGATCCTGAGAGGGATTACCTTGAAGCAGCAATTCGAACTGTTGTGCAGATACACATGTGCGAACCGGCTGGTGACATACTTGTTTTTCTGACTGGAGAGGAGGAAATAGAAGATGCATGTCGCAAAATAACGAAAGAGGTTTCCAATTTGGGAGATCAGGTTGGGCCCATAAAAGCAGTGCCCTTGTACTCTACACTTCCTCCAGCTATGCAGCAGAAGATATTTGATCCTGCTCCACCTCCACTGGTGGAGGGTGGTCCTCCTGGAAGAAAGATTGTAGTGTCAACAAACATCGCAGAAACTTCTTTGACCATAGATGGCATTGTTTATGTCATAGACCCAGGGTTCGCCAAACAAAAAGTTTATAACCCACGAGTGCGAGTTGAATCTTTGTTGGTCTCTCCGATATCCAAGGCTAGTGCACACCAAAGATCAGGGCGTGCTGGAAGAACTCAACCAGGTAAATGTTTTAGACTTTATACTGAGAGGAGTTTCAAAAATGATCTTCAGCCGCAGACCTACCCAGAAATATTGCGTTCAAACCTCGCAAATACAGTTCTCACATTGAAGAAGCTAGGAATAGATGATCTTGTTCATTTTGATTTTATGGACCCTCCTGCCCCAGAAACGTTGATGCGAGCATTAGAGGTTTTGAATTACTTGGGGGCATTGGATGATGAAGGAAACCTAACCAAGCTGGGTGAAATCATGAGCGAATTTCCCCTGGATCCTCAAATGGGAAAGATGCTTGTGGTCAGTCCCGAATTCAATTGTTCCAATGAAATTCTTTCGGTATCTGCCATGCTTTCAGGTATTGTGTAGTTTGTTATCTTGGTTTATTCTTCTGTATTGAGTCTCATTGTGGGTCTGTAACATTCACGAAGTCATACCCATCAGGTGTGCATCTATGCATATAATAATGTTATATACTTGACCAGATGTGTATGCACGAGTACATATGCATGTGGTTAGGTATGTGTCCACTTAGGTTGTCATCAGCAACTGTCTTGTCTGGGTTCAGTGCCCCCAGTTGGCACGCACCATAGAATTTCTAAGTAAGTGCTGATGCAGATAGTTGCAGTTTCTCAGTATTCTCTCATGAAGCAAATGGTGTCGTCTCGCCTCTATGCATCTGCTGACCTACCGTGGGCCTCGTCTGTGATAACCAATTTTTTCTTTAGTACCCAATTGCTTTGTCCGGCCTAGGGAGGCTCAAAAAGCTGCGGATGAAGCGAAAGCTCGGTTTGGTCACATTGATGGGGATCACCTTACTCTTTTGAACGTGTACCACGCATACAAGCAAAATAGTAAGTGCTGACATCTATTCTCTCTTTCACATATTCTCTTAATTTCAGAAATTGTTAATGCCATTTTCATTTAATTTTGAGTTAGGAATCATTGATATCTGTGTATCTGAATTATTTACAGATGAAGATCAACAATGGTGTTACGAAAATTTTGTCAATCATAGGGCGCTTAAAGCTGCGGATAATGTGAGGCAGCAGCTAACTCGCATTATGGCCAGGTTCAACCTCAAGCTATGCAGCACAGATTTTAACAGCCGTGACTACTACATCAACATCAGAAAGGCTATGTTGGCTGGATATTTCATGCAGGTGGCTCATTTGGAGCGGACTGGGCACTATTTGACTGTGAAAGATAATCAGGTTTGTGACTTATCAAATACGATTATGTAGGATGGTCTATCACTTGATTTAAGCTCTTGGGAACTTTGTTTATGTCCCACCGGAGAGAAGTACTCTATTCAATTTTGCTATGTCGCCAAATATGTGAATTTTTTTTGGTATATACAGGTAGTTCACTTGCACCCTTCAAATTGCCTGGACCACAAACCAGAATGGGTTATCTACAACGAGTATGTTTTAACAAGCAGGAATTTCATCCGTACAGTAACTGATGTCCGTGGTGAATGGTCAGTTTCTGTCATTTTATGCAATAAATCTGCCATACTGTTGTTTATTCTGTTCTCAGATTCTCTCTCTCTTTCTCTCTCTCTGCTTTTTCTTTTTCTTTTTTTAAAATATATAAGCCAAACCCTAATGAGGAAATGAAATTTTGCTGAATTCTAGTATTCTTGAACAAATTGAGACAGATTCTTTGCATATATTCTGGATCTCTTCTTGACATGGGACTTAATTTGCTTGCCAACTTCTTTGTTTCCTTGTAAAGTCGTTTCGGTAGACCACCAATAGATTTGTCAAGTCCACAGGTTGTTTCTTAAGGAAGTCGGGATTTCTACATGCAGTTTATAAATTCTATTGAACATTTCTTCATGCGAGGATTGTTTGTTGTGTTGTGTAGCACATTTTGTGCAGGACAGTGATTTTTTAGTTCTTTTAGAAAGCAGACTTGTTTGCTTGCCAACTTCTTTCTTTCCTTGTAAAGTCTTTTCGGCAGACCACCAGTAGATTTGTCAGGTCCATGGGTTGTTTCTTAAGGAAGTTGGGATTTCTACATGCAGTTGATAAATTCTATTGAACATTTCTTCATGCGAGGATTGTTTCTTGTGATTTGTAGTGTACAGTTCTTGTGGGAGTGTTGTGGGGGGTGGGTTCAGATGCTTCCGCTTGTCCACAAATTATTTATTTTCTAGGACTTTGTGAGTGCTTCTCAAATTTTAATCAGTTGCTGGGCTTTACTACCCTTTTTTAAGACTATTGAAGTGAGCTATTGAATTATTAAGCAACATATTCCTTAAAAAGAGAAAAAAGGATTATTTAGCAACAATTTCCCAGTTCTCTGTCTCTCTCTCATGTATGGTTGATGATCTATAAGGTCAGAGGATGAGTATTTTGGGCTGGAGATTAGTGTGGTTTTTCAATCTTCTTGGTATATAATATTATGCTAACTAACTTTATTGCTCTTTTTTCCCCCATTTTTGTGGTTGCCGTGGATGTCTGGCGGTTCAGGTTGATCGATGTTGCACCACACTACTATGATCTTGAGAATTTCCCTCAATGTGAGGCAAAGCGTGTCCTGGAGAAGCTTTACAAGAAACGTGAGAGAGAAAGGGAGGAGAGCAAGAACAGAAAGTGAGAAGATTGGTTTGCCTATATTTTTCAGACCTTCTGTATTGGATATCTCCAGTGACTTGAAGTTTGGCCAGCAATGCCTCTTAGTGGAGTCCATATCTTTAGGGAGGCAGGGAAGAAATACCTATTTATTATTTATTGTACTATTTAGGAAGTAGTTTAGTGTCTGAAGTTTGAACTGTGTGAATCTGCGAATTTGTTCCCTTTGGTATCGACTGTTTCGGCTTTTACCCAGAGTCCAGTATAGCATGCAGATTGGCCTCCCTCTTTTAGTGTTTTGCCATGCATGTGGACTATGTGAAGTGCAAGCAGCCAAATGGGTGCATTGAATACAAGGCAGGCAGTATGATCTTGTTCTAGTTTGTAAATTCTCTGATGCAAACTCACCAAGGTTTGAGACATGAATGAAACAAGCAGGTTCCATTCCAAGCAATGTGCCCCTGTACATCAAGGTCAAAAGGCATCCCTGACCTGCTCTCCTATCGAGATTCACCAGATAAGCATAATGCTTTTTTATCTGGTTGGACACCATCGTTGCAATGCCTTTCACCTTCTTCCACCAATCTTTCATTTCCAAACGCTGACAACACATCATTGTCTCAAGTTTGTTCAAGGATGGGCAATGCCACTCTTTTTCTTCTCCGACAATTGAATTCCACGAGTGTTTTTCTTTGGCATCGCATCAAGAATGCATGATGTATCTTCAATGTACCCCGTTGCGCATGCATGTCTACAAGTGAGGTTGACAAGATACACGTCAGTAGGTATACCAGACTTCAAGAGGAGCGAATGAACTTGATTGTCCGCAATAAGAAAAGAACAACCCGCACAAGCTTCTGACACATGCAAACGTAAACTGATTAGGAAGAGTTCCTGAATTTAACATCAAAAGAAACAATCCCGAAGCATCGACAAATAATTGCAGTCCATGGAACACTTCCTTCGCTCATCTTGTTATAAACTGCCCGAGCTTCATTAAGGTTGTTATGACAACTTAATCCCAGAAATTTTACTATTCTCCCGAGTCTTGTGGAAAACCTTCTGAGCCTCAACTGTTGGTCCCAAATTCATAAAACAAGGCATTCCACGATATTACATCTTTCATGGAAATCGCTTCAAACGCTTGACAGAAAATTCCCCAATCCCAAAAACCAGTGTAATCTCTCACCAATGTTGACCCAACAAACAAACTCTAATTAAGCGCTTGACGAAGTATAAGACCATGAAGATGTGGGATGTGATAATTGAACGCTGTAATTACCATTGAAGAAGATAACTGTTTGGGTCTTTGACCAGGTCCACTTAATATTGGCAGCCTGTCCTTGGGTTTTGAGTATTGTGAAAACCCAATTACGTGGTCTTCCACGAAACAAAGTCCCTTTGGGACCTTTGATCAAACAGGCCTTGAGCGTGTTGCAATTGTTTGTTTCCGAGGCAACCTCAGATGAGTGATTTCCAGGAAAGACAATACTCAATCAAGTGATATTAGTTCATGTCAGAACTCTCGACACAGACCTTGGAAATTTAAGCACCCATATGCAGAATTTAAGTACCGTGAGGGAAATTTGCCCTCGGAAAGTTGTAAAGTGAAAGAGAGAATTTTTGTCAAAGATACAATGAATTCACTAAAGCCAAGCAGTGCGACAGAAAATGCATTGCGCAAACGTTTAAATGTTAATGATGGATTACAGACGCGCTGCAGCTTAAGCAGGGCCGAGGTTTCATAACTAACAAAATAAGGGAATAGGCATACTTTCTTGCATTAGAGAAACCTATATCACTCATAGGATAAACACCACACTGCTTCAGTCATGGGACCAGCGCTTTCAACAATGTAAGTACTTAGCGTCTTGATCCGGTTAATTTTTCATAAAGTTCATCAATTTCCACCTGCACAATGTTGAGTTCATGAAGTACTTCCTTCATTTTAAGAATTATTTGACAGGAAATAAGGAAAATAAAGGAGCAATTCAACTACCTTATAGCGTTTAAGCAGTTTATCTCGTCTCTTTTTTAAAGTCGGTGTAACCAAATCCTTTTCTGCTTCAAGGGGCTGAGCTTCTAAAATGATGCCTTTGATAAACTCAAAACCCCTCAGCTGGTAGAACAAAGGCAGAAGAATCAGAAAAGCCAAAATAATGAGACTATATGGCCGTGATACAGTAACATGATCACAATGATTAGCACAAATATTGACTATTTGGCTGGAAATGAAACTTAATGGAGGAACACAACTGCAACGTCATTATTTTTTTCTGAAAATTTGACTAAATTTACCTTGTTTCTCTCTGCTGTCGACTTCATCTCAAGGAGAATATGATCTCGTAGCTGGTTAAGGGCACATAGTTCAGAGAATGAACCACTGTAGCCATTTTGGTATGCCCATCTTTTGGCATTCTCTTCATGAGGTACAACTACTGCAACCAACATTGACTTGAAGCCGTTCCCATAGACCCAGATCTAACAGAATGAACAGATACATCAGACTTCCATCAACATTACTAAAGTACTATTTCCTATGCAATTAACTTCAGAAAATGATGCTCACATCTTCAACCGTGGGGGTGATTACGTAAACCTTTTCCAGATATTCAACTGCAACATACTCTCCATGTGATAGCTTAATCAGATTTTTCTTCCTATCAATAATTTTTAAAACTCCATTTGGTAGCATCTCCCCAATGTCACCTAAAAATACCGAAGGATGGAAGAAATCAGAATACGTCTCCCACAAACAATTTTCTAACCAGAAATGATACCTGTATGAAACCACCCATCTTTAACAGTTTCCCTTGTCAATTCTGGATTCTTGTAGTAACCTGAAAAACCGGTTTTCCCTCTCACACATATCTCACCGCGTGGAGGATCTTCAAGTGGATTATATCCCATTTCTGGAACCTCCTCCAGACGTACCTCGGTATATACAAATGCAGAACCAACAGTTCCGAGCATACACATTTCGTCTGGAAAGCCAAGAGTCGTCAAACCACATGTCTCTGTCAAACCTGAAAGAATAACAAAGTGACTAGTTGAAAATGCATAAAAACTGTATAGGAAAATTTGAATTTTGGCGTTGGTTTTTGCCTTAAGACAGATGTTCATTAAATCCCACTACAATTTAATTGACAAAATAGGCACAAAAATGTGGCGATAATCGTAGGAAGGATATATTTAAAATTTTAGAGGAGACTAAAAATGGAAACAATTAGTCGGAAAGGTCAACAAAAATGCATGTCTGTTATATTGCGGGAAGATTTGCCATGTCTGTTATATTGCTGGAAGATTTGATTATTGAACAACTTCTGAAGCAGGGAAAACAAAAACTTTGCAGGATACCCTATGATGAGCTGTCAGTTTATCAAAGTCGATGGTTTCTGACAGACCCTGAATTTCCCAACTCCAAGTAAGATTGTGGGTGGAATGTTTCGAGTGTTCAAGTGCAGAATAACTGAAGCTCATGTCTTACACCATCATATTCATCTTGCTTGATTTACCAACCATACATGGCATTTGCTTATTCTCTATGCTGCTTGGATATAATTTACTCTACAATGGCCTGGTAATACAAAAGCTTATTGTCGGTAATAGAGTTCTTTACCATAGCCTTGCACTACGAAAGCACATGAAGTAACTCGCAAGAATTCTTCCACCTCAGTGCTTAATTGTGCACCTCCAGACACAATTAGACGAATCCGACCCCCTAGTCTAGCTTTCACCTAACCAAAAATGAACATGTCAGAAGGAATGTATTTTCTTGTTTAACAAAACAAAGTTTCCTTCCAAAGCTAAGCAAATGATAAGAAAGGTATTAAAAATGGAGTATTTCTTCTCACTTTACAGAAGTAGCCCTGAGGTATCAATCAAAAATTCTGGTCCTATAGCCCTTCTTATGAACCAACGACAGAGAAACTGTCTTAATTGTATCCTTGGGATTTACATCCTGAGTTCTTAATTGTACGGATTCACATTCATGAGTTCTGGTTTCCAGAATGCTGGGCACTGGAAGCTTGGAACTAGCAGTGAAATCACTCAGAACAGCCACATTCAGCTGCCAGTTGTGGTTAGAGTTTCAGTTCTGAGAGACTGAAACATGAAAACTATTTTTCTCTTTGCAATAAAAACGAACATGACAACCCAAAAACATAAGGCTAGTACTGGCAGAGGATAGACACAACCTTTCTGAAAGCCAGCAGATCAGCCAAAAGTGACGCATTTTTCTGCTTATAACCTCGCTTCATCCTGTTGAGTTTACTGTATCGCAAAATAAAGGCACATAAGTATCACAGAAATGCTACCTATGCTTCTTGCATATAAGATAGGGACAAAATAAATGACCTATGAAGGGATAACTCTGAAAACATAAGAAATACTTACTGTTGGTAAAGAATCCCAAAAAACATCCTCCTCACTGGATTTAGTTCTTCTAGAGCTTTAATGACCCCTGGAAAGCAAATGAAACTGACTTTTATGTGCTTCCGACCCATATCACTCCACGTCAATTAAAGTATGTAAGTTCTGGATGACAAACAACTAGCAAAAAATCCATGCCTTCATGTATTCTCTCTAATACTCGGGGTACTGCAGCCAAAAAAGTTGGCTTCAATTCCATCAAATCATCCTTTAGTGCATTTATATCCTTCAAGTGATAGAAAATGAACAAATTGGAAATCAGCAATTGAAATTGTTATATATGGAGAACCAGATGTGAAATTGAAAACTCTGCTCTCCTTTTGTTTTCTAAAAGAACTTGTCACAACGGAGAAAAAATATTGAAATTATTTTCCACCATTTGATTTTTGGGAAAATAACGTGAGAGGTATAATGGGAAGGAATCAGGAAAAATCAGAGATTTAAGTTGGCCATCCCATTTTTTCCTTCCTACAATGTAACTTCATGTCCCTTCCATTTGTCTTTGGCACCATCATCACTGGACAACAAGATGGGGTATTCTTGATTCTAGGATATGTCCCCAGATTTACCACTGGACTAAGACGATTTATATTGTATTCTTTATACAACTGTTTCTCATGCCTTCTGTCTTATCAATAAGTTGAACAAGATTCACATTGTTTTTCTTTTAAGTGATTTTCCCATTTTCTACTCTCTTCAAAAACAATATGGAGTTCGATTTGCGGAAAAAATAGAATGCAGCAGCTTACCCCATGATAGTAGCCAACGGAAGCACCCTTATGGAAAAAATATTCTTCAATCATGCGGTCAAGAATATGAGCAAGGGGCAGGAACGATATATAAACATCATCCACTGTCATCTATCCAGATGTCAGTCCCAAAGGAAAATATTAGGACAAGAAGTTAAAGCCAGAGAGCAAATTTTATCAAAGGTATCATAGAATGTTATATTAACTGTTAGAATTTCTCATCTAGAGTTTCCTATTGTCTACTTTCCTAATATGTGCCCTTCCTATTATGAATATCAATCTAATATAAAAGGTGATAGGTTGGTAGCAACACACATCCTACACACAATATTATTTCATAGATTTCTTTCTTCTTTTTCTCCTAAATCTAAACCGTAATACTTAATTATTTGTGTCTCAACTTTGGTATCAGAGCAAAATCCTAGGTTTGCATCTAACAATTCTAACATTAACTACACAATTGTTTCAATGCACAAAATTCAGAGAAAACTCCACTCAATAAGGTGGACATGGCATCAGAACATACTATCAATTTCATGGTAATAGAAGATATTTGGAGTTGGAACATTATTTCTCTTAAATAGTACAGCACACGTGGTTTGCCAATTTCTATTCTGTTGATGCATGGTATAATACATAATACAATATTTTCAAGATAGCAGAAATATTAGATCTGGACAGAACCCGGCAAAAATATCACTTTATGAGGCCACGTAGTAATAGTGTGAGACTCCATGAGAGATAAGGTAAAAATACATGAATCACTAGAGATTTAGCCTTTCTAGCATTCTGTTTACCTTGTCTTCGAATTGTGCCATGAAGAGATCAACACCTCTTACGCACATTGCAATGGTTTCATGAGTTAGTATAACACCTTTTGGTTCTCCACTGGTGCCGCTAGTATACATTATGGTACCTATGCTGAATGGATGTGGCGGCAAAAGCTCTGATGGGAATTCTTTACCCTGTCAAATAAGAAAGTGGAAATCAACAACAAACAATCCTTTCTAGAATTAACAATATTATTTAATACAAGAAATTGAAGGATACTCCATAAGTTTTAAGTTAGCTAGAGTTATATCGAGAAGTAATTAAAATTTATAAGGGTTCACATTTTTTTTGGTAAGCAAGGGTTCATATTTACCGCAGTAAGAATCAAAAGACAGCCTGTGATGAACTGTTTAAAACACCATACACACCAGAAAAATCTCTTATTCAACCAACCTATGCAGTCACCATGTAAAACATAGTAAAAGGTGTTTTACGAAACTCACCACGGAAAATTACGACACTCCTCATTGCAATGAAGACACACACACAAACGCATGACAACTTGGTTTGCTGACATTCATTTATCAGGTCAAAGCATCAAATGCAACAATTACTTAAGGAATGACAGAGTTTGAAGGATGATGAAAATATGCTTCAGTTCATTGAAAATGAGGATGGATTCTGGAAAATACTACTGACTGGTCATTAGAAGCTAAATTGATAAAAATATTCAGTTCATCACTCAAAGAGAATCACATGATTCTCCATTGTTTTACTCAAAAGTTCGTACGAGGAAAAGGAGGTCAAGAATGTACTCATATAACATATAATACTTGCCCTATGGAGAAACTCATTCCATGAATATGGTTTTATTCCAATGGATGCTGCCTTATCCTTCTCTTCCTTTGTCATCGAAGTGAAGGAAACAATCGCTACAACCACAATCAAACTTAGAAAATGCCTTCCAGCAATCACAAATAATAAAAAATTATTCTTACATTTCAGCCTTTGAGTATGTGTACAGTCAGGATTCAATAACTGCAAACAAAAATATACACAATCAAACTATGGTGATCACTTTGGAATTGAAGTCAATGGTGAATCCATTATTGACATGGAAAGAAGATGTAGTTTTTTTATGCTCACTTCTTTCACTTTCTTATCTTGGACGAAAACGATATTAATCTCCGCATGGCCCATTATAAAATCTACAGCCCCTGGCCCTGTCTCAAACACAAGCCGTAAGTGTTGAGTTTTTCTTGAAATAAAATAATGGACAGACCTACAAAGATGGAACTAAATAAACACAGGAATAAGTTGAATTCAATAACAGTTCTAATTAAGAGATGGGCTGCTCAGTGGTAGTAACCTATGATATCTAAACGAATATCTAACCAATTTTGACTGTAAAAATGTGATTTTGTTCCAATCTTTTGGAGCGAAAATGGAATTGAACAGTGAAAATAATATACAATCCAAAAGTGCTCAAATTAGGGCACCAAACTTATAGATTTAGTATTTGCCTACAAAACTGTATCTATCACCATCCATGGTTAGTCTGCTTCATGCAATGAAAAACCATGTATGCTATTTTGTTAAGTCCTTACTCCTTCCCACTTTGTCTGTATCTTATCCCAAAGACTATACAAAATTCAATTATGTTCAGGATATTACACCCATGTCAAAGAAATCAAATGAGAAAAATTCAACTTTGGATATTGATATTAAGGGAAAAAAGATAAAAGAAAGAATAAAAAATTCAGAGAGGAGGAACCCTAAGAAAGAAGAGAATCAAATTAAAGCAAGAAGCTTACCAAGGGTGTCATAAAGAGGCACACAGACTAAACTGTGGGCACTGCAAGCCTAAAGGATAATCAAACCAATTACTCAGTGCATGCTCATCATAAATTACAGCAATCAACAAAACAAAACTGGGGAAAGAAGGTTAAAACCAACCTCCATTGCTACAATCCATTGAGGGCAGTTTGTGCCATAGATCCCAACTCGAGAGCCCTTTCAGAAGAAATGCAAACATCTTGTCAACAAAGTTCCCATTGAAACTATATAACTAGGATTATATACATGTATATATATGGAATAAATAAACTGCCAAAGAATCTGGGGTCTTATATATATATATATATATATATATATATATATATAATTACAACAAAAATATTAAAATGTACGTATCTGCTTACAGGTTCAATACCAGATGCCCGTAATGCAGAACCAATATCCAAAACTTCCTCATAAACATCACTGTATGTTTTCCAGACATAAGGCCCCCACTAAGCAACAAAGGAATTTAATCAAGTAATGAATAACCAGACAACCAATACGCATATGTGTTGACTATACTGCTCTCTGACAAATACATACCTTCCCATTGATAAATTCACGCCATCCAAGCATCCTATTTGCAGGATACTTTTCAACTGATACCCTGCAGATAAAAATCTTCGTGACGTTGGTGGTACAAATAGCAGGAGATAAGATTGTTTTATGAACATCTCAAACAATCTATTAATAACAATAGCGCCTAAAAACTTAAATTGTTAGAGAAGATGTAAAAAGCCAAAAAACAAGTAATATTAGTGTAATCATAGGGTAACTCTGAGATTCAAATACAATGCATTCTCCTTCAATGCCATGCTAATCACAACTACTGCAAATTAAAACTCAAGTGTTGGAGAATATGTAGCAAATGCACTTATATGCTTCAATACAATCTACATGGGGGGGTTCATGTTACTTAGCATAACCAAGTGATAACCAAAAGCAATAGGTTTCCCCTTCTATGGTGGCCCCTTCGTTTTGCAGTGCTTTCTATTTCAAGTACATTCAGCTATAACGATTTACGCATACCAATGTATTTTGCCAAATTACCTGAAAATATCCCAAGCTGTACTTAAATCAGGATCAACTGGTGGAAACCCATGTTCAGCCAGAGGATTGCGATATACTGGACCAACTGATGGCAGCCCATCTCGGCCTTCCCTTCCCTCCTCTACCTTAACTGCAAACTTATTCATTATGACTGCCTGCAAAACCTGGACATCCAATACCTCAGCAAAACAGTTACATGGAAGGTATGGTCCACAGGTCCAAACAACGTTATAATTTATAAAGCACCAATCAAGTAGCCTAGAAAGAGGTCGATGTAGCGAATATAAGAGTAATAAATAGCCTAACATACAAAAATGGACAGAATATTGGCAACGTACGGATGAAAAGATCAGAAAAAATAAGTGATACCAAAACTCAGCTAATACAGAGTGATTCAATAAACTTGAATAAAACCTCAAAATTCAAACTTATTGCTGGTTAACAGAAATTTCATATAAAAAACAATATATATATATATATATATATAATACCGTAAAAATAAAAGAATAGAGATGTGAAGACTATCACCTGATAATAGCACAAATAATAAGAAAAAAAGAGAAGAAATAAGAACAATAAATGTAAAAAACAAAACAAACCCACATGTGGAGACTCCCTCTAAAAAGGAGAGAAAGAAAACAAAATAAAGAAGAGAAAACCTCAAATAGTGTTAATCAAAAGAAAACTTATAATATTGTAAGAAACCTTATGTCTGAAACAGTATACGAAAGGTAGAATTAATAAAGAAACTCTTGACAACCTTAAAACTGCCACAAAACAAATTTCAGCGCCAACTGAAACATCAAAAATTTACCGAATCCCTCCCTCCTAACAAACCAACAAACCCCAGATTCTTCCTTTGCCCAGTTTTCGTTATGGTTTGTACTTAACAGACCACTACTCATCTATTCATCAACAAAATTATGTATAGAAACAAATATACAAACAACCGCACACAAACATAGATATGTAAAGACAAAGAGAGAGACTTGCATAGAAAGTTGAGAATCAAAAAAATCTTACTATGGTGACAGGGATGGTGGAGGTGGAGGTGGAGGTGGAGGTGGATTGAGTTCATATAGAGAAAGACATGGTAAAAACTCAAAAAGCAAAAACAATCCACCGATAATGGTAGTTGACAGAAATAACTGGTGCTTGGTTCTTTAACGCTTCCATTTAATGCAATCCCACTGACTTCTTCAAATAATCCGCCTCGTGCCGTTTTCTGTTACATACTTCGACAAAGAAAAGCAGAGAGAGAGAGAGAGCGCAGTGCTACATGTCAACAGCTAAGCGGTGACTCACAGTAATTAAGCTGTTGCGGTTTGGTTCGTCCTCTTCCATAATTTACTCTGGGTCCCAGCCCAGTGCAATATTAAATTTGTACGGTTGAACAATTAATTCACTCACATCTCTTGATGTAACAATTCCAACCTTCCACTCAAAACCCACCATAGGGTTTAATTCAGTCTTATTCAGAAGAAACTTACCGCTCTACGGTTGGTTATTATTTTTTATAATAAAATTATAATTTAAAAAAAAATTTATAACTGTTTAAAAAAATAATGCAGTATTAATTTTAATATTTTATAATCGATCATATCTTTTAAAATTATAATTTATATTTTAAAAAAGTTATAATTTAATCTTAAGATGTTGTAAGTTTCAATACTAATACCGCTGACGGTACTATAGAAATTTCTTAGTTCATATATACATAATAAAAATAATGGAAATAAGAATTGCGTGGTAGTCCATGTTTTATAAATTTGATTTTTTATTTCATATATAAAGGATGTAGTTTACTATAGTTTGAAGGGCAAAAATGGTGAAAGGGGATCAAGTGCCTATTTTCAATTTACCAGACTTTTTTTTTTCTTCACCATTGGAGAGTATGATTCAATAGTTGACTAGATGCCACAGACAGTTCTAAAATTAGGGAGGTCACATGACTTTTAGAGACAAGACTTGGCCAATCCCAAAAGAGAAAGTCTTGTGAAAAGTAGAGACCAGCAGCTTATATCTCAATCTCACTTTATAACCCTAACATAGAGTGAAATCCACTTTAATACACATTTTTTCTATTTTTTAATTAAATTATCTACCCATGAATTTATGTAGAACTTATTATATATATATATTTGTTTTCAATAATACATGGTATGTGCTTTATCAAAAAATAAAAAAAGAAGTGTATTGAATGAATTTTAATTCCACAAGAATAATTAACATACGTAATTCAATAATCGTGTACATTCGATATTAAGTCCTATCATATAAAGAGCCCCTCACTATGCCCAAGGTGGTGGATGATGCCATAGATACCAATCCGCCGGGTTGGTCGAGAAGAAAAATATTATGGGCATTAAATTTGGAATTTCAAACGAATATGCAAAATTTGAATTAGTAGACCCCATTTAAAAAAATTCATGGGAGCTAATGATCCGAGGGTCGACAGTCACTTGAAATTCCTATCATTGTTCAAATGGGAATACCAACTGGCCACCATATAATCATCGAGTACCGGCTTTAAATTTTGATAAAATAGATAGTGAGACTAATCACTAATGGCAGTCCTATCCTGCAAAGACTATCCATCAATGCAACCCCAACTCTTTGGACACTATGAGGCAGTCGGCCCTTTCCGAATGGCAACATCATGGCATGGATCTCTGCAAGCTGCTAAAATTACCGGACCAGCTGAGTTGAATAATCACCATGAGAGCAAAGTGGCAAAAGAACACCGATGACACTATGCTAACAAAATAATAATAATAATAATAATAATACCAAACCAAAAAATTATTATTTAGCATCAATAATTGAAATAACAATATATAACATAAAACAATAAAAGAATAGAACCTTTTTACATATTATCTTATGATCGGCCCAAAAAAAAAAAAAAGACCAAAGGCTAACTCAAAGAAAACACCTAGTTGCTCAAAATGCCTCTCCTCTGACCTCTTGCTTTCAGTCCAGTTCGGTCAGCTAGCATAACAAATGATAAGTTTCCAGTGTCTTTCTGGCCGTGATAATCAGGATTTCACTGTGTATACGGAAACTTCAGTGGCCTATCAATATGTCAAACTGCAGAGGAAAAGAACCCATAACTGTAAACTTAATGACGGGTTGGCTGGCAGGTTTGAAGAACAGGGCCCCACCGTACCATAGCAACACAGAAATTTAACACACAACGCAAACACATTTATTATTCATCCAACATCGGTATAGATCATAGTTTTAAAATTCGGCCCAAACATCAATTGAGCGAAGGGATCGGATTAATAGGTCATTGGTTCGATCGTTGGATCATTGGTCCCACCGGTAATATAATAAAAAATTAAAAAATAATTATAAATAATAATAAATAGGCTAAAAAATCACTAATTATAAAAATAACATCAAACATGTATCCAATTTCAATGTATTCAATTTTCAATACAATTTGTAAAGTTAACTAGAAAAAAATACCTCTATTAAAGTTTCAGACTCCAAATTTAAACTTTAAGTTATAAACTAACAGTCTAAGATACCAAAAAAATATATCATATTTGATACCAAACATTCAGCAAAATTTGATCTTAGATCAAGCAAACTCATGGACAACAATAATAGCATAGATTTCACAAGAAATTTAAGAACAAATTGTCGGTTTATATCTATAGCACCTATAAAACAAATAAATAGATATATTCAGAGAAAATTGATCATATCACAATCCACAAGTAAATACACATCTCAAACGAGTTTTCAACATAACAAAACACAAATCAAACTTCAGCTCCAATTGCACCAAAACTCATTCCATTTTCACTATATTTCCAAGAAATGTGTTAAAGCAAACAAAAATAAAAATAAATTCTGCACATAAAAGCCCCAAACCAAAGGATTTTATAGTGAATGGAGTCACTGGACTCTGGAGAGAGAGAGAGAGAGAGAGAGAGAGTGAGAGGGGGAAACTTGCCGCTGGTGGAGGCGAGGTGGTGGTCTGATCGTTGCTGCACTGAAGGCAAGGTGGCGGTTAGTCGTTGGTGGTGGAGGCGAAGGGGTGTGTGACTCTTGATCGATTTACTTTAGGGCAACAAACAAAAGGAGAAAAAAAACAAAAAAGGCAAAAAGGGAAAAAAAATCTCATATTTATACAAGTAAACTTAAACCGTCCGATTTTAGTAAATTCGTCCAGTTCCCACGGGTTCACCGATTTTTAACCGATTCAATAGGTTGATATCAGGTTCTGTACATAAAACGATTTTTTATTAGAACCAGCCCGATTTTTTGGGTTGACCCACTGGGCCAGGGCGGATTTTAAAATATTGATGTAGATCGCTCAACAGAGTTTCACGAGAGAGTTACCCAAGCCCACGTGCCACTGCAGCTAGATTAATCTACGCTAATTAGGATTAATTCATTGGGTCAGGCCAGATGTACCCGTACCTGAAGGGTCCTTTTTCAGTTGAGTTACCTATCCATCTGACCTTGAACGTTAAATACAGATGTTTGGTTGAAATATATAACCAAAACATGGCAAAAAGTGGGCGCCACACTGCCTCTCCTACTCCCACTCTTCAGCCTCTGTTAGTTCTAACATCCTTAATGGCCCTAACATGATTTAAGCTGCTCAGAACCTGCTATTTAATTCGGTCCACAATAAGGCCATGGAATATGGATAGCAAACTGCTGCTAATAAGAAGTTTAACTTCTAATACTTACTTCAATTTAAAGCATTAGACTAGTCGTCTAACTAATGAGTTTGAATAACAAAACCAAATTCCACACCATGCTATGTTTCGTTGAATCAAGATAAATACCAGTCAGTTTTTCAAACTGAAGCCTCCAACTTCAAAATTCATTTATATTGAGCAGGGGACAATGTAGAATCTGATAATCTTCCAGGTCAAGGTTATACAGAAAGCACAACAACGTTACTAGGGTCTGAGACGAAAAGGCGAAAAACAAACAATTATTAAAGGATGATGCAACGGACAAAATAGTTTCTACCACTTTTACTGATTCCATCCCCTGAAATTCCAAGTCAAATAAATAAATGCCACATAATGGCTGACAAATCTCACCCCAAACAAAATATATGCGTGTCTGTGTGTGCATATAACAGGAATAAATGCCTAATCCCAATCCACGCCATGCTGGGAATGCTGCCAACAATTAAGCACCATATGTCTACATAGAAACTGGGAAGCCATAAAACGTATTTCATGCTAGAATTTCAATGTTACAAAATATGTTCAAATCATGATAAGTTGAATCTGCAGCCTCCTTATATTGCCGCCAATTATCAAGCATACAATGGCAAGAGCAAGTCAAAGATATGAACGTTCCAAAAAATATATGACTCTACCCAATAATAATCATCACAGGGTAACTTTTTCTATTGAGAATTGGATATGGCACCAATACTAGTGTTTTTTTTGTTTGACTTACAAGAATCAATTTTAAGCTAGTGATCCATATTCAACTTCCTTTTGTAGTACCCTAGCCTCGAGGAAGGAACAAGTTTGAGAATAGACATTCGATTTGATTCGTTCCCAATAGTCATGAAATAGTCAACATAGGGTGATCCTTCTATTGATGGATCCTTCTATTACGCTTAATGAGGACCTATGGTACAACAAGGAAGAACGTATGTTAAGGTTACAAAGTTCTTAGCCTTCCACGAAGCAAAAGGCATCAGTATGGAGTCACATCAGCTGTGAATATAGACTAAACTATAAGGAACGGAGTCTCAAACTACAGACCGAGGCTACACTAAGGAACAAAGAAGCTTGATTGAGCAAACAAGTCCAGGAGTGAAGCTGCTTCTCCAATAGCCCGATGAATAGGAAGGCAAAGGCAAAGGCTTTTTGAGATTATTGTTGGTACTCTGTACCTGCATAGGATAAGAATGAGAACCGCTATTATTTTTATTCTTCAAAGTTCAAAATTGTAAACTTGCATGACCAATGACAGTATAGCTCTAATCACCCTAAAAAATTCATGATTCACATACTTTTTCCATATCATTTGCAAAAGGACCTAATTGCTAGGGAAACAAAGAGAGAGTGTTAAACAGTGATGGTTTTATATTAAATGGGGCTGACCTCACACAGGGAGATGGCAAACCGACAAAGTAAAGAGTTGGCATGTCCATAAATGCTCTATATCAAACTTCAGCTCATCGCTGCTCATTTCAATTAGGTAATGCTGATTCAAAGCTGAAATTCTACTATCCAGGTTGAAACATGTCAATTGTTGACACAGTGAGTAGTTATAAGATTAGAACATAGGTTAGCATTACTTCTGGAATCTGGACCCTTATGTTTCTCACATATAATAAACAAGACAGGTTTTGCCACATTTTCTAGCACAATCATGACAATCTTGGAAGTCTACCTGCAATAATATGGTTAAAAAAAAAAAAAAAGAAACAGCAAATTCAAAAGTTGATCCACAACGGATCAGTAAGATACTTTTCATACACCTCATGACATCAATAAACATATTCAGTTTTATGAATAATCACAGTGAACAACAATGGAATATAAATGTAAGACTAAATGTTAGAATAAAGAATATTATTAAGTGGGGAAAAAGTTTCTAATGTAAAATAGATAGAAATGAAGCTATACCTTATTGTACTGGCAAATAAGTAGTCACCCATCTGGGGAATACCATTTATGACCTACAAAACATTTGAACCAAAAAAAATTCTTCAGAAAATCCCAATGAGTTGTGTAAGTAGACCTGCAAAGGTGCAGAAATATACTGAATGGTAAAGGTGTATGTTATCTTTTCTTGTAGAGTTTGTAAAAGGAAGCCACTGCCAGGTAACCTGAACAAAAGGACTCAAATTTGTTATAGAAAATCCATATTAAGAGTTCAACGAGATAATTTATCAATAGCTTGAAAGAAAAGGAAAAGGTGGTCTACTCATAGAAAATAAGGTGACAACAGGGAAGATAATCCTGTTACAATGTATGATGCAGATATTTGTAAATAAATTTCCACTTAGTCGACAGACAGAATGCAAGTCAGGACTGTCGCATAATGACTTATTCCAACTATGAAACCCCCACCCCCTAAAACCACCACACAGAGAGAGAGAGAATTTGTAGGAAGGAGCACGTGTATAGGCCTGTCAATGGACCAAATCTGTTTAACCGGAACCATTTATATAGCTTAAATAGGATAAAGAATCTACTCATAGAAAATAAGGTGACAACAGGGAAGATAAACCTGTTACAATGTATGATGAAGATATTTGTAAATAAATCTCCACTTAGTCGACCGACAGAATGCAAGTCAGGACTGTCGCATAATGACTTATTCCAACTATGAAACCCCCACCCCCTAAAACCACCACAGAGAGAGAGAGAATTTGTAGGAAGGAGCACGTGTATAGGCCTGTCAATGGACCGAATCTGTTTAACCGGAACCATTTATATAGCTTAAATAGGATAAAGAATCTGATCCGTTGACAGGTCCGAATCTGATCTGTTGACAGGCCTACATGTATAGCACCTTTTTAGCTAATAGAAAACTGTTAACAAAAATAATGCATCCTTATAGGGGGGAAAAAGTTCTTTCTAAATGTGACTAAACAACCATTCATAAATTTAATCATCTAAAAATATTATAAAGCATTGGCTTATAGGCATGCAAACCAAACTTAATTACCTTCAAGTCAATTACAAAAGTTATATCACCGTAAAGTAGATAACTATTATACCCTTATGTTACCATAACCTTACCTACATAAAGTACTTAAACACTACATTATGATCTCAGTGCCCCCTCAAAAGTTTCTTTGCCAAAACAATTTTCTTTCTATTCTACCCGTCTACAAATGGATCTGTTTCAATTCAAGACTTTACAGAAGAATGAAAGATGTGCCAGAAATCCTCTTGTTAAACAAGAAAGGTCTACAATTTTTTAGTGCAGGGAAAAAAATAATAATAATTAGATCTTTGCTCACAGACCTGCTGCAAGTAAGCTCCAAAATTCAACTTACTAACAAAACCCAACTCTGACAAAGCAACAGTAACTACTCCAACACCCAGCTAGGTTTGCAAAATCTTTAGCAATGACATGCTACTTGGAATGGAACGGTAACTACCCTAACGTCTAATCTTTAACCATATTCCCTTCTTGCCCATCTTAACCGTAAATTATATTCTTATCCAACCAGTTCCGCAAAGAATTTATAAAATTTCTTAAGTCCTTTAAAATAACTGACCTTTTTCATTCCCTTATTGAAATCGCCGTTTCAATTGATTGACCTTCTCGTTCTCTAACTGAACGATCCTTTCAATTGATTGACATCAATCAAAGGCATGAGAAGCGCCAAACCACCTGTTAGCCCACATACCTATGATTCAAACATCCAGTCGAAATTCAAGAAAATTAAATCGTATTTAAGCAATTTAACAACAACAACAACAACAACAACAAATAGAGGAAGATACAGTTTGTTAACCTCGCGCTAAATGCATCCGGTTAAACCCAAGATGTCCTTGGCATCCATCTGATATTCACCACAAATCAGTGGTTTATTTCACTCTTTCAATTTCTTGAACAAAAACGAGTACTTATACATCACCAAATCCACAACGCATGTAAGGACTAGGGTTTCTTCATTCGATTTGAAACCATTGAACAGGGACTATACTACACTGATCTATTCTTTTGTCATTCAATTAAATAGAATGGACTATAAAGAGTATTAATGGTCCGAGCCGCGGCCGTCTTAGCAAGGCAATGGTCCATGGTCCACATATCCTTACTTATGTAAAAATTGAACTAAGAATAATATAGTAATTTTTTTTAGTAATAAGAAGTAGCACAAATCTTTTAAGTCATTAAAAATATATAATTCTCAAGGATCAAAATTAAATTTCGATGCATTATTTCGGTCACCTAAGAAACCGAAACGTTTCGATCTATTTCGGAAACGTAGTAAAAAAAATAAAAAATAAAAACATTATTTTTTCAAAATATTAGTCGATATATATTAAAGTATCTTAAAATATTCCAAAACAAACTCTGCAAATGCATTGAAATATTACAAAATACTTTAAAATATTATGAAACACTTCAAAATATTATAATTTTAATTTCATAATTGATTCGTTTCGATCTCCTTGAAAACGTTTTTTATCGGACATTTTGACTGTTTCGAAACGAAATATATATCCTTAATAATTCCATCCCATTCATTCTCTCTGATGTCTCTTAAATCTCATTGTTCTACCTCTTGTCTCTTCCATCTCATTCTTTCTACATCCTCTTTTTTCCTTTAACTCTCTTTTCTTCCCCATGCAACTTTATCATCTCTTTCTGTATCTCTCTCTCTCTCTCTATTAAGAATAAAATTGGATTTCAAAAATCGCTTCACAATTCTTTCAATTTTTATTTTCCCTCTCCCCCTCTTTAAATTCTTATTACACTCAATTAAACAAAATTACAAGGAGATGAAACTGATCAAAGGGAGGGTGATCATCATCGGTGTAGCTTTCTTCTTCTACTCATTTGGTATTGTTGCAATATTCAATTCTTCTTGTTCAATACTATGTGATTCCGTCAATCAAGCCAATAGTTATTAATAAGGGCAAACTCCATTTACTCACTCGCTTGTGATTTTGCTCAGTTGCACATATCTCTCTTGAGGTCTAAAAATACCATATAATCCTCTTATGATTTATGGACTTACAGAAAAATTAAAATAACCTTACTACCCTTACCTCTCCTCCAACTGTAACCTAACCATATCTTCTTCAACAACACCCAAATCTGCATTTCTGTTCCCTTCTTCCTCTCTGAAGGAAACGCAACATGCTAATACCAATGTGCCACCATATTAACAGAATTCCAATTGCTTGCTCAGTAACTAATTAATGGTAAGAACCTAGCCGTTGCTCCGAAAAACCCTAAGACAAAATGGAGAGTGATTTGGTTAAGCTTTTAACTTGACCATAACACAACAATTTAACGCGGTCCGCAGGAGGAATCAATGGGGTTTGTTCCGAAAGTTTGTTGCTTGACCAGATCCATAAACCGGACGGTGAAACAAGAAGATGATAATCGGACCATAACATTTGGTTCTAAGCTCAACTCACAAATTTGACAAATGGTTATTAGAAAATTTCGGCAGTGTAAATTAAAGGCGAATTATACTTCGACCCCCTCAACCATGATCTTTTTTCTATTTTGTTCCCTCAACTATAATATTTTTCACATTATACCTTGAACTATGTGATTAGTTTCGAATTGTCCCAATTATTAACGTCTGTTACATATTTAACGAAAAATTATTTCATTTTATTCCTTAAATTATGTAAAGTTTTTTTACTTTCTCCTAGACAAGTCAGCGACTTTCGTTCAAAAAGATGGATGGACGCTTTTGATTGGGGTAATGTGAGATAATCAAAGTACTTGAGGGGTTAATGTAAAAAATTCAATAGTTTAAGGGGCAAAATAAAAAAAATAGTCATAGTTGAAGGGTCAAAGTGCCATTTACCCCTAAATTTATGTGTGATGACATTCTCAACTGTGGAAGTGGAACCCGCCAAAACAGGCACTGTTTTTCTTTCTTGGATCGGTTTTTGTTGAGACAAACAAAACAAAAGGTATTTCCAATAAGTCGTTAGCATAAAGATTCGGTTGCTCCGGCCCATGATATAGTTTTGTAGTCCCAGTGGTTAAACAATGAGAAAACAGTAAACATCAATGTGACTCAGAATATTTTGTATGTTGTTGTCCATTAGTAGCCGTCTTAACTTGTTAATATTCCTTGTGTGTGTGTGTGTATTGTTTGGCTTCCCTTTTTTTTTTTTTTTTTGTTGTTGGAGTGAACTTGTTATGTGACTGACTAGGAAAATTATGGAGCCCGTTAGTATCTTTCTTTTAAAAAATGCAACTGCCTGCAGTATTTTGGAAATTTTAGTTTTGTATTTTGCGCAAATCGATTTATGTAAGTGATTATGATTAGACAAATGGGGACACATTATATATATATATATATATGCTGATTGTCAACCAGTATAACTGATTAGGTAGCAATATTATATATATATATATATATATATATATATATATATATATATATGTGCATTATGTTTTTGTGAGTTATCAAAATGGGATCGGCAGAGGCCAGTCAAAGGCCGCGCGCTGGCTTTAGCTATTTGGGGTTTTGCTCATGTCTACAATCCTATCCTAATTCCATTGGTTTCTGTTGAACAGTTTGCCCGACTGTTACTTGATGGTAGTCGTTTAACCTATTATGTTCACCAATTAATGTGAAAGTATCATAAATTATGCCAAACGAATATTGAGCTATGTAGTTGACCAAAATCTAACTGGAGAAAGAAGAAGATGACAATAAAGCATCAAAAACCCATGTAACTGTGCATCACAGAAATGAATCTTAAACCTACTAGTTTGTCCATTTTAATTTGTTAAGGTCTGTATCAGAAATCGAATGGACAATAGCCTGCAGTTTTACCAAACATACATTAATTAGTACTGGTGAGGTTTAATCAAAACACTGTGAGCTAGGGTGTCTGTTCATTAGGGTTACTTTCCATTTTCTATGGTCTCCCAAGTGGGGGAAAGGTTGTCTCCAGAATCTCTGATCGCATTAATCACACAAACAAAATCTCTTTCCAACTCAATTTGTATGTTTCCATGTTAGAGCGTGCAAACCTAACAGCCTCATGTGCAGCTAACATCTGTGCATGCGCATCAGCCACAGTGGGAAAGAAAAGCTACCAGCAACAAATTAAAGGGCCCATTGTCCCCTGGTGAAGATAGTAATTTCTTGTTGTATCGGCTGAAACCTGAGTTGAGTAGTATTATTATTCACAATAATCTCAATAGAAGCGTGTTCTAGTGTTTTTACATGGTTTAAACTTGAGTTGTAGGTTAAAATCTTTTAAATTTACACTTTGTCTATTTACAATTGGGTTTTGTTGGATGGGTCATATAGTATTTGGATTCTTATTATATATAAACATTGTTTAACAAGATCACTAGTGTTGACTCTGGCGGATCAATTGTTTACTGTCTCTCATTAACTTCACATCAATTTTATGTGGAATTTACAGATCGTGACTGAAATTATGGAACCTATATATCAAACTTTTCTTTGTTTGATTGATACATATTCTCTAATTTATAGCCACAAATTGTTTGGTAGCAATAATTTTATGATCAGTATAATATTTTAAATTAAAAATGGTTAATTAATTTAACTGCCCGTGCAACATACAATGAATGTCGTTGGAGTAGTTACAAAAGAAATGAATGTGGTGGTGGAGTGGAGTAGGCAATTGCAAAGGCAAAGGCAAAGTGGACAAGTGGCAAGGAAAGAGGATTAGAGGACCCACACTCTCATTTGTCTCAGAGAATATTATGAAGAAATAAGTTGTTGGATCACATGAAAATTCCCTAATGATGCTGTTTGGTTTCCATGTTCTAAACCAGCAGCAGGCTGACCCGTGAAATTAGTAACAGTCTTCCTCCCCTTTAGGTATCAAAAATTTGACATGTTTCCAATAGTTTATGTGACAATCTCCTCTAATCAACTCTGCCTTTTTGTCCCCAACTGCCCCCACACACACTGATCAATAACTATTAACTATTAGCTACACGTTTGAAACCAGAATCAGAATCACTTGGCCGCACAAGTAAAGGGGCCGGGCGGCGACTTTCTTTAGTTATTTCACACATCTTTAATTCTCTATTCTATCTTTTTTTTCACTTTTGTTTTCCGGCGGTGCATGTGCGGGTCACTAAGCAAATTTACTCATACACTATACTTTTCACTCTTATGATTTTTTCATTTCTCAATTTGGAGTTGCTTTAAAAACGGGCAGATTCTTGAGGACCTTGATTATATGGCCGGATAATCACCGGAGTCTAAGGAGAGACCAATCTATAATTATAAATTTCATCAAAGTTAATAATGTTTGTAGTAGAAATTCATCTTCTTAAAGAATATCTTGTTTTAAAATTTGGGACATTATAGGTGATAGTGCCAGTTGAAGCTTAACCCAAATCGGCATGGACCAACTTTAGTTAGTTTCATTTTTGAGACGGGATGTTGGGAGTGGATTTGGTGTGGAATGTGATAGTACCTACATACCTAGCAATTGATATATATCTATATAATAAAATAAGTAGAAAAGTTTGTCTTGAATTTTTTGCAGCTCAAATCGCTTCACTATTATTGATCCAATGATCCTCATGTTAAATTTTTCTAAGACTCTTATCTCTCACCTAACTCTCTCTTTTTATCTCATATGAACTGATACAACTCTCTCTTCCTAACTCTAAAACACTCATCTCTCGTCTAACTCGAGAACTCCTATCTCATCCTAATACCTCACCCATCAACTCTTTCTCTCTCTGACTGTGTTCCTCTTCTTCCCCTCTCTTTCTCTATCTCTCTCTCTCTTATTCCCCCTAGATTTAAAGTAAAAAAATTGGGAAAACCCTAACTGAGAATTGAAATATAGTGACCGGAATTCAATTAATAATTCTTTTGTCTTTGATGGATTTTGGATCCTAGGTAATTTTTTCCCTCAGAGTCCAACGTCATTACTATTCCCAATCAAAGGATCATGTCGAATTCTCTAAACAAACAGACCATGTCAAAGTCCAAATGTTTAGGGATTTGATTTCAGAGTTTAAAATTGCCTACAAATATCTTCATTATTTTGGTTCTTTAATAAAGTCCCATGTAAATGGGTTTTAAAAAAAAATGGCATGGGCAAATCAAATCTTTTTTTCTTACATATAATGAGACATTTTAAGGATGAAATTTCAGATTTGTGGTAGATAAGGTAGGCGTAAACTTTTCCAATTGTGCAAAAGTTTCGGCTACCAATGTAGATAAATCAAAACTCCTTAATTCATGCAAGATTCAACAATCAAGGAATGATAGATCACCTTCAACGCGGCTTCCATTTGATATTCAAACACCAATTATGACGAGGATTGCACACTCCAAATCTTGCAATATTTCTACAAGAAAGGAAGGGAATGTCTCTTCCTAAAAATAAGGTTTCCTTCTTTTTAAAATTATTTTGTTTGAATCCTTTATAAATGAAATTGAACAAGGGGTTAGGCACCCAATTCCCCCTAACTAAAACTTCAAGTTTTAAATTCTGAATAAAAAATGTATTGCTAAGTTGAGATTCAATTACAAAAATTGACTTGAAAGTGGTGTGTCAAGATTAGAATTGGGAGTGAATTAATTTGTTCAAAATATTAGAGTGTAGTATAATGTTTTTTTAATGTCAAATGCAAGATACCAACATGGATATGATTCATGAAGTGTTGTATTTGATTAGTTCAAAAAAAAATTTGTGAATTTTTTTTTAAAGTAGTGGGCCCAAAATTTCTATAGTGTCTATAGGCAAGGAGTATTAGCTAACACCATTGTAGTGATACACCATTTTTTTTTTATTTTTTTGAGAGAGGGAAATTCAATTGTATTTTCAATCATAAGTATAAATGCTATTGATAGTAGTGTTACTAAATAGGTGGTTAAATATTGAAATAATAGACCTTGGTGTAATGAAAGGTACATTTTTTTAATGTTTTTAGCATTTTTTTTATTTGATTTGCCTTTTAATTGACAATTTGATGGGTGTATATATATATATATCTTACGGCCAAAGATAGACACCACCATTTTTGGTTCATGGCTTGGCTTCCCCCTTGACTCTAATCTGCATGAATGCGAGAGTGGAACACATGAGTACTTCACTAGCCAATTCCAAATGTCGATGGTCAAAGGAGACGTAAGAAAAAATAAGAGAGGATATATAGGAAATGTTCGATGTAACTCGAAATAGTGTATAAACCAATCAATGAGTAGCCTATCATATAATGGTCTGACTTTAACTTTGACTTTGCCTTTGGCTTCAAATTAGAATCAAGTAAAATTAGATCAACGGATTTCATTTCATAGTTTTTTTTTTTATCAGACATTTCATAGTTATTGGACTTTGAATTTTTTTTAAAAAAAATTGTAATCTTTCCCAAAAACGAAAGTCAGACTTCCGCGTTGAGACTTTTACAAAGCAACGCCTATACTTACGCGTGTATGGGAACAAAAATCCAATGGGAGGGTGACAAACAGCCGCTACCTCCTACTCCCTCAACAAATGGGCTGCCGCCTTTCACTTCTTTATTCTGACACGTTCTCCACGCGCTCCCAACCACCGTGCACACACACTCCATATCACATCATCATTACTCTACTCTTTAACTAACATCCTCCCCACCCTTAATAAGTAGCGTTTAATGCTAATTGATTTTACTCATGAATAATAGTGCAAACAACACAGATTTTATGGATACAAATGATCTTTATTACACTTTAATTATTATGGCGTGTGCCATATATCTAATTTAATAGTAATTATTACATCATGTCACAAATGAGAAAATTGTGGATCACGATATTGTCGAAAATTAATTTTTCCTATAATAAATAGGAATTAATTTTTTATTTTTCTAATCTAAATTAATTTTTATGAAACTATCCTATAAAATGATTTTAATAAATTCTATACAACTAAGAATTTGACAATAACGATGAATTATTGAACAATACTATAGACTGACGTTCGTGATTACTATTCGGCTCCCCTAACCGTAAAATTCTAGTTTCATCCCTATTTGATAAGGTATATAAAGAACAAAAAAAAAGGGAGAAAAATGGGAGTAATATACATTCTATCATTTAAGGAAGAATTCTTCTCTCTCTTCTTTGTATTTAGTAGGAGATATGTAATGTAGGAATAATTATTTTTTTTGCGTTTGATAGAATTTAGGGATAGAGCTATAAAATTATACGTGGATGGACACTTTATTAAACTAAATTTTTAGCAAACCAAGAGAAGAAAAATAATATATTAATATTCATTTACATCATATTTTATATTTGTTACTTTAAGCACAAAATGTCTAAAAATCAGTATTAATAGTGTATACAAGGGAAAAAGGAAAGACTCACCATAAAATAATATTAATATATACAAAAATTTACCTGAATGTACCAAAAATATGTCAAAAAATTGATAGTCATTAAAGTATAGGTCTAATAATTGATACAAAAAAGTGGCATACTAAAAAATTCCTTAATAAAATTTTGAAATATATGTAACTAATGGTAAGAAAGAAAGTTTGAGGGTGGGCAAATACCTACTTTATTCTGATGCTCGCTCCGTAAGTAATATATATATAATATGTAATAGATAAATATGATATATACATATATTAAAAAATATATAGGTAAACAACCTACATTTTAATATACATAATTAGCTTTTCATCTATTTTTTTTCCTGATTTTGGAGGGATTGATTTTGATGAGTTTGAATGAACGTTAATACATCCATTTTTCTCATCTTTTCATTTTTTATCATACAAAACAAAACATTAGTTTTATTTAAGAACAAGTTTCACACCATTAAATTGTTTGAGAATCATCCATCATTAATAGAAGGAGTTTTCAATCAATTATGGTGATTGATCTAATATTATTATTAAAAGAAATTAAAAGAAAATATACCAAAAAATATCTCACTTAAAATTCTGTGAACTTTTTACACCGATGAATGTTGGATTAAAAAATTGAATTACTTTTAGGATCAGAATTTTATGATTAGAGTTAATAGCCAATACAAATAAAATTGTAAGGTGAATTACATTTTATATCCTAAAATTTTTTAAAATTCTCGTTTTGTACCTTTAAAGATTAAATTTCTAAAATTACAACACTTAAAAGTGTTGTAATATGACATTTCTGTTAGCTTTTCGTTAGTTTTTTTGTCAGTGTCAGTGAGTTATATTTCAATACTTTTAATACATTGAGGGTATAATGTAAGAAATTTAATTTTTAAAAGTACAAAGTGAGAATTTAAAAATTTTTTAAGGCACAAAGAGCGAAAATCCCAAAAATTGTGCTTAATTAAATTTTTTCTTAATTGTTTTTTTAACAAGTTTTTTGGAACACATGGTCGCCTTAAGCCTTTAATTATGTAAAAAATCAGATCACACCCATTACTGAGCGGCACGCGCTTCACAATCTATCTATAGACCCCTCCCCTCCCCTTCTCTGTTTTGTATTTAATACCACGACCTCAACCTTGATCGCCCCTCCAACCTCAAAGTTCAAAATCAAACTTCTTTCACTTTCCATAAGCTTTCTTCCTCCTCCTCCTCCTCTTATCATTCTGTAACTGGTAAATCAAAGATGGGTGTGCCTTCTCCGAATCTGCAGCGAAGTAAAAAGTCGAAAGCACTTGGAGTTCCAATTATTGATCTCTCTCTTGAGAGGTCGACGTTGTCCGAGCTAATTGTAAACGCATGCAAGGAATTTGGATTCTTCAAGGTGGTTAACCATGGTGTTTCCCAAGAGACAATTGCAAGAATGGAAAAGGAGGGGCTCGATTTTTTCTCTAAATCAGCTTCTGAGAAGCAACAAGCAAAAGCAGGGCCAGCCAGTCCTTTTGGTTATGGTTGCAAAAACATTGGCTTCAATGGCGATATGGGTGAGCTCGAGTATCTTCTTCTTCAAGCTAACCCTCTTTCGGTTTCTGAAAGATCCAAAGCTATATCCAAGGACCCATCAAAGTTCAGGTATCTATGACTCCATATATCAATGGCATCTTTGTTTCATTTAGTAATCTCTCTCGGAAGTTTTCACGTCAGTTTTGTTTCAATGTTATAGACTGTTTTTTTGGTAGTTGACGTTATATATTGATAAAGACTGCAATGGTGACGAAGAAATTGAAACGTTTTCTGAGGAAAGGCAAAAGCGAGACGTTTCTGTCTATTTTCGTCCCTATAATTTAGTGTCAACTGGCTCAGTAATTAATGTCATGTTTTGCATTTGACCTATGACCACCAGCTGTTTAGATGTATATGTATCCCTCGCACATAGTCCACAGCTTGAATTTTGAAACTTTGGGGCACTCTGCTGCCATTGGCAGGGACAAATAGATGGAAAATTTGATTGGGAATTTGAAGAAGTAGAAGGGTACTATTAGTCTCCCACCAAGAGTTATTTTATTCTCTTTATACAATTCTATAAAAGGAAAAGAGTAAAAGTCAAAATAATACACGAAACAGCCGTTCTAATGAGATGTGCGCAATTTTCTTATTCTTACAAAACCATGACAGCATTGTGTTAAGGGATCTGATTTGGGTACATAATAAGTGACCTCCTTCGTTGGTTTAGTTATAAATTTGAAAGAAAGATGGAATCCAATTTTAATCTAATAATTTCCTATGAAAGAGGGTATAATATTAATAGGTTTATCAATTATGTCGAATGACTGACCAAGTTTGTGTTGGACTCTGCTTTAATATGGGGAACAGTAGACCGCAAGAAATAGGTGACCTTTTGTGTTTGGACTTTTTTTTTTTTTTTTTTAATTTGGCTCGATTAATTTTTTTCTTGATTTAATTAAAAACAAGTAATTCACGTTAAAATTAAAATATTCACAAGAAATAAATTCATCTAATTCTAAAAAATTATTTGAATTCAAAATATTTAAATTTATAATCCACTCCAAATACTTTAGTTTTGGTTAGTAAGAAAGCATCCATCACCTTCCGTTGTATGGATCCATATTTGGTTGTATGGATCTATAAGTCAAGTCACCCATTGATTTGTCTTCTTTACTTAGTTTATTTATTTATTAGTGTTGCCAGCCGGTTCTTGATCAGTATCTGTTTGTTGTGGAGTTGAGCGGATGAGATCACATCTTACGTAATGTCAGCGGGCGGCCAATGAAAACATGGATCCTAGAATTGTAGTCAAATGGTACACACGTGCGCGCGGGGTTTTTCATAACATAAAAGTCAAATCGGAACATGCAGCCCAAATAAAGGTTCCTTTGCAATATTATATCTATCTAAATCTAATATCCTATTTATGTGTTGTTTTGATTATACAAGTTAATTTCAACGTTCAACCCCCTACATCACACTACTATCTATAATATATGAAATGAAACAAACAAACAAACAAACAAAATGCCACGTGGAGTATATGTGGTACCAGGGACGGCCTATTCCAAGATGGCTGGCTCCTTCCTCTTCTATGTTGTTTACTTTTGTTGCTAGACTTTCCCCCCACCCCCACCCCCACACTTGTAAACCAATACTCCACATTTGCTTAATCCACACATAAAGCATTGTCAGGCACCGACCAGCTACTTTATTAATTTGTGGGGTTAATCACATTCACATCTATGTCTCATCTATGTCTCATGAAGAGGGTGGGTGGTTCAGTGGCGGTGGTGGTTACTTTAGAATGGGGGTAGGGTATGTTTGCCAATAAACTTTATTGTTTTATTGGAACAATGTAACTTCTCATAATTTGTTAGGACAATTTGATTCTTTCGTTAAAGTATTTTTGATTTCCTTGCAATTTAATCTCTCAAAAATTTAGGAATTAATTGGATATTTTTGTCAGTCATTGTGAAAGCGAGGGTCTATATAATGATATGATAAGATTAACTTAATTAATTGAGAATACGAAAACATAGAAAAATAACAAAAGTTAGGAAGAAATCAATAACTTCACCGTAAAATCAAACCGAAAGAATTAGAGCCCTCCAACCATGCCATGGGTCCATGCCAAATCAAATTTAGAAGACAGGGCGCTTTTTTAGCCAAATATGGATAAAGAAATTTGGAACTAGACTACTTACTAGATACGACTTGTTAATGAGTGGTGTTCTCATGCAATGACAGTTGTGCTGTAAATGATTACATAGAAGCTGTGAGGGAGCTGGCGTGTGAGATTCTTGATCTAGTGGCTGAAGGCTTGTGGGTCCACGACAAATCCGTGCTCAGTAGGCTCATCAGAGACGTCAATAGCGACTCATGCTTTAGAGTCAATCACTACCCTCCGGTCTTCAAGGAATGGAACCCAATCCCATCGCCAAAATTTCATCATCAGGATTCGGGTACAACAAGTCGGGTTGGATTCGGAGAGCACTCGGATCCTCAGATCCTCACAATTTTGCGATCCAATGACGTTGGTGGCCTTCAAATCTGTTCTCAAGATGGGTTCTGGATCCCTATCCCTCCTAACCCAACTGAATTTTGTGTGTTCGTCGGTGACGCTTTACAGGTTACTAATTCTAATTCTCTCTCTCTCCCTCTCTCTCTCTCTTCTTCTAACATCTATGTTAACATATAATTTGCTAGGCCCTCTTGCAAATTTTCTAATGGTATTTGGTTGGTGATGAAGGCTTTGACAAATGGAAGATTTGTGAGCGTGAGACACAGGGTGCTGGCAAACACAGGCAAGCCCAGAATGTCCATGATGTATTTTGGGGCACCATCTCTGAATTCCTGGATCTCGCCTCTTCCACAGACGGTCTCGTTCGAGAATCCGAGTCTTTATAAGCCTTTCACTTGGGGGGAATACAAAAAAGCTGCCTACTCAATGCGATTGGGAGACCCTCGTCTTGATCTATTCAAGACTCATAATATTGCAAATAAATCTGCATTACGTTAGAGGGTTTTGTTGTTTGTGCGTTCAAGACTACAAATCATTTGATGAAACCTACCGGGTAGGAGTTTTGGGATGCATGGGACACAGATATGAAAACAAGTCATATTGTGCATAGATCAGTTGACTGACTGGTGTTTGTGCTTCATTTCATTTAATGGGGAATTTTTGCTACTTAGAGCTTCCCCACAACCTTTTTTTTTTTTCCCTCCCTCTCTCTGTCTCTCTTTTTGTTTGGTGTTGGGAGTGTACAAAAAAGAACTGAGTAGCAAAAGCTATTAGTTGAGGTTTTCACTGTGCTTTCAGATATTCTTCAGTACCTTGTAACCAGACAACATGTATAAATTAGTGGTGTTTGGCGATGAAAAGCCAAGGCTTTTGCGAAAAAATGAAAATATTTTGTCCCTTGGACTATAAATTGTGTGATAGTCTTCGAATATAACTAGTCAAAGTTTAACCCAATGCAACACATTTGCTTTAGATGGAATAATCATGAACCATATCAGTTAATTAATAATAATTAACAAACAAATAATGCATTGCATTTGATGTTTGAACATCTCCCTTTGTAAACCACAGACTACAAAAAAGAATTCAGTTCTCCTGGTTACAGTTACTTATATGATATCCGAGCCCCATGACAAAAGCCCTTTCGGAATGATGTACTAGGTTGTGTTAGCCAGGTTGATTATCTTTTATTTTCTCAAAATTTTATTGACCAAAAGGTCAAGGAGTTCATCTTTGATAAAGGTAACAGATTATTCCATATCTTATAGAGTTTTATTGCGCCACTTTTGGACTTTTACTCACTGATTTTATAGGTTTATTATTCACAAATTGTTATAATTAAATATTCATTTTAAGAACGTTTTACCATTGCATATTAAAAAATGTGAGGTACAAAAAATTCCTATCGTGATGACTTGATTAAGCAAACCTATTGGGACACCTAGGGGTGCAACTTGAGTTGGGCAACCTGAGCCCAATTCGAAAAAATTAGGACTTGCGTAAGTGTTTTTAATATTTGGGTTGGACTTGGGTTAAAAAATTCTAACCCGAATTCAATTTGGGTTGGGCTCGGGTTAAGGCATCGTGAACTCGAGTTCAACCCGAACCCCACAAATCAAAAAACAAAATATATATATATATATATATAAAGCATTAGCACTGATTTTTCATTTTTGTTCTATCGTTATCTGTCTCTCTCGTTCTCTTTGCCTCTCTCGTTCTTTCAACCTCTCTCGTTAAAATATTGGTTGTTAATTTAGGTGAATATTATGTAATATATGTATTAGGTTTAAAACAACAAGTCTATTTTGGGCTCTACCCGAATTGAATGCGTAAAATAATCCGAAATCATCAACTCGAGCTCGCTCGAATTAAACTCGGATAGTGCTCGGGTTGAGTTCCCCAACCCAAGGTAGGGGTAGGTTTAGGATTAGGGTTAGGGTTAGGGTTGAACATTATATACCTAAGGTTAGATTAGGGTTGATTGTCCAACCCACCCAACCCGCCCGAGTTGCACTCCTAGGGACACCATATGCAAAACTCCCAAAAGTCCTAATAGGTTTCACCAAAACCTCCAAATATCATCAAAAACTTCACATCTCTCTTCAAGAATTCCTCTAATTCTTCGAATCTTCATCTTTATGATCGTCAAGAATTTGCCAAAACCAGGGAAATTTTTGCTAAACTGCAAAGTCAAGAAAATACTCATTCTATGCCTCCGATATCTTCTATACTTCAATCCAGACATGCTAAAAGAGTTGTATTGTAATGGTGAACCAAGGAAGTATTGGACACCAGATGAAACTCAAGAATTGTTCAAAAACTTTCAACAGACCTTGATAAGGAAGTGTGGCTACGAAAAGCCATCGTTAGGGGTTATAAGGAAATTTATTGGATCCAAATGGTTGCTTAAAGGTGATTTCACAGTAAGTATTAATTCGTTTTAGTCATTTTGAGGATTATGTGAAAACTTGGCTCAACGATACAACATACATTAAGGGGTTCTTGTTTTGATTCTTTAATTGTTTTTCGGAGTTTCAACCTGAAGTGGAGCCTCCTTAGTAACCAAATTAAATAGGAAATAAATTGGAAGAGTTTTAATATATTATGAATAAGTATATTAGACATGTGATAAGAAACATAAAGATTAAGTTAATAGGTTTATGTTATAATATTTTATCCCTATAAATAGGGTTGAGTATTAGGTAATTAGTTACCAAATGATCAAATTTCAGTGAATAATACATCAATATAGTTTTTGCTCTGTGGATATAGTTAAGGTATACTAAAGTGATACGCTATATCGAATCACGTTATATATTTATGTTTTGTTTTATTATTTTTCTATCTTCCAACAAATATTTTAAGTGTGTATTATCCATTGTACTAAATTCACAAGTAGTTTCAGAGTTAGATTGACAATCCAAATGCAACAATTAAAGCAAATTGTTGAGAATTCAACGACTAAGTTAGTGTTCATGTTGTAAAAAACTCCTCTATCATGTGTGTACGATGTGATGTGTACGTAATCTTGAATTTTTTGATAAAGTGTTTGGATCCACAAAAAAAGAGAATATTTTCAGTTGATGATTCTAGTAGAATTCTTCAAGTTATGTTTGTGACACCACAAAATTCGGGTATCCGTATTACCCGATTGATCATCGATCAACTTGCGGAATACCCAAGAAAATTCGATACCACGCTGTTATGCACTATTTATCGGGGTCCATAACTTAACAAAATTTGGGTAGAGTCTTATTTGTACAAGGAGCTCTATCCAAAATGCAACTTGTACAACATTGACCACACCGGGTCTATTCACCCATTCTCAATTGTATAGTATCGGATACTACAATAATCATCATCACTACGTACATTTATTTATAAAAGAATAAATATCTCAAAAGAGTCCCGTGTACATGCCTTTTTAATATAAACAAATTTTTGTTATCAAAATTATACAAAGCCAAAAGTAAATATAATCAAGGAACTACGATGTCAAAATAAGAGCCACTGTCCCGCTCTGTCGTCAAAGAGAACCAGTAAGAGGGCCTTCAACGAAAGCATGTGGTGTACCTGAAAATTGTTCTCATAAAAGGTGAGTCAACGCTCAATAGGGTAACTTCTATAGACAATATCTCTCAATCCAAATGCAAATGAAATGTCACATGCAACAATCATTTAATGCATTCATTCAAATATGTTTACTATGAACAAATGTTATAAATCATGTCATGTCATGAGATGAGACTCACGTAAACACTTCCAACACCGAGTCTCATCTTGAGCTCCCACAACACATGCAATGTCATGCGTATGTATCTGAGCATTCCAAGCCCCTGTTATTGGTGTTATGTACACTCAATGACTAATAAATTCATTTTCTTGTGTCTTTGTGGAGAGATGATTTATGGTATTACACTAATGGGACACCAACCATCAATGAATTCTCAGGACATCCCATCTGCGGCTCCGTTTTGGCCGTCACACTTTTTTGGAATTTCATCGCCGAAAAGTATATAAACCAAGTAAGAGGGTCTTGCACCTGAGATAGAATTTTGCCCTTTTTGCTATCCTCGACACGTTTATTCATTTAATTTTCTGTGTGACTTAGCCGGACCTTGGTGCAACTTTTTTGAGCCCACAATTAACCACCTATGTGGTGATTGATTTCATACCATACACACACTCCTATCTATGATGCCCATGAATGTAATGCAACTTATGCATAATGCAATTCAATACGCAATTGCCTTTGATACCATTTACAACGTCTATTACATAAATAATACAATATAATGACATTTTCAACACAATCTCAAGCATGTTATGTAAGATAATTAACTCAACTAACATACTTGTATTCACCTAGGCATTTAAACAAACACCTAGATGACACATTAATTTACACAATTAACATGTTTATGACTTCCAACATGACAACATGTTTATTAATTTTATAAACATAAGCACAAGTCCACCATAATAATCATATGTTAAATAATAATTTAACATACATATTATTTCATAATCACATAACAAGCTAATAATTTTATTAAACTTGATATGTCATTTAAAATATAAAATAATACTAATATACAATTAACAAGCTTTAAACCACTAACATTAACTTACACCAAATTAATCATAATTAAATTTTACTAATCACAAAGTTAATTATAAATCTTATATTTGACCTACTAGTTATACTAATCAAGACATAACATGTGATATACATTCATAGCCTACTCATTTCATATGCCATATTTTAGGTTGAAATTAAATCTAAATATAGGAAACCCTACCTCTCATAGCATGAGCCCATGTACTAGAACTCAAAGAAAACTCAAATTTAGCTTTCTAAGCCTTAGACCTAAATTATTGTCTTTGATATTTGTTTGGAGAAAAATACGATATTTGGTGTGGTTGCGTAGCTCTCGCTGAATAGAACAACATTAATTCTTGACTTGAAGCGATTAAACGGTCCAATTTTCGTAAATCTAAAATAAAAAAAATAAAATAAAAAGAGACTCACTTTTCTCTCTCACTCTCTCTATCTCGCCGCCTCTGGAGAAACAAAGCCCAGTGGAAGATAAAATCTTCCACTTATATATCGATACTATTTTAAAAAATCAGCATATATGAAAAATATATTTTTTTTTCATTTTTACACTCTAACACCTCAACTATACCATCCTTATCCTTTAAATTTAATAACACACTAAACCTAAATAATCACATCTGTCCGTTTGAATCCCTTTCCTCGCAACTTTAAAATAATGATTTCTCCTCCGATCATCTCCTTTTTCTCACCTCTTCCTCCCCCAAATCTAATCTTTCTCTCTCTCTCTCTATATATATGTATATATATATACACGTATAATGTATTTGATTAACTGATTCCATGAATTTATCTTTTCTTAATCAGAAGAGAACAGTATTCACATGTGGAGCAGCAATATAAGCGCAAGCAACGGCTTTGCCGGCATGCTTGGAATCGGAATCTGATCAGTTGACGAGTGCAGGAGAAGAAAAATCAGAGATATTCATTCTCAAATCTAATTTCTGTCATCATATTTCGGTATGCATTTGTATTTTTCCCTAATATGAGGAATACAATATTCTGTAA